AATTTCATAATCATTACGTTTGGTCTAAAATAAGTTCAAAATGTCTAATTTCAAAGAAATAGTTTTCTTATCAGTCCTTAAGTGTCTTTTCGGTTTGAAAATGATCCCATCAGCGACATCCACCATTCAAGAGATGGAAAATTACAGGCGTACAGAATCTTTTGGTTAGCAGAGCCAGCTTCAACCAGTTCCGTTATGCGACAAATCTATGCGGCGATACGACCAAGACATGAGAACTCTTATAAGATAAATTGTGCTTTTTATCGCAAGTAAATTCGCAGCTCAAAATATTCCGCTCTGACAGCTTGACTGTCAAGATAATATTTTCTCGAAATCTTATCAGACACAGAAAAAAGTAATCTCTCAGTCATTACACAAAATGGGCTATGAATCATAAATAATTATGTCAAATTTATGTAAATATTTTAATGATTTTTAAGTGATTCGTAGCAATATTTAAGCATTTGAAGCATTTGAAGCATTTTAATCAAATGAAGCAATGGCGACATCTCTCGTTTGAATTATCGTTGTAAAACGATATTCGAAATTGTTTCTATGCTGGAAAGGATATAACAATAGATGCGCCAAGTATTGCTTCAAATGCTAAATAACAATGTAGAAAGAAGGCGTTAAGATTTTCGTCGCTGTGGCTATCAGCCGTTTAGCTCAGTGGCTAGAGCGTCAGGCCACAAATGCTGAAGACGTGGGTTCGATTCCCACAGCGGCGACAATCTTTTCGTACTTTTTCTACATGTTCTATCAATAAGTGCAGAGATTAGCACTATAAAAAACTTTACAATTCCTAGGTCCACCCATTCCTGAGAAATTCAGCGGTGATTATTTATCAGTTTTATTACGGTCAAGTTTTGAGTTTGAAAAATGATGATCTAATAGCAACTACATATAATGCCGTGAACATAATTTAATATTGTATAAGAGTTCTAACGATTTTACCTTGATCCTAATATTTTAACTATTACTGAACGTGAATATTAACAACTATTATAACGACAAGCAGCACTAGTAGTTATATCACCGTCCGGGAACGCGGCCGAAATCCAAGTGACCACCGCTCCATGCGCCCATGTGTCCCTTAGCTCGAGTAGAAACGTCATATCCGGTAAACAGTGTTGTCAGCGCCAACATTCGGCCGTCCTGCATCACGCCTTCGTCCTCGAAGGGCGTTGTAGTCTGGTACAAGTAACCTTTATAAAATTAACACCTTACCCTGTGGCTTACCTCCCTCAAGTGGGATGAATATCGCCACGTTCAGAACACCTTACACTGTGGCTTATCCCTCAACTGGGATGCATATCGCCACGTTCAAAACACTTATCCTGTGGCTTATCCCTCACAACTGGGATGCATATCGCCACGTTCAAAACACTTATCCTGTAGCTTATCCCTCACAACTGGGATGCATATCGCCACGTTCAAAACACTTACTCTGTGGCTTATCCCTCACAATTGGGATGCATATCGCCACGTTCAAGCCTTAAATTTTCCAACTAATAAATGCTCGGTAGCTTAACCGGGTAAACCATTTTGTATAGCTATTTAACATTTTCTCAAATATGTTTAAGTAATTAATTAACTGGAAGGTACTCACCAAAACTTTTATTACATTTAACTAAAAGATTTTATCACCATTACGTATAGTAACTATAAAACACACTGTTTTATTTTACGAGGGTAGGTACCCAAGGAGAAAATTGTCGCCGATTGTTTGAATAGCCAAACGCGAGTTTTCGTATTGTATCCCACTTCTGATATAAGAGTTCTAACGATTTTACCTTGATCCTAATATTTTAACTATTACTGAACGTGAATATTAACAACTATTATAACGACAAGCAGCACTAGTAGTTATATCACCGTCCGGGAACGCGGCCGAAATCCAAGTGACCACCGCTCCATGCGCCCATGTGTCCCTTAGCTCGAATAGAAACGTCATATCCGGTAAACAGTGTTGTCAGCGCCAACAATTGGTCCAACCAAATTGACACCTCGACCCTCATTCTCTATTTTTAAGATTGCCATCAACGCGCTAAGACGAAGAAAAGTTGGTTACTGACACATTCCACTGGCTGTTTGGAGCAAAGTTATTCAAGTGAAGTATAAGTAAAGTATCAGCCTATACATGTCCCACTGCTGGACAAGGCCTCCTCTGTACAAAGGGTGTCAATTCATAGTCCACCACGCAGCCCCAGCGCAGATTGGCTTACTTATCTTCGAAATTATTTTTTTTGTTATTATTTCGACAATATGCTTGTTGCCTCACGATGATTTCCTTCACCGCTGAGCACATGATAATTCAACACTTAACATTAACAGTAAGAATTTGTAAGAAAGTTTTGTATTCTTTGTAACCTTCGGCTGAACATTTGGTAATTCGCTTCTATAAAATAAAGGAGTAAATCGAACGTCAGATTTCAGAGATGTCAATACAAGAAAGGACGCAGAGGTACAAAAAGAACCACAAGTAGATATTTATATTAAAGACTGTCTAATCCAAGATGATAACTTCTTGAGGTATACTTTTTTGTTTGCATTATGATGTTAATTATTTCGGTAATTGTGTACAATAGAGGCACAGGCGATTTTTTATATAAATATCGTCGATCAATAGAGAAACATTACCGACACGACGATTACTAAGTAATTAATAGGCAGAAATAATTAGATTTGGAGAAAAATAATAATTTACTTTTGTAATTTAATACTAAGTAAATCCAACATTACGTTGTGTACAAAAATCGTTTTTGTTAAAAGGGAAGTCATATTTTTACTTTGATTACTTGTCTCGACAATATTTCTCAACTATTAAAACATTTTTGAAGAAAAAACGCGTGTGCAGCTATTGTAAAAAGCTACCTAAAATAAAATTAATCGAGTGGGAAAAATAAATATATTTCGTGTGTATCACCAAAAACCTGTGTTCACCTATAGATCTCGAGAAAGAAAAATTAAATCTTGTTATTTTCATTACGGAAATCCTCCATTTTATTGACATCAACGTAAACACGCAGTTCGTAACAATTAATTAAGAAAAAACAAGATTTCAATACAGCGTAACGGTTCACTGAACGAATGTCCTGCCCTCTTGTGTCTTGTATTAACTGATGTTAACGCTTCCAGTCTCGAGACTATTAAAGCTTTATCGAATGCAGAACCGGTGGACTAGCCAGAACCCCACGGGTTTGAGGCCCTCCACAGTGGGTAGGGCCGCGCATGTGCTCATCCGTGCGTTATCTAAGGAGAGTCGCGTATGGGCTATCGGTGTGAATCGTGACCCCAATGGCCGATTATTGCGATACTTGGTTACGTTGTGACATGGTTAGTCAGTGGCTGGGGACGGTGAGATCCACCCTAGAACTCGGGTGTCCCTAGTGTACGCGAAGTAAGGTGTTTTTGGCGAGTCGTGCATGCGTAGAACATGATTGGCCGTATGCGAGCTTTTACATAAGAGTAATTTGTATCTTAAGGTCATTTTGCTTGTCGCGTTAGTCAAGTTATGTAGCCACCTGGAGGCGAACGCTCTATTACGGTTGTCAATCACTCAGGCGGTTGGAGGCAATTTGGAGACAAGTAGTTAGTTGGTTGAGATTCCTATCTATGTAAAAGAGCACCGTGTCATCCGCGAAAAGCACGAGATTGATGTGGGGGTCTTTTGGTATGTCACTCGTGTAAAGCGTAAAAAGCAAGGGGAGAGGCAGGAGCCTTGTGGAACGCCAGCCGTGAGTCGGCGGCTTATAGAGAGGGTGCACTTTAATCGGTATCGAAAGGAGCGATTCGACAGGTAGGCGCGAATGGTGTGCACGAGCCTGTCTGGCACGATGATGTCCTGCCCTACGGTGAATGACGGCTTATATGGCTTGATGGATTCACGTACTGTTAACAAATTTCCTGCTAGTTACGCGCATGGTGCACGTGCACTTATATCCATCCTCCACGACTTGCAACCGTAGGAACGCCAGTGCGGTGGCCAAAAGTCAAGAATTTAAGTGTAGGTCAAATTTGGAAAGCGGTTGTCCATGCACTGCTGATGCTCCAAAATACCATAAAATTGTCAATAGTGAGCCAAAGGCTCATTATATCATGTAATTTTTCGTAGTCAGGTAGAATTTAAAAACGACTTCTTTGTCTCTTAAACTCGTGTAAAAATTTTACTTATTTCACGATTACTTTTTTCTAAAATATTTGAAGGACGCAATATTAATTATTGATTACAGCGCCCAACGCTGATTTTTGCCTGAAGAAATATATTTTTTTTACTTCAGTGCAATTATATTTCAATTTTTTTTTATTATATTTTTAAAGAAATTTCCCTTAATGAAGCATAAAAATATGCTGTGTTGCAAGGTCGTTTTAAAAATATAAATTTCACGCAGGCAAAAACCCGGATACGAAACAACTACCTGTGGGCTACAAAAATAGTTGTCCCGTGTGGGTTGTATCGAACCCACGACCCCGACGCCGAAGCCGATACTTTGGCCACTGCGCCATGGACAATTATAGGTCATCGACAACTATATGTCAATATATTGTGTTTTGAATTTTTCATATCTGATTTACGTTTTCGTGTTTTTAAAAATAGAAGAAAGACTATTCGTAAAACAAACAAACAAACTTTTCCTACGTTAAACATACAGGGTCCTATTAATAGTAATCAAGTTCACGTGTAAACAAATGAATTAATCCATAAACATACTTCATTGTTTACCTTAGGATAAAAGAGCATAACAATTAGACACAATATTACGTCAATTTATCTACGAATACTTTCATGGAAATATGAGCAGTAAATTTATTGTGAACAACGATACTATTTGATTGAGATTTTTCGTTGCGACATTAATTTATTTATATTGCGAATGTTACTTGAACAATGATCAGCAATAGCTATTTTATTCCATAAGGTGTGGCGGTGGCGTGAAGTGGAAGTAAAAAGTAAAAGTATCATAATGGGTAATGAAAAAATTACCAAAGAAAAGTTTGAAATGATGTCCGAAAGTTGGCCCGACAAAAGTAATGTATACGTTTTATGAATTTTTAAATTATATTTATTACCTTAAATAAATTTGTTTTCATAGAAAACGTTATAATGCCTTTTGCAAATAATAGAACTAATAGTTCCAGTTTCATAAGCGACCAGTGTTTTATGTTATAGTGGTGGTTCGGATAGTGAACTTAACTTGTCATTTACGGCAAAGTGTTTGCAACATACATAAAATATCACCAATTTTTTAAAAGATTGTCTTAAAGTTGATAAACTTGCAACAATTATAGCAATTATTGGCCTACGTTACGAGGCCTTTACGGTTATTTTATCTAGTATTATGAAACGATTTCGCATCCTCGGTGATTATCATTCTCAGATGCCGTAAACACTGAATTTTAATAATTTGAATGGACTAGAACCCGAATTCAATTATTTGTAATTTTAAACAGCCTTTAACAGTCTTTAAATTGAATCATGCGAAACAATTAAATAATTGTAAGATTTATTTTGATAAAATGTAACTAGACCTCTTATCTGCAGCCCTGTAGTCGCGGGCTTATAGAATAGGGCTAAGGTCTTCCCTGCCTGTCGTAAAAGGTGACTAAAAGGGGATACGGATTGGCAGCAGCTCGAAGTGAAAGATGGTGAGGGAACCGGGGAAGCTATCCTTCTCCGGGGCGTGCTCACGCGCAGTACTGAGGGACACCGGTGCGGTCCGTGGTAGATCCCGGAGTCCCTCCATACGTACAGAGGGTGGCCACCGAGGGGGTTTTAGTGGGTAAGAACCTCACATAACCCTGTCACTGCTGGACATAGGCTTCCATTTAGAGTGGGTATTAGAGCATAGTCCACCAAGCGGCCCCACTGGGTATTAGCGGACTTCACACATCTTCGAAACTTTATACTATACTATACTATTATTTCGAAAATATACAGGTTCTCATGATAATCTCCTTAAACGCTAAGCAAATGATAGGTCAGTACATAAAATTAGTAATTTCATTGGTGCCGTCACCGGGGATCGGAACTCGGGTTGCTCGAGTATATTGAATTACAAGCGGGCGCCCGGACAATGAGCTATCACGGCTGATATCTACTTTGTTTTAATTGAATTTTTAGCAATGCTTGCGATCCAGACAACTGCGGTAAAATTTAACGATAATTCATCCTTTCCTTTTAAAAATATGCATCCACACTGTATGGTAAGTTTATTATGCGTAGTGTGGTGTGTGCTTTACAAAAGAATTGTACCCAAAAAAATTAAGTAAATCGAATTGACAACCGTTTCACCGGAGCCTGTCGGAACCTTAGAAAATGAATGATTAAACAGGACACCAATGAGGAGATACCCTAAACATTGTTAACAAAAAACAATGCTTAGGAAGTAAAACAAAAGTGTTTTACTTCCTAAGCATTGTTTTTTGTTTTATTTGATAAATCGCCTGGGGCCGACTGAAAATCAGCGCTGCACTCCTGCGGCTTATGCTAAGACGGTCCCTTCCGCCACCTTATCACAACACACATTTAATTGTTTTAATTTGTTAATATTATTACAATACTTTACTATCCATTTTTTTTCTTTTTTGTAATATTTTTTGTAAACATTTTTTTTTCTGTGTTTTTATTATTTGTAATTACAAATTATGGATTAAGTTCTCTACAACTATTTTAAGGTGACGGAATAAATGCCTTTAAATAAATATTGTTTTTGGTTTTGTTTCCAGACTTCGGCTACGGCATCAGACACTTGCAGACAGCGTGCATGTGCGTTTGCATCATAGCGCTTTTCATCGCCAGGGGCAGTATGGGTGTCGCAGTGCTTGCAATGACCGACTCGACCCGCCGGAACGACACTTCGGTTGCGGTTAGCATCACTCGTAATAACGGTCCTATCTCGACACGAAGTCACGTGTTGTAGGCACCCACACTGTCGGAACATACGTTTGACGTAGTAGACGTTTTAAGATAATGGAAGTCGTCGTTTGTTTGACGTGAATTATTTTGGTGCCAGATCGTAGCAATCATTTATGATAACTTTTACGACATCGAGATGTTGTGGCTGGGCAACACTTCTGTTTCACGATGCTTCGTCCAGGGAATATATCTGCTTTATAGAAGACCGGAGTGAAGTTCGGTGAGTGAGGTACCCGGTGCCCACTTTTCAATGGTTGGAAATGCATCTGCAACCCGTCAGGTGCTGTAGATGTTCATGGGTGGTGGTAATAACGTAACGTCAAGCGAACCGCCTGCTCACGTGCCAACATTTCCCATAAAAAAATCTGTACATTTGTAAGTAATATGCTTTAGTTGTTCAGCTAAATTTTTTTTGCTACACTTAATAGTATACATTAGCAGTTCCACTTTAAGATGTACAAAATACATAAATACAATGCTCGTATAAATGAAAGTATTCATAAGGTGGGCTACTAATAGTTATATATATATATATATGTGTATATGTATTTTTTTTATGTCAAAAGTTGACAAGTGCGCAGACGGTTCACCTGATGTTAAGTGAATATCGCCGCCCATGGACATCTGCTAAACCACATGGAACATGGGTTACAGATGCGTTGACAAGTTTTTGAAAATTGGGCTCCGGCTACCTCACTCACCAGACGAAACGCGAAAGTATTTGTCATACTTCCACTTACGCCGGTCTTCTGTGAGGTCGTGGTACTTACCCGGACGAGCCTGCCCATTCGTGCAACAGCCGAAGCTGATGCGTGGCCCTACCTCAGTTAAAGGTTATATATTTGGAGAAAAATAATATATTTGTTTTTGTTATACTCAGATTTACGAGTGGGACAAAAAGACTCAAGGCTTGATCTTGTCGTCGTTCTTCTGGGGGTACATGGTGATGCAAATACCGGCTGGATTGCTCGCAAAGAGATTCGGAGGGAAGCCGGTGCTACTCGTGGCGTTGATGGCGAGCGGAGTGGTGTGCGGCTTGCTGCCCTTTCTGGTCAACATCGTGAGTCTGACAACACAATTTCAAATTTCCGTGGTAATCCATTGGATTTTTCGGAAACAACAAAAATTTTTACCATAAAAAAAAACCGACTTGAAAAAATTTTTTGTATACAAGTAAAAAATAATTGAGTATTCTTTTTCGACTTAATAATCAACTTACTTTTATTACTCATCAATATGTAGGTACTACCTATGTGATTACTGCATCTAATTATTACGATAATATTATGTAGTTACATTTAGTGTTACTTTTAGAGTCGATGTCAGTAGTGTTTCCTTGGCCGACTCCAAAACTTAAAGCTAAAATTAAACCTAGACCAGTTAAAAACAGATTCAGATGCTTAACTGAGCAGAGATCAACAAAATTTATTATTATGATACCACAAGTTCGATTTCCGCAGCGCCGAAAGTTTTTGTTCATTTATCTAAAAAAAAAAAATGCAAAGGCGGCGGTGATCGCTCCAGGTGAGCCGCATGCTCGTTTGCCTCCTTTGTCCCAAAAATAGCTGCAGTTTTTAATTACTGGTCATATCATTGTTCACCCATTCCTCCTGGCTTTCCCAGGGTGGGTGGAAGATCGTGTGCGGCTGCCGCGTGCTGATGGGCCTCACCCAGGCCTGCCTGTTCCCGGCCACGCACACGCTCCTCGGCCGCTGGTTGCCGGCTCACGAGCGAACCACCTGGGCGGGCTTGGTGTACGGAGGTATCTTAGTGCTGTTTTTATTGTCTCATCTGAATTTAGTGATGTCACTTTTTGAGATTTTAATATGTACGTATTGAGTACTTAGTACTCTTGAGTAGTCTGAATATAGTCATAGCGAGTTTTAAAGATGCATCAATTGAGCCTTGGAACATTGGAACATCTTGCGCTTAAAGTGGTTTACATTCGCTGTTTACTTTTATTTTTAAACGTACTTTAATACGATCAGTTAAAGCTATTAGTGAAAATTAAAAGTCATTCCATAAAATGTTCAAAGTTTATTATATAAAGTATATTATATCTTATATTCCTTAAATGTGATGGTTTTTTACAACCATGGCGAGTGTAGTCTAAGCTATGAATTTAATGGTACGATTGTCATTTAAAATGGCACAAAAATTAAATTAATAGGTAACAATAAAAAAATTGTTTGTGGGGGAAATAAATTGTTATTTTGAAATGGCTAAATCTTTAATCATAAGTAAGTAATTTTTTATCTAGGTACGATGTTTTTTCAGCGTACCATAAAAATTTATTCCTCAATCTCTCCAATCTTAAAGAATGCGTAGTGGTAATAATGTGGCCGCCAAACAACACTGCAAAAAATTTGTTAAATGATACGTTTTGACTTATTGATACTTACTTGCATATGTGCAGATGACTAATTTTGCATATGTGCACTGATATATAAGTAGAGTGTATTCATATTTGTTGGGAAATATTGTAGACTTGAAATTTGGCTGAACTTTGGCAAAAGTTACTAATTATCCGTTTAATAGTATCATATCACAAGTAAAGTTTGATTATATAACACTGCAATATTACTACACATTTTATTATTTGTTACAGAGGTAGTGTGATTAAAGGTTGCAGTAAAAAATGGTATTAGTTCTATTTTTGTAATGTACAACCTGTAAAAATAACCTTTTTACCACATAATAAAAGAAAAATTAAATAAAAGGCTAATTTGGTTATGATGAATTTTACACCCATATTTCACACACTGTTACTGTATGTTATATTGAACTGAACGTCATTTCCAAGTGATATTTTTGTGATATTTTGTTACTCGGATTTTAAAAAGATTATCATTCCTGAGCCACGGTTGTGGCATAATTTATATTATAAATTAATAAAGAACAGTATTTAATCGAATACAATTGATATCTACTTGATTTGTGTTTTCAACTTTCAGGTTCACAAATAGGCACGATAATCGCTATGCCCATGTCCGGCCTGTTGGCGGAGACGGCGATAGGTTGGAAGCTGATATTCTACTCAATATCAGCGTTGATGTTCACTACGAGTGTGATCTGGTATTTCTTCTCAGCAAGCACGCCGAAGGAGCATCGGCTGATGACAGAAGCAGAAAGGGAATACATCGAGAGGGGCCTCAATACCTCTAATGGAAAGGTGAAACTAATTCCTCATAAACTTCGCTGTTCATAGACTTTTTACTTTCTCCAAATTTTCTGTCAAATTCACAGTGAAAATTTCTTTATTCAACATAGGTTTGTTGTAAGCTATTTTTAAACGTCAAAAAACTTCTAACGGTTCGCTAAATTAAGCCTGCCAGATAAGAAACGGTCAAGAAAATCTGCGGTCTTATCTTTTTCTTTTCTTTGAATTATGTAATCTTATTTTTTTTTCAATTCTGTACTTATAAATACATTTAAAATCAAAAAGTATGATTATGTAGTTATGTAGTTAGCATGATGATTTTAAAAAAGTTATCAGTGCTTAATAATTTCACCTTGTAAATGTAATGATTTTGTGCTTAAAAAAAATTGATTACATATTTCGAAAATTTTTAAATGTAGCGTTTGTTTGAGTAACTTTTGTGAATTATTACGACGGTAAAAAAATTTAAAGGTTACTTTGATTCACAACCTCTAATGGACTAATCAAGCAAAATCTGCATAAATTCAATAACGCTGTACACGAGTAAGTACTGCTTTTCAAAATGAAAATAATAGACTGCACTTGAAACCTAGTATTTGCTGTGACATTAATGTTTCTACCGTATATTGAGTTTATTATGTTTGCGGTTAAATATTGGTTTAGACATCAGCGGCGCGCGCAGGCAGCCGTGGAAATTGCACCGAACGCAAATTGCACAGACGCCGAGTGGAAACCGCTCTTAATTGAAAACGGAACGGAAAGAGGGAGCATGACACCACTGTAGTGTCTATGCGCCCTTTTCCATCTCCATTTTCCAATTAGGCAGACAATTGCGGCCGACCGATCGTTTTTCAAATCGATCTTGAGGACACGGAGAATGTGGAATAGTAATTACTCCCTTATCTGGCATGACAACGACGTCTGTACTGATTTTTTGAGATTTTCCTGGTTGTATATTCCATACAAGGAGGGAATTGAATCGTTTCAAGTATTAATGTTATAAGACTAAATAGGCATTAACTGTCGCTTTTGTATGACTGAGTGCTTCAATTTTCAGCACAAATTTTTAGTGCTTGTTCCGAAGATATTACGCTTACGTCATAAGATTAGAAGAAGATTCATGTTAACTACCCCTCAATTAAATTAATATAAATATAGATTTAATAGTATATACATTTTATAGTTTACATTGCCGAAATATTATAGAATACTAGCTGACACATCAAACATGGTTTTGCCCTATAAATTATTTGGGTATAAAAAAAAAAAACAAATTGTTATAAATTATTTTCATACCTACTGAACATACATATAAAATTTCATCAAATTCGGTCAAGCCATTTCGGAGCAGTGCTAAAACTGACACAAGAATTTTATATATTACATAATGTTTCGGCAATACAGCTACTACCAATATTTTTGCAGATAAATACAAAAGTGTAATGTTGGGAAAACCTTACTTCACAGACACTTTGTACTCCATGGCGCTGTATTTTCAAATCCAAGGGGCTATGGGCTGTGGCGGTAACTCACGTTGGAAGCGCATGCGGCTATGTGCTATTCTTTGTTGACATGCCAACCTACTTGGAGAAGGGCTTGCAGATATCTTTAAAAAACGTAAGCATTCTTAATAATTTCTCTAGTTAATGCTTAAATCGCAAATGGATTATTGAAATCTCATCGATTTATTAATCTACTACGAGTATGTATTAATATTTCATTAGACTGTTTATAAAAAATATGATGTTATTTACAGATCAAAGTTACTCTTAGGACATTATATTTATTATTTATTCGACTAATATTCTTAATAAATGCTGAGTGATAATGTAAAACTTAAGCTTTTAAATATTAACTATAATTTTAACCATTACTTATTTCGTATACGTCGCTATCCATCTCTTAAGCCTTAATGCTGTTTGGCTTTTCATAATTAATATTCTTCCGATAATTTCCAGAGCGCCTCACTGTCAGCATTGCCATATATTGGCATGTGGATCGGAAACGTCGTATCTACAACAGTTTCGGAAAAAATATACAATAGGGGTTTGTTATCGGTGGGAAATTGCAGAAAGCTTTTTAATTCCATATGTAAGTTCTCAACTCCACTCGTAATTCTGCGCTTATTTTTCGTCTTGAATTTTGTTTCTTCAAACTATAAATTTGATTTGTGTCTTCTTAGAACTGTCCTTTTAAAATTTGCATAAATTCAATGATTTCTTTGTAGAGTGTAGTAAAATAACCTATGTATGTCCCACTGCTGGGCAACGGCCTCCTCTGCACCACGCGCCCCACTAGGAACTTTGAAGATTAAAAGACTTGACATATCTTCGAAATATTTTTGTTATTATTTAGTAACTATGCAGATGAACCCTCGATAAGTCAGCACGTAATTATAACAATTTTATTGGTGCTTCACACCTTGGACTTCCATACATAAGGGGTTTGAGCGTGAAGTCGATGAATGCAGGTGGCATAGGATCTTACTTCGTAGCAGTCTATGGGGGAGGCCTATGTTCAACAGTGGACTCAAACAGGCTGAAATGATTATGACGATGATTGGTGCTGCCACCTGGATTTCACCTCAGGTTGCCCGAGTCAAATGAATTAAAAGTTATCGCCCGGACACTGGTTGAACTGGACGTTGGTCACGGTTCGTGATCTGTTATAAATTTGATATTAATTACTTCATCCATCCAAATACTGCGGGAAAATGTAATGAACACACTTTGTGCCGTCATTAGTTTACGCGCAAAAGATAAGGTCGTGACCCAAAAACATAAGTAATGAGTTCTTCTCTTCAATTTATCATTAATCTTATTCATTACGCGAGTACTCCGCATTTGAACCTTGTACGCATCACCGGCAGTAGGCAGTAGAGAAGTTCTGTAAATCCTATTTAATTGTAATAGTGATGCATGTAAATTTTGTTCGCGTATATTTTTCTAAATATCTTTTGTGTTTTCGTAGCATTCTTCGGCATGGCGATCGGGCTGGCTGCGCTGTCGTTCATAGGGCAGGATCATCCGAATTCGGCTATTGCCACACTTGTAATCACGCTCACTCTCATATGGTTTCAACGCCGCTGGATTTATGGTGAGACATTCCAACTCATTGGACACTTTTGACAATTGAAACAATAACGAAATGAAAACATTATACGAACCAAGACGTCAAGAGTCAGCAAGTTTACACCGATCGAGCCAACTGTCAAACCTATACACAATGCTAAATCGAACGGAAATTGCAGGTCATGTGGACAGTTCAATCTTTACAAATATTGTGATCTGTGTTACCATAACCTGTCTGTGGAATTGTACCCAAATAAAAGTTGTAACGCGCTAAAATGCAAACAATTATTCTACTTTGTAGAAGAAAGACACAATGTGCATATTGTGCTGAACATAGACAGAAGAAAGAAGAACTTCAAGGGAAATACCAATATTTTCTAGGATGCGAGAATGGCGGTATAACTATATACACATACTAGCTGCTGCCCGCGACTACGTCCGCGTAGAATAGGCTGAAAGAGTAAGATTAAGACAGAAAGACACATATACATAAATATGTATATAAATTATAGCTATTAGATATGTCTTATTGTGATGTATAAGCTATATTATAGTAAAGTTTCAATAAAATCCATTCCGTAGTATTTGCGTGAAAGAGTAACAAACATCCATCCATACATACAAACTTTCGCCTTTATAATATTAGTAAGGATGTTACTTTCGTATTAACAGTAAATAACGTAACATAAGAACTATGAACCTTAATAACATCAAAATCTTATACTCAACTCTATCTTAGTAAGGTGGGAAAGAGAGAAATAACATGGTTTATACATGATATCAACTATGTATATAATACAAGCCGGCGTCAGTCTTTCCGTCCGATTGAAATGTGATGGCGTCTTCAAGACAAGAGTGAATAGATTATTACTGAGCTTGCGAGCTTACAATCAATGGCAGTATTGCGACTTACCATCAGGTGGAACTGCAATCAAGTGCTAACCAGTTTCGAATAAAATAATACTGCTTCAACGAAATAGCGGTCGGATATATAAAGGTCACCTGCGGGTCAAATGAGTGTTCTTCTAACTTATTATTTCCTTTCGCAGATGAATCTTTTGGACATGTCACCGAACTTCGCCGGAGTCATGCTCTCCCTGACCAACTTCATTGCAAACTTTGGCAGCGTCGCAACGCCCATAATCACCAGTTTCATTTTGAGGAACGATTCTGTGAGTTCATGTTATATTCACTAAATAGATGAATACTCGGATACGGAGTAACACTTTCCTGGAGAAAGTTTTCATTTGACATAAAGTAATTTGATAATTACCACCGGCCATGGACATTACCACACTACTGGAGTTTTAATTGCGGGGCTAACTTTTTGGAGTCTGACGCCCGGTTTCTGAAACACTGATAATCGTAGAAATTTAATCAGCTGTCAAATGGGTTTTCAAATGTCATTTTAGTTGCCAAAAGGATGATTAAACTCTGATATCATTCTGATCAATATTTCAGAAACCGGGCGTGACTGTTTTAACTATACTATCGTAATAATGTAAGACGATATAATTATCACTCAACGTTAATTATACTTACGTAAACAATGCTCATCATTTTCACGCACAGCTTATGTTTTGTATGAATTGTTAGACTCGTCCCGGAAAGTACCACGCCTCACAGAAGACAGGCGTGAAATGAAACTTAAATAAACGTTTCGTCTAGTGTTTATTATATTTGGTAAATGATGCCAACTTTTTTGGCAATGCTAAACTAACGGGATCAGTTAACGTCCGGTCAATTGTCTGTCCGCTTGTCAACTTTTTATTAAAAAAAAAAAAAAAAAAAAAAAAACATTTTAAAAAGTATCAGTGGGATTCAATCTATCCATTTAAGTTATTTATTAGATGAATCAAAATAATATATTATTGTCATTATTGTACTATTGTATCTAAGAATGTGGAATTACTTTCTTTATTTAGACTAATTATTTTTAATTATATTCTTCAAAATTTGACTTTATACTAGCAATTAATTTTTTTATCCATTTCAGACGGATCTTAGCAAATGGAGAATAGTTTTTCTCATTATAGCAGCGATATGTATCGTAACGAACATTGTCTTTATGTTATTCGCGACTTCAAAGTGTGAAGATTGGGACAATCCTGACTACGAAGACAAGAAGAAGGCAGATCCAGGTAAATAAATCTTCCGTCACGTACAAATCGTCCTTGCGTGTACGGTTTTTAACAAAAAAATCTTCTATAATCTTGATTTTATAAATTTCCTATGCGGTCCCAACGGGAATCTGTGTGAATATTACATGAATGAAATACGTTTTACTATCTTCTTATTTATTTATCTATATATTAGATATAAATTTGGTTAGTTTAATTACAGCACAAGTTGTTTGTTTATTTCCACAGAGGAAGTGAAACCGGCGTTAACAAGCTCTCAGATGTCAAAGGAAGAAGAAGCCAGAATACACTAGTAAAAGAAAACTATAAAAGACTGCACGATCTAGTTCCCATGTCGTTTATTGACAAAGAGTCGAAGGAACTGTATAGAAAGAAAAGAAAAAGTGTAGGCAATCTGGAATACTCCTAAGCGTTTATACTCGGCTTACACAAGAACGCTAACTATGGAATTTGTTTTGCTGATTTTATAATTAATCATACTTTTTAGATTTTTACAAATAAAATATTACGAAATAAGTTATCACAGTGTATTTATTCTTTCTATGTTTTAAAAAAAGGAAATTATATTCATATATAGCCATGCACGATATAAATTATCGAGATTTGTTGAATTAGAAAGATGGAATTTTCACCTTCATACTTTTAGGATTTGGCTAGGTCTTTTGCGAGACTGAGTATATTTATTACTAAATTGCATAGCACTGATACAGATAATACTAACTATATAGGTCACCGGTACCATGTAATATTAAAGCAAATGAGAATAATTTCTAATGGTAGAACTTTGCAGCTTTCATTTTGCATCTGTAGCTCATCGGGTGTTGTAGATCTCTTAGGGGGATATCACTCAATATCAGATGAAATATTAGCTCCGTTGTCGCTTTTATTAGCATCGATACTACTTTATGTTGTAATGATCGTTATATATTGTCCACTTTCTGTGTTCAACTATTTTACATGACTGTATACATCAGCCAATAGCAGCATATTTGTATATTCGCTTAGAAGATATTCTCAATTTACGTATTAACATTAACAATATATTTACCATCATATTAATATAATCTTTATTACATAGTCTAAAACAAAGTCGCTCCCGCAATTTGTAAGCTTAGACTTTTTAAACTCCGCAACGGATTTAATGTAGTTTTCAGCAATAGATAAAAGTCATTCAATAGAAAGGTTTATATTTAAAAATACATATTTTATTAAAGAAAAACCGAGAACTTTAAAGATTCGTAATATGATGTAGTAACAAATCTTTTCTATATCTATCAAATCGTATGAGATAGATAAAATTAATATACGACGGATCTGTATATCTTAAAAACAACCCACAGTAACCATTTTTATCTTTTACATATAACAATAAAAATATAGGCTATTTACCAAGCAATATTCCTTATACTGTATACATATATATAATAAATAACAGAAAACAATGTTTTGAATATTAAATAATAGCCTACACACAGATTTTACGATACGTAAAGCATTAAGAAGTGCGAATACATTCGCTCTGTATGCTCATGTAAGAATTTGACGATACCTAATAACTGTTCTTGCCATATTGTATCTGATATTCGAAAACAACATATTTACTAAACGTACTATTCTAGCTAGCTATTTCTATTTTATATTCTAGCTTTTTAGTATAAACTGTTGGCATTCGCTCAACGTAACACTTCGGCGCCGGAGATTTTGGATTCCCGAACGCCATTCCCTTACGTTGGGAGCGACATTGCAGCCAACAACGGCCACTGATTACACTGCAATACCCTTTCCAATAGAGTGCAGGGTGGAACACTCCCCCGTAGACGGCTACAAAGCCTAAGTCATCGCCAAATCGTCGGAGATGGCCACGACAATGGGCTCTGCGACTGCTGGTAAGGCAACCCTTCACTCCATAATAGTATGCATGAGCAGATTTTGCGCATGGTGGCAGTGGTGGCCCTGGAGAAATTTTAGGGGCGGATGTTTTGGGATTCATTAATGTTGTTAAATAAAAATCAGGGAGCGAGCTTATTATCCAAACCACCGCCGTAAGACGAAATGCCGTTAAACGCAACATGCACAATACGACTATCGCCAGTCATACGCCATCTCAAAGCCCCTACCACCCCGCATCTACACCTCGAACCTCCAACAACCAGAAAAATACGATGCACCGATATTAGGTACACAAGACAAGACGCATTACTGCATATAGCTGCGAGCACTAAAGTGACTATCGCGTAGGTTTCCCTCACATTAATCCAATATGATTCTAATCAAATTCGGTTCCTAATTTTGAATATATTCGTAACACTAGAAATGTCTATACATACTCTCTCCTGAGCCAAATGATAGCCAACGTATCATAATGAAATACACTACCACCACCAGCCGCTCACTAAGCCGAATTCACATTTTTTTAGTAAAACGTAGGTAGCACCATCTCGAGACAAGATGGATTTTATTATGCTTACAGTCTTTTATTAAGTCTCGATAACAAAATTACAGTTCTAAATTTCATTTACAATATATGATATCAAAAGATGGCAATAAATGTCTTATAATTTGGAGGAATTATACAATGTTGTGCCTTATTCAAATTATCTGAGGAGCTGCCCACCATTGTTACAGTTAACAGTCAAGCCTTAGATAACATCTTGACAAACGTTACGCATTTAAATGGTTGACATTGCAAATATAACAAATGTACATTGGGATAACGTAGCTATAAAACAACTGTCTCAATGATAACGCATCATGAAATGTGACGACGGAAAACTCATTCTATATTAAAAATAGATGTGGCAATGGTGTAGATGCGAACAAAGGAGTGTTTTTGTTTATTGTAGAATGCTCTGTTGTGACAAAAAGAAATATGGACGTGGAATTTTTGAAATATAAGTTCCAAGACAGTTGCGATGGAGTTATTACGAAAACAAGTAAGTTGTATGAAACAAGCGTACAAGTGCAGGCGGCTTCTTTTTATTTCCTCACTAGCATTGTTCTTGCCAAGTTTTGAGTTGTTTTTATAACATCTCTAGAACTTTTAAAGTTACGATGGGGACTTGTTTCCCCATTACTATTGAGAAAGGAAAACTTATATAGAATAATTATTTTATACATATTTTTAAATTTAAAGTACTATGATTTTACATAATATGAACTTTACAGTAATATGATTTTGTTATTGTTACCACTGGTTAAATTAAGTTAACGATATCACATTACATATTGTGAAAGCTTGGTGCAAGGTTTATTAGCATCATAAATTAAATAGTTAATGTCGACCGTACTGCGACGGAGTACTAATTAGTGCACAACCAACTTACTATTTCTTACGAGCCATTGCTCGGGATATTTCCACGTTCCGTATTTATTGTGTGCAAAAATATTTGCCCCATCTGTGTAGGTAAATATGGAACCATTTGCCTCTTTAACTCTTTAAAATTTTTCTCAATGCTGCCAACATAATAATTGTTAAATATTTTTCATTATAACTTCATTATAAGAGAAGGAATATTCATAAATAAGGTATTTTTGTTGTATATGCAGAAAAACTATGCACATTAATTACTTCAAATATAGTGGATTACAATTGATCTGGTTCCAGAGTTCAAAATCGGAGTTCGGCACGTGCAAGTGTTTTACATGTTCCTATGCTCTGTGGTGATGGGGACAATGCGAGGTGGCATTGGGATTGAGATCTTGGCAATAGTAGATCCCGCACGTCGGAAAGATTCCTATATTCAAGTAAACAGATTTTAATAATACGAAGCTTTTAACTGCGGCTACTCCCTTGATTCTGATTGCTTTAGAATTATTAATCTTAACTTTTATTAAACTGGATTAAATTTAAATTTGACCTCCGACGCTCCAACATAATCTCAATAGAAAAATATATTAGCAAAACCAGGACCGAATGTATTTCGGAATCGGAAATCGGAAAAAGCCACTTAACGAAGTTGACCATAGCGGACGGGAGAGCAGTCACCTCAAAGCCTGAACTTCTGTCGGTAACTGTGAGGCTTCTATGGTCAGCTTTACGCCTAGTACTCGCCTCGACTAGAACCCGATGCTAAGGACGAACGAGCCACTTGGATCCACCACTTCAACGAAGATCTCCCCGACGGCAGCCTTGACGAAATTGAGTTGGCTCTTAGACGGCTTAAGAATTTAAAAACAACTGGGGAAGATGGAATCACAATGGAGCTTTTGAAATTAGGTGATACTCCAGTACCGAAAGAGATATTTTTTTGATGAGTACGTGGCGCTGTTGCCAAGGTATTGGCTTCGGCGTCAGGGGTCGTGGTTTCGATTATCACACGAAACAACTATTGTTGTTACCCACAGATAGTTGTTTCGCATCTGGGTGTTTGTACACGTGAAAATAATATTTGTAAATCGTCCTTACAACACAGGATACCGTTATCCTAAACTAAGGGCAATGTTTTTAAAAAGAAAAAAAAAAAACAAAATCTGTTTGAATCCAGCATCTTCAATAGAAGAACTCCTCAGGAATGATAAAAAGTATAGTCGTCCTGTTCTTCAAAAAAAGTGAAGACAAATCTAAGGCCATCACAAATCGTCTTGAATGAAGAAAACGAAACAAAACCAACGATTTTGAAGAGGTTATGCCATAGACCAGATCCACATAATACGGCAGATTATACAGAAATCGATAAGTACAATCAGCCGCTATATTTAGCTTTGTGGACTATAAGAAGGCATTTGACAATGTCGATATCTGATCTGCTCTGTCAACTTTGTCAAGTGGACTGGTGATTTTATATAAAGTTAAGATTCTAAGATGTTTGTATTAAGATTTGACATCTTTTTGATGGATGAAACAATGGAAGAAGACAAGAATTGGTTGTATGGCTATGGGCTGTCCATATAAGCTGCAGAACTGATGACAGAACACATCACATTAGTATATAACCTACATAAATAACTTTCAATTAGTTTTATAGTTCTATAAATTGATTTGCACTGTTACTAAGCCATTGTCATTGTCGTCGACGCTATGAGTTATGTTTCATACTGATCAAATATTTTAATCATGTGGAAACCGAAACCGCAAAGCCGCTTGAGGACCTAAAAATTATTTTGCATTATCTGTACATGAAAAATAATTTTTAGGTCCTCAAGCAATTATATATATATTTATTCTGAAGATCCTAACCCTTATTAAATAAGGTTAAATTACCATAAGAGTTTTAAGTATCCTGTTGCATTATCCTGAATTAGAATGGGCTCGTCTTTTATCAATTTTTATGAATGATATCAATGTTTTCCGTTCGATATGTCATGTTTTTTCGCAATAACCAATGACCCACATTTGTATTCTATTGAATGTGCTAATAATTTAAAAACATGAGTTCATTATTATTGTTTATATCTATAGATACACGACTGGGACAGAAAAGTTCAAGGCACAATTTTGTCGTCATTTCTATTTGGATACGCGCTGATGATAGTACCAGCAGAGTTGCATTTAAGGAGGCTCGGCGATAAATTCGTCATAACTTCGGTTTTATTGATAAACGGAGGATTGAGTGCTGCAATGCCCACGATCGTTAATAAGGTGAATATGGTATTAAATTGTATTTAATGTTCTCTTATACTTTTATTTTTTGTAAAAGTTAATACCTACTTTCTGGTTCGCCAAGGGTTTTAAGTCCCACGTATGACATATTTCGCGTGTAAAATGTAGTACTAAGAAAGAACTAAATGACGCATTTTGACATATTGTGTTTAATTGTTTCTTTTTGTTTTCTGTGCTACTCGATATACTATTCGCATTGAATGATCTCTAAAATCAGAAAGAGAGGAAAATTAATAAAGTAATATTATCGTTTTCCTATATGTAAATAAACAATGATTTTAGCACGGTCTTAAAAGTTTTGTAATGTAAATTCTACCACATTTAACGTTCCAAACACCTTTGCATCGATAGTTATTTCGTATAATGTATTCCTTTTTTTGACGCGGAAATTTTTTTAGAAACTATAGTTCCTATCAGAGTGAAAAAGAGTTGCCATGGCTCCATAGAAGTGCAGGGTAAGTTTCGCATTTCGTTCCTCAAAACTTTTCGCTGCACTTCTATGAGGCATTTTTTTTTTATTATCACCTGTAATTATGTTTGCATTGTTTACGGCAACAGTTCTTTTATTCGAGTGACACCCGGTTACTCATTTGACAATCCTTTACATATAGAACATTGAGGATATCCTTTCACCGCATACATCAATTCAACACTATATTGCATAAATAAAAAATATACTTTGGGGATGAGGATTCATAGCAAACTGAAGGAAGAATTCTGTTCAGGGCGGTTGGGCCGCGATGTGCAACGCTCACTTCCTAATGGGCATGACGCAGGCGTGTCTATCGCCCGTCAACCAGGAATTGTTATCGAAGTGGCTCCCACCAATTGAGAGACGCACTTTCGGACGCTTCATAGATTCAGGTAGGAACAGAAGTAATTTGAGGTCAAGATTTAGGCGCCGTGAGGTCATCCGCCAGTCAGATTAATTAGTATAATATCTGGCGCGATACCAGAAGACGCAGGATCGATCCACACAGCGCCGAATGCTTTTGTTCATTTATCTACAAAAAAATATGTTTTAAACAGTTCCATACTAAATTTATCTTAGCCTATTCTGAAGATCCTAAACCTTATTAAATAAGGTTGAATTACCATAAGAGTTTTAAGTATCCTGTTGCATTATCCTGAATTAGAATGGGCTCGTCTTTTATCAGTTTTTATGAATGATATCAATATTTTCCGTTCGATATGTCATGTTTTTTATTTACGTGTTATTAAATATTGCTTAAATTAATTTTAATGATGTTAATCTAGGTTTCATCATTTCAGAAGACGAGGGAAGCATTACCTAACCGAGTCTCAGTCCGCCATTCTGTGTGAACACTCTTGACTTGAGTCGAGGTCCTTGAGATGATGATTTCATAACAATTAATTCTAGGTATATACCTTGGTATGGTAGTAGCTCTTCCCATCGCTGGCCTGTTGAGTGAGTCGCGTTTGGGCTGGGAGCTGCTGTTCTACTCTCAGGCCATGATGACGCTGTCGATGGCCGCAATATGGGGCCTCCTCACCGCTACCTCACCGGATGAACACCAGGCCGTCGGTGACTTTGAGAAAGAGTTTATCAAAGAGGCATTAGCCTGTTATCGCAAGGTATTTTTTTAATTCATATATAATATTATTTCTTCGATACATACGCACTTTGCTTGTTAAAGAACTACTTCTTTTAAATTGACTGTGGCAATGAAAACAAATCATAATTGATCAATTCAGAGTTATGTATATGCAGCAGTCTGCGATGTCCAACATTTCTAGAACTTTTGGTCGAGAACAGACGAGGAACGCATGTCCTGCGTCTTGCTACAAGCTTAATACAGCCGAATTTAATGTTTCATCCATATAGCTACTTGACTGTTTTTTTACAGTAAAAATATTTTTTATAAATAAAGGAAAATGTATTTTTCCTGAACTTGTCAAGATGATTAAGTTGGAAAATTATTAATCAAAGATTGGAACAGAGGATTTAAAAAGAAATTTAGTTAGATAAGTAGTTTTTTAAAAATTCGCAAATTTCCAAAAAAAAAATGTTTACTTATTACTCAAAATTTCCAACGTTACTATAACTACGTAAGCTTCCCTTGAATATAAAATATTTTTTTTGGAAATGAAACTAAGTGAAAATAGAATTTCGTTTGTCGCTTACCATTAAAGCTACATTTTTGATGATATTTAAGAAACCATTGCGGAAGCCGTGGCGAAGTATCCTCCGGTCGAAACAGGTCTGGGCCATTGCGTGCGCTCACTCAGCGTCCTGTTCCCTGTTCGTCTTCTATTTAGTGGACATTCCACTGTATTTGAAGTCAATGGGATTATCTCTTAAGGAGGTAACCTGTCAGTTTTGTTAATCGTGAAGGTATTTTTTAAAAGGCAGAAATTGACATAAGTGTACATAAAGTTTTGCGACGCCGGCTTTACATTCTCGGTTCTACATGAACTTACAAATAAACAAAACACTTATGTTGTGGCGTTACCACCTTGTGAATTGTGGAGTTAATGGTGATGGGCTCATTTTTTTACGAATTGCTCTTGCCTGGCGGCAACTCTCTTTGAAAAAAAACATCTATTTCCTGAAAAATTATCTGTGGGTCACACAAATACTGGCACCGAAGCCAATAGCAACTGTGGAACGTAGTCATGAAAATAAACAAAATACATTTTATATAATTACAATAGATTAAATTCAAGAATTGATTGAAACATTCCTAAAGGTTTCAGTGCTTTGTAAAAAAAACCGGCTAAGTGCGTTCATACCATTGTCTATGAAAACGGAAAAAAATCAAGGCTTTTGTATGGGAGCCCCACTTAAATATATTTTATTCTGTTTTTTAGTCTGTTTTGTTATAGTGGCAATAGAAATACATCATCTGCGAAAATTTCAACTGTCTAAGTATCACGGTTAATGAGATACAGCCTGGTAACAGACGGACAGACAGACAGCGGAGTCTTAGTAATATCCTTTGTTCCTTAGAAGGAATTTTTACTGCATTTTAATATTTGGTTTTGAAATTAAAAAAATATGGCGAGCCTGCCAAACTTTCTCTCGTTAAATTTTTAAACTTTAGCCATAATATATGAGGCGCTTTTGCCCGGCGGACATGTTGTGATATATTGTGGATTATATCCTTAAGCCAGTTGCTGCCCGGTTTGCGTTGTAGAGTTTTCTGAAGCAAAAAAATCTTGAATAGAGTATATTTATACAAACTCAATAACGTTCATCAATTAGCTAGTGGGTGTTGTAAAGTATACGAGATAAAAAAGAACAGCTAATTTTATTTATAAAATAATTTTTAAATTTAAAATTCTAAAATTTTTGGATTGCTTTGTGCACCAGCTTTAATATCTATACCAAGTTAATGAATAATAATATATATATATATATATTTAGGACAATAATATATATCTTAGGACACATTTTTACACAAAATTTTCTAGTCCCAAACTAAGCAACGCTTGTACTATGGGTACTAGACAACTGATAAACATACATAAACATACTTTTCTTTTGTAAATACATACATATTATACATACACACCCAGACACTAGAAAAACACTATGTTCATCACACAATATTTTTCCAGTGGTGGGAATCGAACCCACACCCTCTGGCGCAGAAGGCAGGTACACTACCCACTACGCCATTCGGGTCGTCAACCTTATAAAACTCTTCGATATATTTCATTATGATTAGAAAATCAATAGAAACATATGGCATTGTTATCGTTCCACTTAACCAACACATTAGTTTTATTTGCATATTTTCTTCTAGGTATTACTTACAAGGTATTATTTTATAATAAGAGCCGTGATAGCCCAGTGTCCGGGCGCTCGCCTTTAATTCAATATACTCGAGCAACCTGAGTTCGATCCCCGGTGCCGGCACCAATGAAGTTTTTAACTTTAAGTGCTGACTTATCACGTGCTCCGGGTGAAGGAAAACATCGTGAGGAAACCTGCATATTTTCGAAATAATAACAAAAAAAAATATATATATTTCGAAGATATGTGAAGTCCGCCAATCCGCAGTGGGGCCGCGTGGTGGACTATGCCCTGATACCCTCTGTATAGAGGAGGCCTTTGCCCAGCAGTGGGACATGTATAGGCTGTTACTTTACTTTACTTTTTTTACTTACAAGGCATTATTTACAAAAAAATGATAAATGAAAAAAAAAAAGAGAACTCATTATTTTTTCTAACTTCTTCATAATAGTTTTACAAAGAACATGTAGTTAAGTCCAAAACACATACAACTTAACAAGAAACTTAGTTTGCACGCCGTTACCAAAATGTATTCGGCCGCACCAGACTGCTTAAGTAACTCGATAATTTAAATTATTATCAAAATTATTTTGTTTTCAGAGCGCGCAACAGTCGACGTTGCCTTTTATCGCTTTATGCACAATTTACTTGACCACAGCACCAAGCGTGAATTGGTTATTAAAGTCTGGATTTTTGGCTTACGTGTTCAACGTAACTTATTTGAGAAAACTGATAAATGCATTAGGTCGGTAAGTGTTTGATTATTTTTTATTCACATTTACTAATAAACTCCGAATAATTTGTATAACTAGTTTGTATAACTAATTTGTATAATCCATTATACACACATACATAACAGTACCCATTAAGGGTAGGTATTTATACAAACAAGGTAATGAATAATTAGTTATTATTACACACTTGATCCAGAGCTATAAGGCCTCCTTGAAAGAACTTTAATATATTATAATGTCTTGAAATAAGCGGACATGACACATTGTTGAAAACTAATTTAAATTACAAAATATCGTTTTACAAACATAATTTGAACGAGAGATGTCACAATTGCTATTAGAAATTTATATTTTTATAGTGCTTATTTCTGCACTTAAGATGAAACATTAATATTTGTAGAAAAAACACCGATCTTCGAAATTGTTTGTATGCTGTGATGGATATAACAATGGAGGCGCCAAGTATTGCTTGAAATGCGATAAACAATGTAGATAAAAAGCGTTGAGATTTCGGTGTGGCAATCAGCTTAGTGATTAAAGTTTCAGGGCGCGAATGTCGAAGATGTGGGTTCGATTTCCACAGCGGCGAAAAAACCTTTCGTAATTTTTTCTACAAATCTTAAGTGCAGATTAGCACTTTAAAAATTTTAATCCACTGTACTATTTTATAATAAACTTAATGAAAAAAAAAAAAAAAAAAAAAAAACTTTAATATGTTTAAATAACGAAATGCCTTTTCATTTACATCTTTTATGATAAACATAGGTAGGGATTAATTTGGAATTTTTAAATCGCCATTTTGCGGCTGTCGATCGTGCATTGTCACAGGAACTAAACGAGTGTGCCAAATTTTAGCTATATAATACACTAGAAAATGGGTCAAATATAATTTAAAAGCTTGTAAAAAAGTCTTCTATCCTGTCTTAATTTATTTTTGCCTTGGTATGAATATTTTATAATCTCGTGACTTCTTTGTTTTCAGGTGCTTTCTCGATAGTAATCGGTCTAAATGTTGTATCTAATTTAACTGTTGAGTGGGCTCATTTAAAATGTTCAGTATTAATTGGTATATTGGGATTACTGGGGTTCCAATATTCCGGATTCCTGGTGAGTAATTTTAATTTTAGATTTCCTTAATTTTTGAATTTAAGATTTCCGTCAAAAAAAAAATGCAAAGCGATATCTATTAACATTAACAGGTATTGCTTTGTATTTTTTGTTTTGCCACAGCTATAAATCTGTTGCATTATTTGTGCTGTTCTTGTTGTTGGTGTACCGACACTAGCACAAGGCACTTATTGGACTAGCCCAGCTTGCCCAGTTTATATACAAGTATTTATGCTTATACTATTCCGCTTCGTTCAGTGTATGAAATACGATTAGTTCACCCGTTCGATAACTCCGTGGCGCAGTTGCCAACGTATTGGCTTCGGCGTCGGGGGTCGTGGGTTCGATTCCCACACGGGACAACTATTTGTGTGACCCACAGATAGTTGTTTCGCAACTGGGTGTTTGTCCGAGTGAAATTTATGTTTGTAAAACGTCCTTACAACACAGGATAATGTTATCCCAAAGTAAGGGCAATGTTTAAAATAAAAAGAAAGAAAGAAGAAAGTAAAGTTCCCTCACTGGATTCGCGTATGTCAGTTCATACGTTCAGTTATTAGCAACTCGCATGTGACATCCATTCACGTTTTCTGATGCTAACCGCGTGAAGACCACCCGCTCCTCTTGATATAAAACAAATAAGAGCAATACATTTTAATACGACTTTTTTCAGGAGAATATTCGAAATTCAAGCCAAAACTACTCAGGTACTTTGATCGTCCTGACCAGTGCATCCGCCAGTGTCATCGGAGCGGCAGTACCTCTTTTTACAGGACTTATCATTGGAAACGAATTGGTAATGTGCCCAAATCATTTGTCGAATCCGTAGTAAAATGGCAACACTGGCTAAACAGGGTGGCTTTTCTAAAGGTGCCCAAAAGGTTCTACCGAGTCTGAAACCTCCTGTGTTCAAACTATAGCTGTATAATCGTTTATTGAAATAAAAAAACAAACTATTTTTTTTTTAAATTGCAATTCTATTCCCTAAAAAACGGAACTTGTTGATAATGCGGTAGTCATTCGTAAATGCGTAGTATACTTTTGAAACGAACTTGTGTGCGTGTTAGTTATGAATGATCGCGCGTAAAATAAATGAGTTGCACATAAATCACGCACTTTTTGAGATAAGTACAAATGAATGTAATTAATGAATTACGAGTGATTTTAAATATTTATCATTTTTATACAACATTATTTATGTCTAGAATTTAATAAAAAAAAATGGATACACTTAGAAAAGCCTCCCTGTATAAAAAATGGATGTAAATTTTACAAATTGTGGAATACAAGCATAAGCAGGTTAGAAATAAAAATAGTAACTTAATACTCATTTTTTGTTAGGAAGTCTGTACAGCAGCCAGAATGAGCTCGGAACGGCTTTTGAAAGATATAAGCGAGTATAGTTAATGATTTTTTAGAACCCATAACTAATGCTTATTAACGTATTTCATATTCGAAGACATGTGTTGCAGTAAAATTTTCCAGTAGAACACTTACGCATGCCAATGACTTAACGTTTTTGTAGACATTCTTATCAAATTTGAATTAGTGCGTTTACGATTTCGATTTTGCTACCGTATACTATGTACTTATACACTTATATATGTTTATTTCCGATGTTTAGGATAATGTACGGAGTTGGAAAATCGTGTTTGCCACGCTGGGAAGTTTCTATGCAGTCTGCAATATCATCTATACTCTATTTTCTGGCAGCCGAAGGCCAGAATGGGACGACATTGACAGGAATAAGTTCGGCTACCACAACACCATCATCGGCCATGAGGGTAATTGATTTGTTCATAAAGATATCAATATGAGGTGAACCGCACCGAATAACATGCTACATAATCCATGAATATGACATACATATAGTTTTAACGTAATTAACAGAAAATATTTTTTTCTCTTTACAGATACAATTCAGCTAGAGCTGTGTGAAATGAGCGATAAAAAGTAATAACTGATCAAATAGAAAATGACACAATTATTTGACGAAATTCTGCATTATTATTGTTATATCATGAATAAAGTTCTTGAATATTGAAAAAAAATCAAGAAAATAAATCGATTGAAAGTTGAGATTTTGATATTATTCGAATACTTGTTACAAAATAGTACAAATACCTGATTCAAGGTTAACTATTTCGTTATACTGATAACAAAATATTTCTAAGCCGTACAAAAAATGTTTGAAACCAAGCATTGAACACTGGTTGTGTTTTGGAATTTGTATACGTAGTCGTAATAACATAATTATATTACACCAATATACATAATTATATTATAGAGAAGTTCCATGGCTCTCAAGTAACGGTAGAAGGATATTGGGATGTAATTCTAATACAAGGTTACAAATCATAATTTTGATGGGAAAGACACTTGGCTAAATTTAATTGTTAATTCAGCCCCTGCCCTTGTCGCTTCCCATGGCGAATACTCATGGTTTCTCTCATCGTGACCTCATTTACCTTTAATTCTTCCTCAAACCGCTCAAACACTGCACCTACAATACTGCACTTAGATACTCTTTCACGCAAACACCACTGAATGGATTCTTGATCATTGATTTCTTCAATGTAATCAGTTGATATGTAATGGTAAACATTGACACAATTTGATCGATATCATCAGTTGATATCTGGAAATTGCTTGGAACTATTGTTATTGGTGAAAATCCACCTTTTGTGTTTTATAGGACATTTGAATAAGATAATGTCAATAAAAGTAAAAAAAATAGACATCTAATATCTATTAAAATTTCATCCTATGTGCAGATTAGCAGTAAAAATTAAATAACCCTAAACGCCAAATAATAATTGTTTATATTCATAATATTAATTACCCACATAATATTTATTCTTATCTTCACGATTTTTTCTTTTAATGGAAATGGAGTTTATTAACTTTATTTGTTCTTCTCACTACTTGTGACGGGGGTACTTTAAAAAGGAAATAACCCGTCAAAACAAATTACAAAAATTCTATTTTTTTTTTTCAAATTAATAAAAAATATGGTCGTGTATAGCCCACCTTATTTCTGCCAACGTAGTCCGTTACTCCCCTGTGTGCTGCTTGACCGAGGAACTTCAGCTGCATGAGGATTTGCCAAAAGGATGGAAGTCACGAAGACGTCGTGAATCTCGTGGCAGGTGATGCTGCGTGCCAGAATTTTATAAATTACAAGGGATGCGTCAGGCCGCGAATGCCGAAGACGTGGGTTCGATTCCCACAGCGGCGACAATCTTTTCGTACTTTTTCTACAAATTTTAATGTTTAATAAAGTGCAGAGATTAGCACTATAAAATTTTTTAATTTTTAAAAAGCAATATGGACATCTCTCGTTCGAATTATCGTTGAAAAACGATAATCGAAATTGTTTGTGTGCTGGAAAGGATATAACAATGGATGCGCCAAGCGTTGCTTCAAATGATAAAAAAACAATTTGGATAAAAGACGTTAAGATTTTCGTCGGTGTGGCAATCAGCCGTTTAGCTTAGTGGCTAAAGCGTCAGGCCGCGAATGCCGAAGACGTGGGTTCGAATCCCACAGCGGCGACAATCTTTTCGTACTTTTTCTACAAATTTTAATTTTCAGCCTGATTTCAAACTGTAGGTCCATGCAATAGTTTTCGCTGTTGCACGAATGGGCAGGGCCGTCTGGGGAAGTACCACAAACTCACAGAATATCAGCGTAAAGTAGAAGTATTATGCTTGTTCTTCACGCCGGGAGATTTTATTTGCAATCAAAAACACAAGTACAATGCTTAACACAGAATTAAGAGCCAAAAATTACATTTATATATTCATGTATATGAGATAAATCTTATTCAATTTTGAGTTTTATATATTTTTTACTTGTATACTAAATCAAAATTTTATGTAATATGCTAAGTGCAGTTTCCAGTTGGCGTGTGGACTGGTATAAATCGATCACCGGTTTTTAGCAATTTCTTGAGGGCAACCATGCCTTTAAGTATTTAGACCATTAAATCGTTTGAGTTTAACATTTCTCCTACACCGCTTCATTAGAAATATTTTCGAGTTTTTCTCACTCTATAGAGGAGCGCTACGCTTTAGCTTTTGAAGGCAAGGCAAGACTGAAGCGCTATCATAGTAGTCAATAAGGGGGTAGGCTAGGGGTAACGCAGAATCATAAGCGTGGTTTCATGTAAATATTACCTCACTCAGCAGACGAAACGCAGAAGTATAACACTTCGACTTCACGCCGGTTTCCTTTGAGGCTATGGTACTTCCCCGAACGGACCTGCTCATTCGTATCAGAGCGAAGATTAGTCCGTGGCCCTACCGGATGTACAAAAACCTCCTCCTTTTTGAAGTAGGTTGAAAATGAACTATCTTTGAATTATTACGAGATATCTTTGAGAAAATTGCAAGGAATGTAAAATCTATTCGTGAAAGAACTATATCAAAATCAAAATCAAATACCTTTATTGAATATACAAACATTACACTTTCTTATTGATTGTCAAAATGCTACCACCGCACTGGTTTGGAAAGAAAAGCCACTGACCTGAGAAGAACCGCCGTAAGAAACTCAGCGGGACTTTCTTTTTTCTTTATACCATTGTTTATCAAATAAAGAAATGTTTACAAATGTGTTAATGTCAACTTGAAAGAGCCTGGAGCGATCACTTAATTTCCAGGGTGTGTTATCATTTAAATAATCATTAATATTATAATAACAGAGTAATATAATCATATAGATCCATTAATCTAAAATCTTATTATATGAAACTAAACACCGAAAATTGTTAACAACCCGTCATATTTTTCGCTAATTTCTAATGAGTTATCAAAACACAACAACGTCACAAAATTCTTAAATACTAGTAACATAGCATATCTAAAAATATACAGTACCTAATATTTGTTTGTTATATTTATAATCAAGCTTAACCTATTAATACTCATTTTAAAGCCAGGAAAAGTTTTATTAAGAACTTAAGATAAAATAATTACATTTCTTACTCTAAGTTTAAACGAAAATTCAAATTTTAAATATGTTTGATCATATTTTAATCATAATCGTTTATTATTAATGAAAAATTATTGAAATAAATCGATAAAAGCCGTACTAACTCAGTGGCTCGCCTTTGATTTAATTTACTCCAGCCACCTGCGTTCGATCCCCGGTGCCCAGAATCAATGAAATTGTTAATTTTAAGTGCTGACTTATCACGTGCTCAGCGGTGAAGGAAAATGTCGTGAGGAAACCTGCATATTTTTGAAATAATAATAAAAAAAATATTTCTAAAATATGTGAAGTCCGCCAATCCGTAGTGGGGTCGCGTGGTGCCCCTTATACTCTTTTTACAGAGGAGGCCTTTTTCCAAGCAGTGGGTCATTTATAGGCTGATACCTTACTTTTTATACTTGAAATAATGTTTTTGAAGTAAATAATTGCAATCGAAAAAACCGAGGTTAATGTAATAAAATATTTTGATAAAATGAATGCTTAAGATGTAGTACCAAAATTTTTAATAATACACGGTGTGCGTTATTATTTTGTCAATAACCCCGATTATCAAGCCTACTTCTTATTTTTCTATGACATCTCTATGACTATGACTTCTTTTACGGAAACCCCATTCTATGTTAATGCTGGTAGCTTTAAGATATTCTCATATTTAGTAATAAATTATGTCGATATTTCACCTGGTCCTGCATCCTATCTCAGGTTTTGTGACTTAAGCAACATTAATAATTGATATATCTTAGTATACGACTACAAGTCTCATGCCCCGTTTCCGAAAGGCCAATCAAAGCAGCAATCACATAACACTATGTCAAAAATGATCAGCTGTTAATCTCTTGTTAAACTGCCTTGGGTTTCTGGAAGGTTTGTTCAAGAAAAATTAGCTAACTAACTCTTTCTATTGTATAGCTGTCCCTCTTTAAACAAAACTTAAATTAACGTCACTATCCAGTGCTGTCACCGTGTGATTGCCAACCTAAAAATCGCATGATATGTTCGCATAATAATAAATAATAAACAGGTAATAGAATACATGAATTTCCTTACGACGTATTATGCAATTATGATTATTTTTAATAAAAACTAAGATTTTTGATAAAATACATTTTTAACCAACGATTGATCGTCCAAATTGACAGATTACTTAATAAAACTTTTGACAGCTCGTTGACCACCGAAAAATGCTTTCAGAAACTCGATTTTCTGTTGATTATCCGTTAATCAGTGACTAATTGCAAATCAAAATCAATGTTGTTTAAGACGTTCTAGCAACTCAAATCATGTTAAACAACGTTTGACAAGAGATTTATCGTAAATTAAAATTGATTGCGCTTTCGGAAACTGGGTGTCAAAAGCATATCTTTGAGCTGGAATTAAAAATGTCTGAATCTTTCGTTAATAATGACGTAAGTTAATACATCGTGTGACTTTCAATTTTGTGGTCAATTTGTATTGTTGTTATTAAAGAAATTTCACGTAGAGGAAACATAAGTACTTTTTTATACCGTTGTTTTTTTTTGCTAATGCAAGCCAGAGATGATTCCGTGGCGCCGTAGCTAAGCTATTGGCTTCGGCGTCGGAGGTTGTGGGTTCGATTCCAACACGGAACAGATTTAGTAATCCACATATTGTTCCGGATCTGGGTGTTTGTTTCCCAAAGGGGGTTGGCGTCAGGCAGGTGGCCGGTCATAAAAATATATCCAAAACCGCTTACAACATAATTCACATGTTGCGCCGACCACCAAGGTGGGATAAGGAGGATGATGTATAAATCAGCGGTTTTCCAGCTATAAGCGCACAAATGGAGAATTAATAATGATATATATATAATGTATTAATGAAGAGCCAATGTGAAAATGCATTTCACCACACTCCTGAGAGCCTTGCGGTAATAGATACGAGGGCAAAGTAATTGTCATTATCTGATGTGTGATGAGTCAACCTAATTCACAAGTAGATGTAGATGGGATAATTACGTAGGTCACGTGAAGTTTTAAACGACATCGACACACGTCATATCTGCGTAATTATTCCGCAGTCATCTGAGATGAACTAAGAATGTATCGGTCGATAATAATTAATATGATGGAGCTTTTTTTTTCATGGTAAACCTCAAAACTGATTGTCAAACTGTAAACTACATTTTTGGTATACTTTAGTTAGAAGTAAATTTGAACAATAATCTCGATTGTGTATTATAGTACGTGATAGTGTCTTACCTGCGGTAAAGACAGCAATAACTAGCTATTCATGACATAACGTGCTTTAGTGCCAAAACCTGTTGCACGTTATGAGCCGGAGGACTGACATTTTATGATTTTGACAGAAAAGCAGGAATTCCATTGGTCATAATTATAATATACATATTTGACACATACTTCGGTTAATGTTAAGGTCAAGCTGTTTTGCCATATCACAATAAAACTATCTCCATCAGGCTGTTATCAACGACTTCGACAATTTGTTTTAAAAAGAATTTTTTACGACTAATATTCCAATTGTTTAATACGGTTATATAAATTTACGCTCCATCGCTAAGGATCTTAGCAGTAACTAACCATAAGCAACATGGCAAACTGAAAAAAACATTACGAAGCGTCAACTATGAATTTGTTGCACCATTTAATAATAGTAAAACCGTGCAGCACATCTAGTAATAGTTTATTACCACTAGTATAACCTAAATGTTTTATGCAAAAGCTTGTAGTCAGGATACTTGGAAAAAAACATAGAAAACCCCTAAGTCTGTTACTCTTTATTAAGCTGCAGTTATTTCGTAAGGTTTTTGCATATTTAACTGTGCACGTGATTATTTACGATATCTATGTTTTATCTAGTATACTGACTTAGAGCCGTGATAGCTCAGTGTCCGGGCGCTCGCCTTTAATTCAATATACTCGAGCAACCTGAGTTCGATCCCCGGTGCCGGCACCAATGAAGTTTTTAACTTTAAGTTATGACTTATCACGTGCTCCGCGGTGAAGGAAAACATCGTGAGTAAACCTGCATATTTTCGAAATAATAACAAAAAAATATATATATTTCGAAAATATGTGAAGTCCGCCAATCCGCAGTGGGGCCGCGTGGTGGACTATGCCCTGATACCCTCTATGTAGAGGAGGCCTTTGCCCAGCAGTGGGACATGTATAGGCTGTTACTTTACTTTTTTACTAGTATACTGACTTATATGAAAGAAATTCAAGGAAGAAACTAAATGTCTCGTTAGGACTGTACGTTTCCATGGATGGTACGATATAAAGTAAACAATGCAGATAAATATACGCAGTAGTTGATTTATAATGTAAACGTTAAATATTTGTATTATTTAATATTTGGGAATAGTACTTCAAGTAATCAAAAATGCTAATTTGTTTGTTTATTAATATATAAGGTTAAATAATTTAAAACGACTAATTTACAATTAAAAAATAAGAGAAAACGTAAATGAAAACATCGTTCTAACCCTCGTTTCGGCGTTTTCCCTACGCAAAATGCCAAGTGAAATAAGTTTGTATAACCACAGGACGAACTGTTAGTGAGATCAGACAAACACGTCTACCGCTAAATCACTTTCAACAAATCTTTGAGCAAATATGTGCCAACGTTATCACCAGTTCGGTAATGATTCGCCGAGAATAGTTTCGATCAGTATGTAGGTTCTGTAACAAAAGTCATGTCAACGGAGAAGGTCGCGTATACAAGCGTTCCTGTCGCTGACAAACATGAAGGTTGGTGTGATGGTGACAGTGTTTAATTGTTTTTAAGTCTATTGCTAATCATTAATGGTTATTATAACTAATAATTTATCCCTAATAATTTTGACATACAGATAATTTTGACCTACCATAGTCATACCGTGATAACACTGTGTTCGGGGGCTCTCTTTTCATTATACGCGTGGAACTTGAGTTCAAATCCCAGGACCAATGAAATTTTTGATTTTAAGTGCAGACTTATCACGTGTAGGGCAATATCGTGAGGAAACCTGCATATTTTTTAAAAACATTGCCCTTAATTTAGGATAACATTATCCTGTGTTGAAAGGACGTTTTACAATCATAAATGTCACTTGGACAAACACCCAGATGGGAAACAGCTGTATGTGGGTCACACAAAGTTGCTCCGTGTGGGAATCGAACTGACGTCCCCGACGTCGAAGCCAACACCTTGGCAACTGCGACACGGAGTCATCAATTAAGAGTGTTTCCGGTTGCCACGACACCAAGCGGATGGCAATAGGTTACGTCATATCTTATATTATCCCGGAGAAAATACAAAAAAAAAATACACTTTTGTCCTTCACGAAATGGGAGTGTAATTTAATAATATACCATTGCTACCTGTTATCCGCGAAAGCCACGATGATTGTATTACCTTGCAAACTGCGCCACGGTGTCATCGAAATTTCCATTATTGATCATATATTAAATTCCTTTTCTAGAACCACCCGAAGCCAACCCGACGAACGGCTTCGGTGTTCGACACTTACAAGCCCTCCTTCTATTTGTATCTCTCTCGGTCGGGTTGGCCATGAGAGCCCACTTGAGCGTCACATTAGTGGCAATGACGGGCCACAGCTTGCAGGGGCGTAACATAACTTGCGCTAATCTAGGACACAAACTGGATCTGCACAATTTAAATGCAACCGAAGCCAACCGAACTTTGGATCTAGACAGTTATACGAATGGCCACTCCACTCTGGATTGCACGGAAGATGCTCAGAGATCGTCTATTTGGAACATCTACCGGGTAAGTGTTTATTGATCCGTTTGGATACAGACGTAAAAAGTATTCTAGGCATATTAAACGCTTCTTTTAGTTTTAAATAATTTTTTTTATATAAATTGAAACTTCTTCCTTTCAATTTATAATCCAAATGTAGTGATTAAACTTGAATGTCATGTAATTTAGAAGCATTTTTAATGTTTGTTAAGTATAACAGACATGAAGAATGAACTTCTAACAAAGAATACCTTAAATGCATACTTTAATAATATATTTCTTCTGGTGTTGTATTTTTATTCTATTTTTATGGTTGGTCCTCTAAAGAAATCATTAACCTTTTCATTAAACAACTAATTGTTATCATATTATAAAAATGTAGCCGATCGTTGTCTGTATATGGAAGATATTTAACTGTCTAACTATCACGGTTCATGAGATGCAGCCTGGTGTCAGAAGGGGCAGATAGCAGTATATTTGTTTGAACTCGAAATCTCACGGAGTACTGGTCCGATTTGAAAAATTGTTGCACTGTTAGATAACCCTTTAATTGAAGATTGCTTTAGGTTACTTCTTAAGTACGATATAAAATGTAGTACATGCGGGCGGATTCGCAGGTAAAAATCTAAAAAAGTTTTAATTATTATTTTCCATGTTGTAGACCTATAAGTGTAACTAATAATGTGGATCTACTTATTCTCTAAAGATGTTTATTTATATATGTCGATGTTGTCTTAGAAGTATTTCATCTCCACGTCACGCAAGATGCATTTGAATAGATATAATTGTAACAAAAAAACCTGTTTTTTTTTAGACTTACAACTGGTCAAAACCGAAACAAGAGATGATACTGTTCGCCTTTTTTGTCGGCTACACAAGTATGATGCTGCCCATGGGCTTGATTGCGCAGAAGTTCGGCGGGAAACTACCGATATGCGTCGCGTTGGCTGTGAACGGTATTTTGTCTGTGATGACTCCGTGGATGCCTCTATTTGTAAGTAAAGTTTTTGAATACGCCTTAGCCATAAATGTCTTACAATTATAGTTTTAAGTCTCAGTGTTATTATATGTGCTATTTATATTTAACCTATAAGTATCTCTAGTGTAAGCTAAAACCAATGATCAACCATGGATCATATTATTTAAATAAAATTTAGTTTCTTAAACCTCTTCTCACTTTAGTAATTTTGGCGAGTATTCTTTCCTCTTTTAAGTAATTTCTAAATAATAATTTAAAAATCTATCGAAGATATGAGAATTCGGTGCACCATATTATGCGCAGAGAAAGTTTTTGCTGAGTAGTAGGACATACATTGACAGGCTTTTACATTACTTTACCTTTATTCTATTCAAAATCTTTTTTATAACACACTTAAGGCGCATTTCCTTAGAAAACTATTAAATGAAGCAAATGAACACAAAAAATTATAGTAAATAGTATTAGAATAAGTAATCATCTGTAATGCGGTATTAAAGGTTTGTTTAAATATAATGATGAGTTGATATAAGGTTATATAGGTTCTAAACGCTCATTTTGCACTTAGGGTGGTTGGATATCAGTCTGCATCGGCCGACTTTTGCAAGGGATGACGCAGGCTGCTTTCTTTCCCAGCATACACACGTTGCTCGGGAAATGGGCACCACTGGCGGAGAGAGGAAGGCTCAGCACATATGTTTACACAGGTGACGTTTTCTTTTAAATATTAACAATCACATACATTGTCTTATGGGTTTCTTACGCAGTAAAATGACGATCACGTACTTGTGTGCCCACCATTCGCTGACAGCTTCATATGTAATATTTGTAACTTAATATTCTGAGTTTATATTGATTTCATTATCGTTCTATTTTCCACGTCACTCCTAGAGAGATACTTAGCTTTTTTGGAATGAGAAATTTCTGCAGACTAATTTAAACAAACAACATCCGTTTTACACAACGTAATGTTGAGGTGTAATAAATGCTCGTAAGTGTAATTCTAATATTATAAGGAAAGTGACTATAAGGATTATAAGTGATTATAAGGATTCTCATAAACACTGTTAAAAATGTTAAATTTTATTTCAAATTATGAATTATTCATTCTTGTCCCCTTAGATTGCATCTAATTGTTTAGAAAAAAAAAAAATCTTTACAAAATTTCAGACATTTAAACATGAAACTAATAACAAACAAAATGTAACTTTAATCATAGTATTTTAAAAGCGTGAGCGGTGTTGAACGTTACTAAAAATCATTGGATTATACTTTTATAATTCTAAAGTTTGCTAATTAATAAGGGAAACAGCGAGCCAAGGCTACTAAATAGGATCTAAGACATAAAAAAAACTGTTACGTGTCCCCGGAAACCAAACAGAAAATTAGAATTTCTAGTAACCCGTGTTCTACTCCGGAATCCTCGAAACTAAGTTAGAACTTAGTTTCAACTCCATCCGTAGAGACATGCGACGCGTTTGTTTAAGGGAACTACTGAACGTAGTGTTCGATGTTTGTATTCTTAGTGTTGTTTGTGAAAATTATCATACATTTGAATACTTAACGCGTTGAAAAGTGCTGACTAAGGCCTAAGTTCAGTCCTGAATTTTTAATAGGTGAATCTGCAACCTGTCAGGTGAAGTAGATGTACATAGGCGGCGGTAATTACTTAACATCAGGTGAACCGTTGAAAGTGACAAGCGAGCACGCTTGCCAACTTTCTACATAAAAAAAGTGCTTAAGTGCGAGTAAAAACCTAATTATCACAATTATCATTTACAATCTTTAATTGTAAACTTAAAGTATATAAAAGAACAAAGTTAATTTACATAATATATATATTCAAAATGATTTGCGTAAACTCTTGAATACGTGAAGTATAACAGTGTCCTAACTTTATTGTTTCGTTTGATTTCTGAACCCCTCTAAAACTAGTGAGGGCCCTACGCACCTCGCCACATACGTAAATTAGAAACCTTTTGATGGCTGCTCGAGATTACAAACTAAAGTATGAGATAATCTCGCAAATTAGTTTAAGATCGTGCGGTGTACCATTTCCAGAAACTTACCAGTTCAAAACTTTAGATGAACCATTGAAATTAATACGTACTATAGGGTTAACAAATGTAGTCATAGTGAATATATATAAGTTTCAAGTCAATAGTTACGGAAAGTGTGTATTTTCTAATTCGAAGTAATAATATATATGTATGTTGAGCCAACGTTTTCGAAGTTTTGTGATCTGATCTACTTTTTGGAGTAACCATCCCAATATCTTCTGTAAACCTATGTACGACCTCGATAAGCTTTTTTAAGAACGTATGGATAAATGTTTATCAAGTAAGTCATTGTGAGCGGTGGATTTAATGATTGGACGCAATTAAGAGTGAAATTTGAAGATTTTTTTTTAATTTAAAAAAATGGCATTCCTGTAGGATACCATTAACGTGTGTTGTAAGGACGTTTCACATACATAAATTTCACGAGGACATATAGTTGCCCCTGTGGGAATCGAACCCACGACCCCCGGCGCGAAGCCCATACCTTGGCAACTGCGCCGCAGTTTCATCAAACACGGCTATTGGCATTCAGCATGTAACAATCTTTTTATTTATTCTTTATTGTACACAAAAAATCACGGTTACGAATAACGGATTTAAAAAACGGGATGTGCAAGGGCGAGCTTAACACTAAACAGAGATACCAGCAAACTTTGATAATTATTAACAGGTTAATAATAGGAAAGTAGGTCTTCTGTGAGGTCATGATGATGTCCGGGAAGGGCGAACCTTCCCATTCGCACAATAGCGAAGACTGCTGCTTGTCCGTACCATACTAAATAGTGCATGTGTGTCTAGGATCTGCATTAGTAATTTTATGATAAGCGGTGAGACGACCGTGGATATTTATGCACCAGATTTATAAAACTCTAATCTCCTAGGCTTTGAAAGAAAATACGTTACACTCTAACTAAAAATGTAAGCTTTTCATGTCTTTGATGCTTATACACTCGCAAAGTGGGGTCTTCACAATCAAGGAGCAACGAAATCGGAGAACATTTTCCGCTTATTTAACAACACTCGCCAGCTGACTTAGCAAGGAAGTCCTTATTTAGTATAGAGCTTTTTCCGCCAAGGGGAGTGATTGAAATCTCGACGGCCGGATTTTGTTGCTTGCACATTACACGCTTGAGGAAATAGATGTTTTTGTCTTATGTAGAATCCTGAGATAGAATCCAATGGTAACATTCTATGAACATTTGAAATACTTTGGCGGAAAAATCAACCTCTCATGTCATATAAAAACAGTGTTAGCTAATACTATTTAAGTTATGTCGAAGCTTATTCTTTTATTTTTGTAAAGGTTTTGATCGTGTCATTACGCTGCTTGCAGATAAATTGTTCTTAGACGAAGAAATCTGAAGATCTAATGGAATTTGAACTCCAAACTTTTAAATATAGGTTGTCCTGGCAAGTCGATATCAATTATAACGCCACTAAATCTTATGATTTGAACAGAATTATTATTGTTATTGTTTTCATAAAAAAAAAAAAACAGTTATAAAAGGTTATAATACCCATCGCATAAATAACCTCTTGCTTATTTACAAGTTGGTTAAAAATGTATTGAAATGCTTGCCCTCGCTAATTTCAATATTTATGCATCATAAAATTTAACTCAAATCTGCTTCGGGGATTGCGAAGTACTAAACTGTGCAGAGAATTTTAAAGTAAACGAGTTTCGTTCAATTAGTTAAAATATGCTGCAGGCTTATTTGCCATCGTATTAATGGTTAATATTAAAAGAGCCGCAGTTACAAAGCCGCGCCAAGTTCCGCCGCTAACCGCCACTTCCGGTAACGAATTTCCGTTGCTACTTCCTCTCTTTAATTAGAATTTGAATTCGATTCCTGAAAACGAAATTATTTAATTTCACTACGCTTGACACACTGTTGGAAATGTTGGCAAATACCTTAGATAGACAATATAAATGAGAAGATGGTAAAGATCTAAATCTTTATAAAAGTCTTGACAATATATTTAAAGCTTTTATTGATAGGTGAAATAGATTATAACCTGTTTAAGTTTCTCTTGTATAGCTATTACTGTAAGTTATTATAAAATGTACATAATATTTTGGCAGATCACAAAAGCTTTTGTATCCTTCTTTAAGTCGTTATTGTGACTATGTAAATGTAGGTAAAGAAGTAAATAAATAATCTATGTATAATGTGTTTTGTGATATCTCTGTTGTTACAAAACCGTTTTGTCATCATCAAGATACGGCAGATTTAGAATTATTTATATAAGCGAGCAGTTAAGTTTCGGTAAATCAACGCTGTGTTTCATTATCTTTGGGAACACTTGTAGAGTTATAAAATAATTCCTGGCCTTAAGGTGGGAACAGCCTTTCTTATTGAAGTAACATCCAGTCATGGATTCCCAGCGCTGTCTATATAGCTCTGATGAATTTGATTCGTGTGTGGAAGACAATTTCGTAAAACGCAAATATGCCGATCAATATAAAGAAGCACAAAAAATTTAATTATTCTAAGGTCAAAACAAAAATATGAATTTATTTTGTCAAGAGCATACCGTAAACATGGGAATAATTATGCATAGTATTATATAACTAGATTAGTAATAAATCAGTAGTAAAACATAACATTTGATCGCAACGGTCCGTATAACAGAAATAAATAGAAAAACATTATACTGTAAGCTTGAGCATAATGCCAACGTTGTGAAAACAATGCTCTGATTAAAACATCTAAACAATAGCAGAAACAAAACGAATTGTTGTTACACCTGAGTATAAAGACAAAAGATTCATGGAAGTAGCCAAGGCGTGTTGCTTCCAACCTATTCATTTTCAATTTCTTGGCACAATCTCGATGACTTTTTTTTTTTATTAAAACCTATACATTTCATTAGAACTGAACTCAATGCGATCAGAATACGAGTAACAAGTGCAGAGTTCTGTGGTAACAAACATAAAAAAACCAAACTAAGAACCTCCTTTTTTGAAGTCGGCTGAAAGTTGTAGCATAAACTAAACATAAAGGAGCAGCACTTACAATTTGGCGCTCGTTCGGTTAGTGAGGTTTTATTGGACCTTTTAAGGTTAACCTTAAACATGTCTACGGAATTTCCAAAAGTAACATCTATCATCGTGCGGTTTTAGCAAGATTTCCCCTAACACGATTCATCATCAATATTAGTCATAATTTTTATGGTTTCTGTACTGATTTATAGAATTCTAAAGGCATCCCTTATGTACCTGATTTCGTATCACGAATGCGTGTGATGGTGATTACTAAAGGTATCATTTACCACGATGAAAGCAAGCGTTTACCACGCCCTCCATAAAAGAACTAATTCGAACGCATGACTAGAATGACTGATGATTGAATGAACCATGCTATAAGACTGACGTCAATTATTATTATGAAGAAATTAATTTCCCGCATATAAAGTTACGACCACGAGCATACAACAATGGAAAAGTTTTAATACACTTTCGGTTACAGGCTCCCAATTCGGCACAATTTTAGCATTCCAAATAGCGGGCTTTTTCGCTGGCAGCCCTTTGTTCGGTTGGCCGACAACGTTTTGGTTTTGCGGCATTTTGAGCCTTGTGTGTTGCGGCTTTCTATATTACTTCGGTTCAGCCTCACCTTGCGATCATCCGAGTATAAGTCCGGAGGAGCTAGCTTACATTACTAAAGATGCAAGCGCTGACACAGTACCAAAAGTAAGTATAGGTGACGTACATGCAACTGAGTGTAAACAAGTTCAAAAATTTTGTAAAAGCTACCCTGGTGGAAAGGGCCCATTATAATGTAGGAGAGTACATTGAGGATAAGGATGTGTGAAAATGATTCTTATTCGTTGCAAGACCCCTGGCTGATGCTGATTTTATACTTATTTAATTTAAGAAAAGGCGCAGAGTTCTTTGCCGTATCTTATCTGGACAGGTCTAATTTGTGAACTAGTGGTAGCTTTTTGACGTTCAATAAGAGTTTTAAATAAGCCTAAATTTAATGAAGACATTTCAACTTCGAGGTATGTTAATATTATAAAAAAATCTCAAGTGTTACTTCGTACCTTGTAGTAGACCAGTATCTTCGTACCGGAGTTTTTGTATCCAAAAAATAAAGGTTCTCAGCTTAAACTGGATACAAGTGTGATGACATTCAACTCAATACGTTTTCAGAAACGGAAAACCCCTTGGAGGCAGATTCTGACGTCGAAACCAATCTGGGGCTTGGTGGCGACGCACACGGGTAGTGCCGCAGGATATCTGTTGGTGCTCACTCAGATACCGATGTATATGAACAAAGTGCTCGGAGTAGATATACAGAGGGTACTATTATTATTTTTATATCTGTATTAATTTTTATTAATACAAATCCTTCTATGGCCGCCTTTAACACCACATTTGTAAAAATTTTAGCGCAAAGATTTTTCCATATCAGGTCATACATCATTGCCAAAAGTTTTAATTCATAGACGCAATTGAAATTTTATTGTACTATAATATGTAAGCTACTAATACATGCATATGTAGATACATCGTGCATGTAAACATCTATGTAGTTATAGGGGCATAACTATCCTCTGACGTATAATGTCGTTATTTATTTTTTAGTAAAAAACTTATCCTGGTGGGACTTTAATTTATATTATTGGTTATTGAATTATAAAGGAAGCGTGTTTCGTGTCAAGTCAAAGGAGAGCGTTAATTCAATAAGTGACCTTTATATTCTTGTTCAAATTTACGTTCCGTTATTACTAGTTAGCGAAGTTAAACCTACCTCTAAGTATTAATGATTTATACAATGTATTCTTTAAGTGCGGTGCTTGATTCAATTAATAATTTCAACCATTTTCACACGAGGATTTCAGTCGGGGATGTAGTGTTCACTGAGTAGTATCTTTAATAAAACCGACAAATGATACACGCATACCCATCGGATTAATTTATGCATAAATTTTTCAGAACGGTGTTTATTCATCCCTTCCGTATATATCGATGTACTTTATGACACTACTATTTGGTTATTTATCGGATCTTTTGGCGAACAAGAAATTGATGTCGGTGACTAATATAAGAAGAACAGCAAATACGATTGGTGAGACTAACTATTCCATTATTAAGTTAAAATTAATAAATAATTAACGGTTTATTTATTAATTTTAACTTACATTAATACAATTATCTTAATTATATTGCCAAATTAATCAATCATTAATGAGCGCAAATTAATTAATTAATAATAATTCGTTAATAGCGTTAGTAATTTATTACTTGTCCATATGCAGAGTTAATTTCGTGAATAAAATACAACCTCAACATCTCATTGTTGTTGTTAATTTTTTTAATGAACCTATAATATTTTTAACTTGACTTACTTGCTTGGAGATAAAAGAAAGCCAAAAATGTCCAATAAACATATTACAGGTATGGCAGTATCTGGACTGTTTCTTATAGGATTTAGTTTTGTGCAAGACACATTGGTTGCAGTGATTCTCATGGTGTTATGCTTGGGGTTGCACTCCGGCGTACACGTCGGGTTCCATGTAAGTAACTTTCACTTGCATCGTAACAATATAGATACCCCGTTTCATTTCTTCATATTGTTGGTATAAAATATTGCGTTATAGTGTCAAGAGCGATATGCATTGATACTTAGATTTTCTTACAGTGTTTGTAAGTTACAAGTGAGCTTGCAAAAACGTGTTGAAATTAAAATGACAACTTTCATTTTAGATAAACCATATAGATCTGGCGCCGAACTTTGCTGGGCCGACTATGGCAATGGGGAACATGATTGCCAACTTGTCTGGGCTCGGTGTTCCGGTACTGGTCTCTAATATCGTTGGCGATGATGTGGTAAGTTGATGATGTGGTGTTTAATTAAATAGCAATTAATCCCGTTAATTTACCATTAATTAAACTCTCAAAACTAAATACAGTCTCATGTATAAGCTCTTAAAATGTTTCAAGGATGAAGCGATTGGGAACTTTGAAATAAGATGTAAGGTGGTATATATTAATCTCCTTTTAAAATATCATTCAAAACTTGACGACTACGTGGCGCAGTTGTCAAGGTATTGGCTTCCGCGTTGGTAGTCTTGAGGTCGACACCACACTGTGACCCACAGATAGTTGTTTCTCCTAAAGTAAGGGTGATGTTTCTTTCTCAAAAAAAAAACAACATTTGGGTTTTTCGGTCTCTCCTGGTTCCGAGTGGCATCCTTCAATGAATAAATTTCGTATTTCTTTTCACCCAATTATTAAAACTGGACCAGTGCAAATTTAGCTAAGAAGATCAATAAACATTTGGATCTTGTTTATTTTCTGTTTACGTGCTTACATAAACTTAGACAACATGTTTTTTTCGCCAAATCCGTGTAAGTATAATTAAAAATTGATAAGAGGAACGTCTTCGTTCGAACTTGAATGAAATTGATGTTAAAGATGTTCATCCGTTTGGAATCCTTCATAGCTACGAAAGAAATAAATATTTTAATACACATTTTTACACAACGTCCCAAATCTCAAACTACCCCGTCTCTAGTCCCAAACTAAGCAACGCTTGTTCTATGGGTACTAGATAACTGACATACTTAAACATACTTTTCTTTTATAAATAAATACATATTATAATACGTACACCCAGGTACTAAAAAAACACTTCGTTCATCACACAATATTTTTCCAGTAGTGGGAATCGAACCCACAAAGATCAGAATATACAGGATTAGGATATCTATCACAATTAAAATTAATTGTATTATTTCTTTCAGACAAATCAATCAAAATGGCAGATACTGTTCATAATTTTCGCGTCTGTTCAATTTGTTACGAATCTTATCTTCGTTATTTTCGCAAAGGGCACGGTACAAGAATGGAACTTCTATAGCGAAGAGGAAAAAGGTTCGTAGGTAGCTCGCATTATGAATCTAATACGGCGCAAACGATAATCTGAATGAGGCAGATTCTATCACAAGTATATTTAAGCAGCCTATCCTTTTATGCTACCTGCAATGCATAGTAAAATATGCAAGCGTTAAAAATGTTGATAGAGATTTTTAACATGGTAAAGTTTTAGGATAGAAATTTAACCCTGATAATTCAGTGCGAGTGCCGAAACAAAGAAAAAATGCCATTTGTTGCAAAAAAGATTCATTAAAAAAGTAGTTTTCTTTTGCATCCAAATGCATGCATTTACTCATTAATTCAAGCGTAAATAATTTGTTTTTCATCTGATGAGTGACTTAATCGAGATCCGCCTTCATAACGTTGGAAACACAAATGATTGTCCCAGAGACGGTAATAGCCTATAGAGAAATTAAATAAATATATTTTCCATGATTGACGAATGCTATGATTCAAATATTATAAAGTACTTATAATGAACATTTAATTTTAGATGAAAACGAAGAGATTCTCTATACAAAAGGAGAAATTAAAGGTATCTTAAGAAAGAAAATCAACGTTGAAAAAACGTAAAAGGCTCCAAATCTTCTATTAAATAATTATGTCGCAATACTATTTATATTTCATTCATTAAGATTATTTAATTACGTTAAATAGAATATAGTCGGTCGATTAGAATCTCATTATACATATACATATATTAAATGAAACTATTTTTACGGATTTGTCACATTTAATTTAAATCCTTGCTCTTGAAGATTGTAATTCATGTTGATGACCTATGATGCAAAATCAGTAAAAATATTTTTAATAACTTGTAGTGTTTACATAAAAATATAAAATTGTTATCTAATTCGCTACTTATTGCTACCCTATTTATGTATGTTGTACATGGCAACTTAATTGAATAAAGTTTTGTCGATGCTCTACTTGAAATGTGAAGTTTTAATCTTTTTGCTTATTTTCAATATTATTTTAATATGATTCCAATGAGCCGTGATAGCTCAGTGTCTGGGCGCTCGCCTTTAATTAAATGTACTCGAGTAACCTGAGTGCGATCCCCGGTGCTGACACCAATGAAATCATCACGTGCTCAACGGTGAAGGAAAACATCGTGAGGAAATCTTGAGATATGTGAAGTCCACCAATCCGCAGTGGGGGCGAGTGGAGAACTATGCCCTGATACCCTCTGTATAGAGGAGGCCTTTGCCCGGCAGTGGGATATGTATAGAGCTAGTTATTTACAGCTAGGAAATGCAGCTATCGTTGTTGGCACCATGCCACACGGAATAGGTTTATGAGATAATTATGTAACATAGTAAGATTGATTTTTGTAAATATTGGATATAATAAAATGATAGAAGCTATTAACTAATTTGGAAAATCAGATTTTTACCAACAGTTTTGTACTTGCATCCGAAAGGTAACAAATACTTGTACAAATCAACACATCTGGACCTCTCAGGTGTAGCAGACAGGGCGGCAGTATTCACTTAATATCAGGTGAATCGCCTGCTAGTTTGGCGACTTTTGACATAAAAAAAATGGACATTTAAAATACCCGTAGGTTTTCATATGCGTTGCCATCTTTAATGAAGTGGGTCCTGCTGCCTCACTCACCAGACGAACTTCACGCCGGTCTTCTGCGAGGTCGTGGTACTTTCCGGACGGACCTGCCCAATCCTGCAACAGCGAAGACCAACGCGTGGCCCACAGTCAAACCATATAATGTTGCTGCAAAAATAAGCGAAGGCGGATATATGTGTGAAACAATCATTCATCAAAAAGATATAAGCATGGCTTGCATAAATTTAATAAATAATGCAACAATTACTTTTGTTGAATTTCTTTATCTTCGTTAATTTATAATATCAAACTACATTCAGTAATTTCAACAAATAAGATATTAATAAATATTTTGATGGTAACAAATTTGCCCAGATCCAATCAAAAAAAATTTTTGACTTTATATAATGCAGTTTATTAAAAATTAAAAATTATTCTATTATTTATTACTATTTGGCTAAGCTCCTTAATTTTTTTTCTACTCGATGGGCCCAAACTGAAAAAGAACAGGCTAGATGATGTTATGAAATTGACATTACACATTTGATAGTGCGGTGGTTCACAAATTTAAAAAAGTGACTGTGACGCAGTATGACTCGGCGACGCAGCTTTTAAGACATTGGCGGGGGGTTGCAGGTTCGGTTCCCACACGGGACAAGTATTTGTCAGACCAACAGATAATTGGGAGATAATTGGGCAGAGGGTTGACGTCGGCAGGCGGCCGGTCGTAAAGAACATAGCCAAAGCCGCTTACAGCGTGATTCACATGTTTTGCCGAACCCACCTAAGTGGGATAAGAGCAGGAGGACAATGATGATGATGACTGTAAAACTCCCTTGGTTACGTTATACATAACTAGCTGCTGCCCGCGACTACGTCTGCGTAGAATAGGCTGAAATGTAGCTCTAACATTAAGACATAAAGACAGATATGCATTAAATATGTAAATAAATTATAGCCCATCTCTTATTCTGAGGTACAAGCTATATTATGGTAAAGTTTCATTAAAATCCATTCAGTAGTATTTGCGTGAAAGAGTTACAAGCAAACCATCCATACATACAAACTTTCGCCTTTATAATGTTAGTAAGGATGTATAAAATATGAAATTTTACTAAATATTTATTAATTAATTTGATGTCTTCGATAACTCCTCCACAAAAAATCTCTCCGTTATTATCATCACAATTTGCATGACTAAATCGTTACGTAAATTTAATTGAAATTTGAGTGTAGAGATTAGCACTAAAAATAAAATGAAAATGTATACACTGATGTTTATTGAGGACAGCACTAAAACTGAAAATAATAACATAATGGCACATAAGCATATACAATTATATTTCAATTGTGTAAGTTACACAACGTATAAGTTATCAGCAAAACCAGATTATGAAATACACACCACTAAGTATTAGGAGATGCGTATCCAATTGCTACCAGCTGCCTTGCATGGATAGTTGTTCACGTGGCAAGAGAACCTCCTAATAATTGATGCACTTTTAATACTTAACTATGCTCAGAAACGTTTAACGGAAAGTCGCTGTTTTATAGTTCTGTCAGGCTTATGACAACGTTAACATTTAGGTAAATATAAACGTGTAATTCCCCTACATACAATTTTGTTGATGTAATCATGATCGTGCATATTTTTCTTGCGTTTTTTGAAAAGTCATTAGAGTAAAATATTTTTTTCTGACTAAGAGTGAAAGAAAAATTCCAAAATATATAATTATTAAATATAAAACATTTTTCGCTTACTACCTATTATTAGATAAAATATATATATATCACTAAAATACTAGCTATTATTGATAGGGATGTTTATTTGTTTTCTCGTCTGGTTGGGTTTATAAATAAAAATAAACATATAGATAAATATTGCATATATAACATAAATATTATAAACAAAAATAAACCAATAGATATAAATATTTATATATAATACATACATAAATAGGACCCAACCAGAGGATACGGGCGGTATCGAGGAGCACCGCTTTCGGATCCGTCCCGGAGTCCCAGTCGCCTCAGATGTTCGGAGAGGCTGACTGGGATTAACCCATTGGCAGAAACGGCTGTTGGGATAATTTCGGTCGACATACCGCCCCACTAGCTACTATGACATAATATAGCTACAACAATAATAGTATTTTTAAGGGGTAATTCATTTGTTTTCTCGTCTGGTGAGGCTTATAAATAAAAAATAAACATATAGATATAAATATTATATATAATACATAAATAAATTATCATGGTATTAAAGTATTATTATAGTAGCATATTATATTATATTATTAAAAGCAGTAGTTAACTGTGTAGGGCCACGTAACAGTGTCAGCTGTTGCAGGAATGGGCAGGCTCGTCCAGCGAAGTACCACGACCTCACAGAAGACCGGCGTAAGGTGAAAGTTTAGTGTGGTGATAGAGGTAACCGGGGCCCACAATTTAAGGGTAATCAGTGCATCAGCGAGCTTCGGGTGTTGCAGAGGTCCATTGGCGGCGGTATTCATTTAACATAAGGTGAACCGCTTGCTCGATTGACAACTTTTCACGTAGAAAAAGAATATATGTTGCAGATATATTGAAAATTATATATATTGGTACTTGAAAATGTACTCTGATAGATCTGTAACAAATTTTAAAGTATTTTATAGTGCTAATCTCTGCACTTAAGATTGAACATTAAAACATGTAGAAAAAGTACGAAATGATTGTCGCCGCTGTGGGAATCGAACCCACGTCTTCGGCATTCGCGGCCTGACGCTCTAGCCACTGAGCTAAGCGGCTGAAAAAGATCTGTAATACTTGTTCTTGACGGGCGAGCCTGCTAAATATTCTTATTTAATACGAGATATCCCTACGAGGGTGAATTAATTCAAATTACTGAGTTCTTACTTCAAATTTTAATTTATTTTTTTCATCGCTTAATATGAAAGTTAAAACTGTAGCAATTTTTGTTTTTAGCAGCGGGTAAAAGTTTTGCAACAGTTTTATCTACACAATTTTAAGAATCATCTAAATCTGTAGATCTCTATTGTCATCATAGCTCAGTGTCAGGACGCGCACTTTTAATTCAAAGCAACCTGAGCTCAAATCCTGGAACCGGCAGCAATGAAATTGTAAACTGCAATTTAATTGCCGACTTATCATCGTCAGGAAACCTGCACATTTTCGATACGGTAACTAAAAATCGAAGATTTGTGAAGTCTACCGATCCGCAGTGGGGTCGCGTGCTGGACTATGCCCTAACAAACTGTGTACGGAGCATGCTCGGATGAAAAATTCTAAGAAAATGTTTTCTCACTTATCGTCTATCTGTTCATTTACTCCATTTTTAGCTGCCTATTATATTATTACAATTGCCCCCTCCCATTGGTCACGGAAATTATGTAACAATCCATAAGACTAAACAAACGAATGGAATTTCTCAAAACCGGGAGCAATGTTAATTGTTTGCAAATGAATTAATTTGCTTAACGAGATAGGTTCAATGTACAATCATGTACATAAACTTTAAGGATTTTTTATTTTAGTGTTAAATATATTTTGGTTCTTCGGTATTAGAGTAAACATTCTTAAAATGTAAGGAGAAAAGTTTTATTCGAGAGAGCATAGAAAACCAATTGATTTTTATAGCGACGTCAGCAACACAACAAAAGATAAAATACACGGCACAAGAGATAGGGATTATATCACCGAAATTGGTCTCAAGTTATGTATGAAACTCAGCCAATATTATCATTTCTACGAGCTTCTTACTTCTTTTGAATAAACGCACCACGCATTCCACCACGCATTCCAACGAAGTGGTCTACCAAAAGTCCAAAATGAACATTGGTGCTCTCCAGTCCAGGAATAATTCCCAAATTTCTCCACAGTGGAAGTAAGAAGTTGCCGGATCTACCAAATAAAACGTACATGACCCTGCAGAAAACAGTCAGCTTGAACTTCACTTGCATGTGGCAAGTTACAAAATTTCTAAAGGAAGAAATATGCAAGGAAATAACTCCCAAAATGGCCTCCACTTATCTAAGAACTTTCGTAATTATCAAAATTTTAGAGCTTCATGAACGAGAATCTATTTGTAAAATTGTCAATGATAATTGATCTTATCTCCATTGAACACATTTTATAGTATATTGAGTCTTAAATTAGGAGCGTTTTCAATATTTCTTTAAGAACATCACAACGCAGTCAACATATACAGCGTTTCGTTACCATCGCGACAATAAATGAACACACATATAGGGGATAACTTTTTAAGGTTGTATTAAACATTTAAATTCTCTAAACATCAATATTTACAGAGTTATTAAATTTTCCAAAACAAAGAATTTTAGAACACCTATAAAAGCGTAACGTAAAGTTCATTTGTAAAGGTCACAAAGCATATGAATGGGTTAAATGAATTTAAAAGAGACAAAATATACTGTTAGAAGCAGAGGCTTGTAATGCGACGACCTGGCGCGAGTTGTATAGGATGGTACAAATGTCCTTGCCCTGCTTGATTTTAGTAATGCTTTCAATACGGTCGATTTTGAGGTACTAGTTGGAATACTCCAATCTCATAACATATCTCCAACAGTAATTGATTGGTTTCGAAGTTACCTGTATGGACGCCGGCAGCGTATTTGCATTGAAGACACTTTCTCATCTTGGTCTTATACTACTGCTGGTGTACCGCAGGGTGGCGTTTTATCTCCTTTGCTTTTCTCAGTTTTTATAAACTCTTTTTCCGCTAACTTCATTTCTTCCTACCACCTTTATGCAGATGATCTTCAAATTTATACTCAAGCCTACCCTACTGATATTCACTTAGCTATTAACGTGATAAATGAAGATCTCGCCCGAATTTCGAACTGGAGCAGGGAACATGGGTTACCGGTAAATCCCGTGAAAACACAATTTACGGTAATCGGTTCATCGAAAATGTTAAACAAAGTGAATCAGATGCAAACTTCCAATGTTACTCTTGACGGAATTCCAATACCATTAAGCTCAAGAGTAAAAAACTTAGGAATTTACTTTGATAGAAATCTTTCGTGGGGCCCTCACCTACAAGAAATAACTCGCAAGATATTCGCTTCAGCAGCATCCTTAAGAAGATTACGCAACTTCCTACCGACTGCCACTAAAATTGCTCTTGCACAAAATCTACTTCTTCCAATACTCGACTATGCAGATGTCAGCTATCTAGATCTCACCGAGGAGCTGCTTGATAAGCTAGAACGTATTCAAAATTTTTGCATAAGATTCATATTTGGCTTGCGCAAATATGATCATATCTCACATTTCCGTGCTAAGCTCAAGTGGCTGCCTATTCGTCTTCGCCGGAATTCTCACATACTTTATCTTGTTTACAACATTCTGTTTAATCCCTCTTATCCCACCTATCTAAAGGAACGTTTCCAATTTTTTTGTGATTCCCACTCTAAGTCTCTGAGATCATCAGAAAACTTGGAGCTGAAAATTCCTACGCACAAAACAAAGTTTATGAGTAGTCATTTATGGTGCAAGGGGCGCGACTCTGGAATGACTTACCACTAGAAGTAAGGCGTGCTCAGTCATTAAATATTTTCAAGAATCTTGTAAAAAATCATTACTTATCTCTATAATGTTATTCCCTAACAATGATATATGTATTCGTATATATGGCATGTATATATTTATATGTATGTATTGATGTGTATATGTATGTATATTATGTGTGCCTTTTGTGTATGTATTATTTTGTTATTTTTTGTATATACATTTATTTATTTACTTACATATTTATAAATATTTATTATTATTATTAATTATGATTGTAGATAAGTATTTTTTTTTTTCATTCATTTAGTTAACCCACACCTTTATTCCTAAATTATTTCTTTTTCAATCCATCCAAAGGTTGCCTGGAAGAAATTACTCTTAGTAATAAGGCCGCCCATTGTACCCATTACTTCTACATTAAGTTTTAATTTTTGTTTGTTTTATTTTTGGTGTGCAATACAGTATATTCATTCATTCATTCATTCATTCATTCATACAAATTTTGTTTCTTTTTTACTTAAATAGTTTGTTTGAAAAATATATTTTTTTTAATTATGGATTTTGTTTAACGTTAATATTTTTTTTGATTATTGGCACGTAGCGTTAGACGTATGTTCATTTACTGTCGCGATGGTAACGACATGCTGTATATATGCTATAGCTCAAAATTAGGATCAATTTCAATTAAGTGCAACACGCACACAGAGAAAGGCAAACGTGAAATAAAAATTATTTTATACTGAGAGATAATACAATCGTAAAAAATACATACACATAATAACAGTAAAAAAATAACCATATGTAAAAATCAATAAGGACAACTTTAATTACTAGGTTTTTTAAATTTAGTTCTTAATTTTTACACCTGAACAGTATTCGCATTCCACGACGGTTATTTATAAAACTGAAATTTTAAAGATTTTTTTCAATTTACTTGAAAAAAAAAAGACATATGAGGCTAGAAACTTAAAAAAAACAACCTTAATTAAAATGATAAAATAAAAACAGAACTTATGATGAGAGCAATTTTCTGCGCGATGATACATTTTATATGTTTAATAGCTTATATTTAACGTCTTCCCAATGATCATTAGTACTAAATTCACATCAGAAATGACAGCGTTAAGTGCATCTAATTTAGTTTAACTAAATTGTGTATAAAACATTTTAGAAATAAAAAGGTTTAAAACTGTGTTTGAATTTAGCTGTAATTAAATTACATTATTTATATAATCATGACGGAAGGCGATTACAAGAAAGTTCCATTGGACGAAAAACCTGGTATGTAGCCATTGAAGGTTTTTACGAATGGAAGCTTTGGTTTTTTAACTATTTATACTAGATAGATAGAGATCATTGCACGAATGTTAAGCCACAAAAACGTAGTTTGGTCAATGTGTAAGCTCAATATCTGCTTTCTATAGGGAGATTTAGTCCTCACATCTAACGTCTGAGAGTTTAAACATAAATAGTAATTTTAAATGTGGAGGGCGTAACAAATAAAACAAAAGACTTATACATTAGCTCGCAAATAACCGTGACAATTTCTTAAGCAATGATTTTATATACAAACAAGAGATAGACACAATATTAACGCACCGAAACTGAATTTACGGACCCAAATTACGCCAATTGGCGTAATTATATTGCAACATTATACTTTACTATCTTTGTCCGTATCATATGTTTTATATAATCTGTTACATCTATTAATATAATATTTCATGTGAAGTAGAACAATTTTTAAACGCCGTGCAGTATGGACATGCGTCATCTTTTAAAAAATATTTGTTCTTAAGTGTCAAAAATTGAGTCGCAGTTTGACGAATGCATGGCATGGCATATATAGTAGATGAATTTTTAAAACGTAAAATATGTACAATTTTCACGCTATTTAATTTTAATTAAAAATACAAAAACTAACTTGTGACAACAAAAAATTATATACTTTAATATGTTGTATTTCCTTTATTAACCCGTATAACTTTATGATGATTGTACTTTAGACCGAATTTTGAATACAACATTATTGGCCCTCAACCAACTGGCACCATTTCTGCAAAATACCCTTGTTGACACCATTCTCCTGATCACCAGTACGGTTGCAGCTGCGTTGCCACATTTCAGTAAACTGGGCCCCGGTTACTTTCTCATCAAACGAAATGCTGAATAACGTACACATCTACACGTGAGCTTCATAAATAAAATAAAAAAACAAGAATGCTCTAATGTGGGTATTCGAAGTTTCAATAATTTTTACATTAAAACATAAAATGTGCCTATTAATTGAAACGAAAATAAAATTAAAATCTGTAACGTTCGCGTTAAAAAGAGAAAAGATTATCTGTTTTACACGTTTCCTTTTTGCAGAAAAGCACGCCGCTGAACTACACTATGGGTACGGAGTACGTCATGTGCAAGCTTTCCTCATGTTCTTCAGCTTGACTATTGGATATATGGCCCGAGCACACTTGGGGGTGACGATAGTTGCCATGACTGATACACACGAGGCAGTCAATAGAACAAACCCTATAGTCCAAGGATACAACAATGTCACTGCTAACGATACAACCTATGATAATATGTATATACTTTCAAGAAACTCCACAGAGGATTGTGGAAGCCAATGCAAGCAGAACTTTACAGATATTACTGAGAATAAACGGGTAGCACACAATGTAAGTATTATTCTTAAATCTTGCTACAAGTATGTATATGCTAGAAATAATTGATAAACGTTATTTTAGTAATTGTAAATCTTATTCCATTTACATGTGTTTATGTGTTTATCTACAAGTTTACGTAATTCCTTCTTATCTTCTCTGATCTGATCTTAATGTGCTTACTTTCTCTTTGTGAAGTAACCTATCTCCACTTCTTCCACACAAGAATGATAATGTAAAATCCTCCTGTACAACATTTATGTGAGTAAATGAATAATAATATAACTCATGTGAGTGAATGAATGAATGAATGAATACCTTAATGTCCACCACACATAAAACGATACCCAAAATTAACAATAGACAAATGATGTGTGAATGTGTATGAGTTGTTGCAGCTTACGTTATTTGAATTGGCAATATATGTTTGTTCAGACCATTACATTATCGAACAATTAAAGTGTAAATTTTACAAACAATCGTAATTTTAAAATAGCGGCAGCTATTAACACCCTGCTCGGAAAAATAAAGTACTTGCGTGAATTAAACTGAAATTTCATGAATGATTTATAGAAAATTAAGCGTGATATGTTTTGTAGTATCTATGATAATTATTTGACGTAAATTTTACACAGTTATCCTCTTAATACCTTTATCACTTTGCGTGCCAAAAAAGAAACAGGTAATTAATAAAACAAGTAAAATTTTAACAGGTCATTTAACTTAAACAGGTAACATTTTATGGAATTTATTTCAAAATTTTTAATTTCCTTGTAAGTAGCAAGAAGACTGACTTCAAATATAGTTCAATACAAACAGTTTACCATGATTGAGAATGACTGGCCGATATATATATAATTAAAATAATATAAACAAAGTTTATTTAAATTTATACTCAAGCCTACCCTACTGATATTCACTTAGCTATTAACGTGATAAATGAAGATCTCGCCCGAATTTCGAACTGGAGCAGGGAACATGGTTTAACGGTAAATCCCGTGAAAACACAACTTACGGTAATCGGTTCATCGAAAATGTTGAACAAAGTGAATCAGATGCAAACTTCCAATGTTACTCTTGACGGAATTCCAATACCATTAAGCTCAAGAGTAAAAAACTTAGGAATTTACTTTGATAGAAATCTTTCGTGGGGCCCTCACCTACAAGAAATAACTCGCAAGATATTCGCTTCAGCAGCATCCTTAAGAATTTACGCAACTTCCTACCGACTGCCACTAAAATTGCTCTTGCACAAAATCTACTTCTTCCAATACTCGACTATGCAGATGTCAGCTATCTAGATCTCACCGAGGAGCTGCTTGATAAGCTAGAACGTATTCAAAATTTTTGCATAAGATTCATATTTGGCTTGCGCAAATATGATCATATCTCACATTTCCGTGCTAAGCTCAAGTGGCTGCCTATTCGTCTTCGCCGGAATATCACATACTTTATCTTGTTTACAACATTCTGTTTAATCCCTCTTATCCCACCTATCTAAAGGAACGTTTCCAATTTCTTTGTGATTCCCACTCTAGGTCTCTGAGATCATCAGAAAACTTGGAGCTGAAAATTCCTACACACAAAACAAAGTTTATGAGTACTCATTTATGGTGCAAGGGGCGCGACTCTGGAATGACTTACCACTAGAAGTAAGGCGTGCTCAGTCATTAAATATTTTCAAGAATCTTGTAAAAAATCATTACTTATCTCTATAATGTTATTCCCTAACAATGACATATGTATTCGTTTATATGGCATGTATATATTTATATGTATGTATTGATGTGTATATGTATGTATATGAGTATTTGTATGTATATGTTTTGTTAGCCTTTTGTATATACATTTATTTATTTACTTACATATTTATAAATATCTTATTATTAAATTATGATTGTAGATAAATATTTTTCTTTTTCATTCATTTAGTTAACCCACACCTTTATTCCTAAATTATTTCTTTTTCAATCCATCCAAAGGTTGCCTGGAAGAAATTACTCTTAGTAATAAGGCCGCCCATTGTACCCATTACTTCTACATTAAGTTTTAATTTTTGATTGTTTTTATTTTGGTGTGCAATAAAGTATATTCATTCATTCATTCATTTATTTTGCATCGGTATTATACGGTGTGTTAAATCAAAAACGTAAGGTTAGGTAGACTTTTATTTTCTTTTTCAATTAAAAAATAAATGGTCAATTTTTCCTAAACATACATCTGTAGATTCAAAATCAACAAAAAATAATTTATCGTATCATAGTACTTAGTACTATGATACGATAAATTATTTTTTGTTATTATTGTAAATTATTCTTAAAATAATAGTAGCTCGTAATTAAATTTTAAATTGTATAATAATATTCTTATGTAAGAGATATTGTGTCGTCTTTGTGGGAATTAACCTTTTGCGTAGATCGTAATAAAAATAAACAACAAAATAATTGACGGTAGCCGGAGTTAACTATGACATTAAGACGTAACAACTTAGTATATCCCGTGACCATGAACGGTGGAAAGGGTTCGAAAAATTGGGAATTTCAAAATAAAAATAAAGACGCCATAAAGTCCGTAAACTAGTTTAATTTAATATGTATAACATTCACGTAAAATGAAGAATTCAATACCTTAAAGTTCCAAAGGCTTTTATTTTTATTATTTTACTTTAATATGAAATAATTGAAACATATTGCATTGTTAGTATAGCTACTATAGTATAGTTCATGTCGGTAGAATTATATGTGTATATAATATTTCGGCACGTACCCTCGTTTTATGTGGCAGTCAAAAAATGGTGGATGTTGTTCAACACGTTTTATTAAGTGATCCCAAATCACTAAAATAGTGAAGAATATTACAGTGGCGACGAATTTATTTTTTTAGTATTAACAATTGATTAATTAAAAGTTGAATTCACTCGTCAAAATGTTTATATTTGAGATGAGTGGTTAGTACACGTAGCGTTGCTAAGTAATTTCTTCGTGGCAAATAAAATCAATAATTACCACACCCACCCAAACCCGCAAGGCACGAAAAGTCGAGTAATTTTATTGAATGGCATATCACAGATCTCCTATAGTCTGATATTCGATTTATTGTATCCAGATGCGCCTGAGTCAACGGATTTTAACATTCATTACGCTTAATCGTAAGAAATGCGCATTCGCTGAAAGGCAGATTTTTTATGCAGCTGCGAAGGAACCTCACGAGTCAACAACAGAGTTTGTCCCTCGTCTTCTTTGTTTAGTATCGTAATGTTATTTTGGGTCGTCACTGGAACTATGTTTGACGGATCGTTTAGTACTGTGTATTGAATCGGCTTCGGTCCGTGAGAAGTTGTTTAGATAGGACCTGAATCATCTCAGACTGTCCCGGGCTTCAGAACTAGCGCGCGTTGTTCGCAGCGTATTGTGTCTGCTGGTGAATTGGCACCGGTGACCAAAAGGGAGCCTTCACTTTATACGGAGGCCTGTCGGAGGTGGTGCCCACTCTGGCCGCAGCGTCGCTGGCAACGGTAGCTCGAGATGTGGTGTTTGTGGTGACGAGATACGGGGGCTTAGACGGAGTTACAATTCCGTGTTATGTGAAGCCGTGTGCGTTAGCCGCGGTGGGCGCCCCAATGCCCGCGGCGTTAAATGACTTGCGCAGTGCTTTTGAACAAGATAAAGTCCTATCACACCACGTGGCTCATTCGTGGCCCCGGAAGGTCTGACCGGAACTGTTGCCATACTATCGACGTCAACATGAATTATATATTGATAATTTTCAATGATGGGTGATCGTATGGTCAACTGCATGCCGCATACTTAGGTATTTTAGAAATTAAGATGTTAGCTAGGGAACGCTGATGGTACCCGGGATTCGACCAAGAGATAGAAGTATTGGTTTCTATTTGTGACCCATGTGTATCCTTGCGTGTTAAATCCACGAGAAAATAGCTTGAACCTTGAAAGTGGCCCGGGTCGGTTTTTGAATCAATTCATATGTTACAATATAAAATTTAACATCGAATATAGCCGCGCTCTCCTTTACTGGAGCAACCTGAGTTCGATCTCCGGTGCCGGCACCAATGAAATTGTTAATTTTAAGTGCTGAATTACCACGTGCTCAGCGGTGAAGGAAAAAATCGTGAGGAAACCTGCATATTTTCGAAATAATAATTAAAAAAAAATATTTTGAAGATATGTGAAGTCCGCCCAACCGCAGTGGAGCCGCGTGGTGAACTATGCCGTAATACCCTCTGTACCAAAGAAGGCTCAGTATTGGAGCATGTATAGGCAGATGCTTTACAATTTTTTTTGTTACTTTAACATCGACTTCTTTTATAAACCTTTCTTGATATAAATGTTAAATTGGGAAAAAATATCTCGTCACTGTATTTCGAACCATACTATCACATTATTTGAAATAATTATTATGTGTTTACTAGACTAACGTGTTGTTTAAAAATTGCCCATCCCATATTGTAATTAACATTTTCTTGATTTGATAAAGTATTGCGTTGACTCAAATGCCATAAAAACTATCTTGAATTTTTATAAGACATGGGCTTAAATAAGTTGACGTAAGACACAAATACATATTTGTTTATTTATTTTAACTATCAGCATTACAATGAATACACGAGAAATCATAATAAAATATTGATTCAGTAATTATGTCATTACAGAGTAATTTACGCAGAAGATGGTAGGAAATTTATAAGAAAATGGAAAATAATAATGAATGTTTGCCGTGCCATCTGTGCCATCAAGGGTATCATTAATTTATATATTTTATATTAATATATGTGACTAGTACATCTCACTAAGACGTATATATCTTGTAAAACCTCCATTGCGAAGGGTTTATAATTTAATTCGTAGTTTTATTCATAGCAACAAAGCAATAACAACAGCTGTCTTAAAATAACTTGAAGCTGTTTTTTCATGGAAAAAAGGCAGCGAACGGGCAGGAATCACCTGAATTATACCTATGTAGAGAAGTTACTATGATGTCAATCATTCAGTGAAACGACATAAATTTATGGAACTTTTGTTCTAGTTAAGCGGTGTTTGTAAGTGCAAACGTAGTATATTTAAGAAAAAAAGATGAGAGCGTGTACTTATGTACGCGCGTGTGAAGTTAGACTTCTTTGGCATCATATAAAATAGTTTTTAATTGCATGCAAATAATTAATTACAATAAAACGACGGGAAGAGGATATAAATAATAAAAATAATAAAATTATGAAATGGCGCTTTCATTCCTTTTTCTACATAATTTTTTCATATACTTGACAAAATAATAGAATACATAGATATACTTGCTGTTTACATATAGAACATATTACCTATGGGTGGTAGGGCCACGCAGCAGCCTCGGCTGTTGCACAAATGGGCAGGCTCGTCGGGGTAAGTACCACGACCTCACAGATGAGCGGCGTGAAATGGAAGTATAATACTTTCGCGTTTCGTCTGGTGAGTGAGGTAGCCGGAGCCCAATTTTCAAAAGGTTGTCAACGCATCTGCAATCCTCAGGTGTAGCAGATGTCGGTCGGCAACTTTTCACAGTAAAAAAAATACCGCATAAACACAAAAACATACAGTCATTGACACTAAAACTTTTTAAAGGATTTAATCCCACGAACTTGTTTTACCTGAACTCTTGTTGACAACCAAACAAAACAACGATAACAAAAACAGAAACATGCCAACAGTAAAGTATCTTTTATTTATTTTCCAGACATACAGCTGGCCGAAATCGATACAGGAGATGGTACTAGGGGCATTTTTCGTCGGCTACGGCACGATGATGTTCCCCATTGGGCTTGTGTGCCAGAAGTGGGGAGGGAAGGTGCCCCTCCAGATTGCCCTGGCAGTGAACGGCGTGGTTTCCATACTAACGCCGTGGCTCACAGCCTGGGTAAGTTAGCATCAATTATATATCAGGAAAATATAAAAGTTAGTGACGTGGAACACTGGATATAATTGGTTTATCATTATTGAACTATGTATTATACTATATATTATTTTACACGAATTATGTTTTCGTGGCGTATCATTTTTGTTGGAAAATTTTTACACTTTTTGTCGCCTATCATCCAAATCCGTACCGTGCGATAAGAAACTTCGTTCCAAAAATTAACCAGATCACTATAAGTAGTATGCAGTAATTATCCCTTGATGCCATTATTCATAAAACTTAAAATTTATCTCGAGTGCAGAGATTAGCAATAAAAATATTATTCATAAATTAAACCAGTGCATGTTAATGCCAGTTATTTATGAATTAATAACTCGCACATCGACGGCGCCTATCTACATGACGCAAAGGAGTGGTATTTCTTTGAGCATTCTATAGACCAAATGCGTGGGCCGATGTTTATAGTTCTCAAAGTATCGTCCTGCTGAAACCAGGCAATGGCTGAGAACTCGCGTCGTACTATCAGCATATATTCAACTCACTTTCACTTTTAAAACTATTCGCCACTGCTGTGGAGAATAGTTTTAATACTACCTGTAATACTGCAGAATTGAAAATAGAACAGTACGGATTCCGCAGCGCCTATTCGACCGCAACAGAACTGACCTAAGTGGTTCTTGCGACCCAGTACAATAGGGGTCACATCTATCTGAAGGTCATTCTTGATGGCATGAGGACCTGTTTGAGCGTTACGTCAAGAACGACGTAATAGCCCGTTATTTCAAAAATGATTCCATCAGTGCGTTCGTGGTTCGGTCGACTCGATGAATGTTTGACAGAGGCGACAGTAGACAGTTTTACATCTTCACGTGCAAAACGTCCTGCACGCCTATCCCGACAGGTGCCCGCTTCCACTGGCACAGGCACATGAGCACAGGCACCCGAATATACTGTTGCTGTTCCATGACAAGGTTGAGCCTTAAACGCTTACCTCATCCTATTAAACAGGTTTGGGAGGCCCCTGGCTCTTAGGGAACTTTAGGGACGCTCAGCCTTGACAGGCTCAAGGGCCCCGAGAATAACGACCATAATTATTAAATAAACCCAGTCCACCACAATCAGCCGAAATCTTGCAAATGTCATCAATCGGTAGCTGTTATCTGACTGGGATAAAATATGTTAAAACTATAACATATTGTGAAAAAGTTATAACAGGTATAGAAAAATGTTCCATATTGACAGTATTTTTGAATTTTTAATGTTTAGTCTTTTAGTCCATCCAGTCATTCCGTTGATGTCTATCATCGTTATTATGATTACGAAAAACTTTTCACTTCCAACACAAATTTTAACTTCTAAGCTTATTAAAAAGAACTCCTTATAAGTTGTTCAAAATTGCGTTAGCTAAAATTTTAATAAATTCCGCTGTAGCGTCGAACTTTCTCGAAGCGTAGCAGAAAAAGTTTGACAAAGGGATGTTGTTTAGGATATTTTGTTATTGAATTAGTTTGATAGCTGTCTTTTTATCAAAAATTGTGCTAGGTCGTGTGGAAACACAAAGGGCCGTTTAAATTAAGAGAACCTTGGCCCATGTTTCCAAAGAAATGAAACTATCTTGAATGATGATGCGTAGGATGCCAGTTAATATTATGTAGCACCATCCGTCGGTGAGTTGAGTTTTTATAATATTTTTTTCAAATATTGCACGAAAATTAGTCATATGGTATGTATTCTATGATCTTTTTGGATCACAACTATTTCTATAATATAACGCTCTACTGAATATTTTAAAATAACTTGGTTATTTTGTCCATCACAAGTTTCAACGTTGGAAATTGGTGATTCTATGAACTAATATAATATTCTGATGGTTTTTGCAGGGAAACTGGAAGGTGCTATGCGCGTGTCGCGTTCTTCAAGGGCTGTCGCAGTCCGGCTTTTACCCTGGCATCCACACCCTATTAGCCCAGTGGGTACCTCTGAGCGAACGGGGAAGCTTGAGCAGCATAGTGTACACAGGTACAGTTAATTAAAATAAACAAAATTACCTTATAATCCCTCATTATCCTACTAAGTTGCCCGAAGTACGATAAAGGCAATATAATACTTCAAATAGGTTAACATTTAGAATTTGTAATAGGTACTCTACTGAATAATGTTGTCTACTAAGTAATTTCAACATAAATAATTCAATCATTTATTGAAAGTGAAGCCTTTGTGATTTAGTAGTGCTGCTTCGGTGTAGATAGTAGAAGTTTAAGGCACAGACCACTATTGGTCTCCTTAAATATTGTTTGCTTTCACCGCCTTTGAAGCTATTAATCAACACTTAAAAATGCCACAAATTTCCTACTACAGTCCTCACTAGTTTACTTACTATCTGCTTTTATATCTCAATATAATCAGCGGTGATCAGAAGACTGGGATATCGACTTGCTATTCAATGATTTGTATGGATGGATGAATGCCAAAATTTGGCATTCATTCATCCATACAAATCATTACATTAAAAATGGCTTCGCCTGCAGACACATTCATTTTACACGTAGCACGAGGGTGCAATAATTACTACTCTGTTATTCTAATTTTAGGATATGCCTGACTTTTTTTGTCTAATAATGTCTAATTAACTGACCTAGCATTTCTTATCGGCAGTATAGACTATCGTTAAGAAGTGGTGTAATCCTAGGTTGTAAATGCAATAAATCAGTAAAAGTCATAGCGTTCACTCTTGCCGCGCCACTTCGATAACGTTTGCTACTATTTTTATTACTATATTTATAACTATTTATAACAGATATTCAAAGACAGAATAAATATTTCTTTACTACTTTCCTACGCGTTCCTCCACTATTGACAGCAATCTAATAAAAAAACTGGCCAAGTGCGAGTCGGACTCGCGCTCGTAGGATTCCGTAACATTATCTATAAAAATGGCAAAAAATCATGTTATATCGGAGCCACTTAAAAATCTTTTTATTCTTTTTTTTAGTATTTGTTGTTATAGCGGCAACAGAAATACATCATGTTTGACAATTTCAACTGTCTAAATATCACTGTTCATGAGGTACAGCCTGGTGACAGATGGATCGACAAACAGACAGACGGGGACAGGGGAGTTTTAGTAATACGGTCCCATTTTACCCTTTCGGACGGAATCCTAAAAAGTGATAATTTATTGTGCCGTGAGATAAACACATAGTGGTCTCTGTAGACTGGCCGTAGAGCTATTAGCGTTGAACATACAGCAATGTCATTATTTCTTGATCCTTTAACCTTTTAGTTTCATCATTATCATTAATCTAGGGACATTACTTGGAACGGTGGCCGCATTCCAAGTTGGCGGCATCCTCGGCGCTAGTGCGTGGGGCTGGCCGTCCACATTCTGGGTGACAGGCTTGATGTGTCTCATCGCCTTCGCGATGCTCTCGATCTTCGGTGCGTCATCGCCGTCCAACCATAAACGCATCTCCGAAAACGAGAAGAACTTCATCCTCGGCCGGATAGACGACGGCGTGAAAAGGGTAATTAGCTGTATATTATATTAGAAACTAAACAAGTTTGCGGGAATAATGATTACCTAAGACCACGTTATATAACACTTAAGTGTTATGCTATTTGTGTTATGAAGTTATTATCATTTCATGTTTCAAAAATACTAATTTATAATTCCACAGAGTGCTTGTTCGAGGCAGGATATGCCTTGAAAATCGCGCTGTTGGGAAATTTCTGGTTCATTACTCATATCTTTTTTAATTTTTCACCTTTCAGAAGCCGAAAATGCCTTGGAAAGCCGTCCTGTCCTCTAAACATGTGTGGGCGTCATTCGCAGCCCACATGGGCAGCGGTGTCGCGTTCGTTTTCTTCTTCACGCAAGTGCCTACTTACATGCATGCCATTCTGAAAGTTAACATCAAAAGCGTATGTTCAACTTTTACACGAATCAAACATCACATCATTTATCAATCGATCATATAATGTGAAACGTTAAGTTTTATTAGTATATGCAAGTCAGTATTTCTCGATAAGTCTTATGGCGTTAAGATATTTTAAGTTCTCGTACTCCGCAGATAACTTATCGGAAGGAATTCCTTCCAATAAGCTCTCTCCAACAAGTTACAGCAAAATGAAAAAAGTAACAAAACATTATTAAAGTATCATCATTTCATCCTGTTTGAGTCCACTGCTGAACATAAGCCTCCCCCATAGACTGCCAAGAAGCACGATCCTGAGCTACCTGCATCCATCGACATAAGAAATATAAAAAAAAAATATAATATTAAAGTATGTTACAATATAATTAAAATCTATTTAAAGTATTTCAACTAACAATTTTACACTTACAACAGGAATGATGAATATAACATTGTAGTGCTAAGAAACAATGCAAATTATTTATAGCTGTGTGTTTCTTAATAATTTGTAGATTTTGTTTTTACATTTGCATACTAACCGTTATAATTGGTTAACCGTAAACGAATGACCCAGTTCAGTTGACCTTGAATTTCGGCTAAGCTCTGTCGTATCTAAAACGGTAACGAATATCCAACATCGGTAGGAACAAAATCTTTTCAAAAATTTAATTTTCTGCAACTTTTATAACAAAAACAAACATTAAATCCATAAGAAGCGCGATATTGGCAAAAATATAACGATTTTTGTCACCTTCAAAATGTTAAGACGTGAGCGCAAAAATCGTACATTATACGTTAATTTGAGCAGCGACCCGAGATTTGACGTTAAATGTTTAACATAAATAAACAAACGTAATTCAAACTCTACGTTATCAAGCCTTCCACAAATAAAGCAAACAACGATATAAATTCGAGTAGAAGCCCACACCGCTAGTAAAGCAAATAACTTAATATGCCTATTTATTACACTTACATTTTAGAACGCTATTTTTACTTTATTCTTTATTGCGTTTTAATGTCTAATAAGAGCTCGCAATAAATAACACGTACTGAATGATACTTGTTATTAATAATTCTTTATTCTATTATGTAATTCCACAATCTGTCGGTGGGAAAACATAAAATAATATCATTTATCGTAGCCCCAGTAAGAATAGCAATAGTAAATATTGTGAAGATGAAAAAAATGCCAGTTACATCAGTACTCGTTACATTTGTTTTACAATATTTGCTATTTAGATAAATCCTCATAGTAATGTAGGTATATACATATGACAAATGTAAAATATATCTAAAGCTAGTCATATGTAAAGCTTGACATAATCAGAACTTTTCCGTAGTTAGATCTGGCCTCCCTTTTAATTGGTGTGGCATTTTACCTTGTTCGCACTATTGAACCATTAGGAACTTTCAAACTATTCAAAAACACCTACCTTTGCTATACTGCCAACGTTTGCAGAAGCTTACATTGAAAATTTGATTGTTCCAAACGACACTAGTTTCTTGGTATTGTATATATGAGGGTTAATTAGCTATTTAAGGAACCTACGTTCAGTTTCTAGAATACAAATTTGGCAGTTAAATGTAAACTTCAGTGAAATCGGTATCTCTTAATTACACAAAACAGTAACTCGTATATTACAATATTTTAGAGTGGTCTGCTGTCGTCGCTGCCCTACGTGGCGTCGTTTTTCTCGACGATGCTCAACGGATACCTATCGGACTTCCTGACAAACAGGAAAATCGTTTCAATTAGGACTGCGAGAGTCATGTCTAATTCAATTGGTAAGTAAGGATTGTTAAACAAGTGCTTTTACAAACTAGATGATATTGTGTATAATAAGATGAGATATACAATATTCTGCTGATTTTTGTATATTCTGCAGATATTGCAGAAAACTGTTTATGCGTCCTTGCAACTTCGAAGATTTATCCTATCTATTCACATTTATGATGATAGTTTACTAATTTATTGTAATAAAAATATGTTTACGGTGAGCTTAGTGTGTGTACACTCGAAGTAAATGTATGATATTTACAATGCGGCCAATAAATCCGTGTTGCAGCGTGCGTGGTGCCAGCTATGTGCGTGGCAGCCGTCTCTTTCACTACCAATGTCACCTTGGCTGTTGCGTTCTTCGTGGTGTCAATGATGGCGTTCGGCATGATCCACACCGGATGGATGGTGAGCATTTTTCATTGTGAATCCTTGTTACAAATGTTCATCGTCGAATTTTCTTTGTATAGTGTTGTATGCTGTAAATAATGCACACTAAATGGCGCCAAGCATTGCTAAAATGCAATAGAAAGAACGTAGATAGATGTTCAGATGTTCGCGCCGCGGAATCATCGACCGCTTACCTTAGTTGGTAAAGCGTCTGGGCGCGTAAACAGAAGACGCAAGTTCGAATCTCGTAGCGCTGAAAGTTTTTGTACATTTAACTACAAAAAATATTATTCGTTGCTTCTTGAATTGAGTTGAAAGCAATTTGGTATCCGTTTGGTGAACTCCTTTTGCTATCGGAGTTTATTTTGAATGTGGTGTGGCCTTACCACAACAGCGTGCAACAGTCTCCGCTATGGCACGAATGGGTAGGTCCATCTGGGGTAGTAACATTACCTCACAGAAGACCGGCGTGAGGGGATGTGTTTTACTTCTGCATTTCGCCGGGTGAGTGAGATAGCCGGAACCCGCTTTATTGAAAGGAAAAGGCAACGTATCTGTCAGCGAGAGACTTCCCATTTCTGTTGCTTAATTGCTTAATTATATGACGACCTGAATGGCGTCGTGGGTAGTGTACCTGCCTCCTACGCCAGAAGGTGTGGGTTCCATCCCCACTTCTGGAGAAATATTGTGTGATGAACATAGTGTTTTCCTAATGTCTGGATAATTATATATGTATAATATGTATTTATTTATAAAAGAAAAGTATTTTTAAGTATGTTTATCGGTTATCTTGTACCCAGAATACAAGCGTTGCTTAGTTTGGGACTAGAGAAAGTTATGTAAAATTATTATTTGTTTATACTATAAACACAAAAGTGTGAATGTATATATATGTATATATAATGACTTCATTAAAATCCTACCTTCACATCTCCCATGCTTTAATTTTTTAGTTTATCTAACAAAATAAGAATGGATGTGGTAGCTGTAACGGTGCGTTCACCAATACAGACCATGAAACATTTAATTCATCACAGTTATAATGTTAACGGATTTTTCGCGTTTATTTTTTATTTCAATTCCAGCCATTTCAAAAACTTTTCAGTATTCATTGTCATGAGTCAGACTGGGGCGTTATACGCGGCATTCAGACGTAAATTATTGATTCTGAATCTGATTACTTTTTCTTTTACTAAACAGACTAGACTTTAAATCGTACCTACATGTGAGTTTTATATAATATATGTCTTTGTAAATTACCAGTGTGTACCCAGTGAAGCTCGGCATAAAGATTAATCATGACAAACAACACCGCTAATATTTATAAACTGTAATTTATAAAGATGAGAGAATTCTTTAAAATAAGTTATAATTTTGCACTATATACCTAATGACTATTTTTCTTAGTTAAGAGTTGACTTGAGTTTCAAAACGTACTAATGAATTCTTTTCAGGTGAATTATATGGATCTTGCCCCGAATTTTAGCGGAGGACTGATGGCCATTGGAAATACGATAACTAACATTTTCGTAATGCTTCTACCTATCTTGGTTTCCCGAATTGTGATTGATGTCGTAAGTACTTTCTAAGTGATTGTTTTCCAGATAATTTTCTGGAATGATTTATATTAATTACCGATTATTATTCCGTTCCTCGTAGGCCGACGCGTATCAATGGCGGATTATGATGTTTTTCATGGCCGGACTACTTTTAGTTACGAACACGATTTTCGTAATATTCATGTCCTCGAAGACGCAAGCGTGGAACGAGGAAAACGAGGAGAAAGAAGGTAAGCTTGGTAAGGTTCTCAATTCGACTGTATTTTTTAAGTCGAATTAAGAGGAGTCGAATTAGGAAGAGGTTATGAGGTACCACCTCATAACTTTTGACAGGGTGAACCGATTTGATTTTTTTTTCTTTTTTTTTTTTTATGCGAAAAGTTGCCAAACGAGCAGACGGGTCACCTGATGTTAAGTGAATACCGCCGCCCATGGACACCTGCCACACCCGAGGGTTACAGATGCGTTGACAACCTTTTTAAAATTGGGCTCCGGCAACCTCACTCACCAGACGAAACGCGAAAGTATTTGTCATACTTCCACTTTACGCTGGTCTTTTTTTATTTCAAAGCTGGTGCTTCCCATGTTGTCCCATATTAACTTCATTTCTATTGGATCTTGGACTCTGGAGATACTAAGAGAACTCCAGAAAATGATTTATAAAATGAATACAGAGCGAGAGATTAGAAGTTGGTTTTGTTTTTCATTAATAAAAATATTTACTGTGAAGATTTGGGAAGCGACCAGGCGATCCCATGTTAAGAGATTCTTGCTGCCCATAAAAAATAATTTTCATATAGACATTGAAAGAATAATATGCAAGTTTTAGTTATTTTTAGTGCGATTGATGACATATGTGATTAAATTATATTTCCTGTCCTGGAATCGAAACCACGACTAGCATCGCTGAAGCGAATAACTTCCCATCTCAAGCATCCTATCTAATAATAAAAATTAATACATAGCGATTTCGCATATAATGATGTCATACTTAGTACGTAATATTATCAGTTTCGGAATAAAATTACCTACCTTATTTTGCTTTTTTACAGATGATATGAAATCCTGAAATGAAAAATACCAAGTTTTTTTAGGCATATTAATAAATTTTTGTTTTAATGACATGAAAGTTTCATTTTCAAAAATGGCATCAAAATCATTTATTTATTTAGTTAAATAAATTATTTAGTCATCTGTATTTATAAGAATTGCTATTGAAGCGAAGAGATACCTATTGAACAATCATTGGGTAACGAAATCTAACATAAAATAATAGAAGAAAAACTAATGTATTTTTTTTTCTTCTACGCCAGTTAAAAAGCTTCTTTACTTCATGTATGATTTAAATTTTGATCTAGTTATTAACAAGTGGCAGGACCTTAGTTACCTCACCACACAAATTAGATAAATTGCTCAATACATTTTGTGTCTAGCTATTGAGTGCAAATAATCTATGTGTAGCTTACATTTGACAATATAAAGGAATTACATTTCATTAGCAATTATGAAATAAATTCTGCTCTACTCCTAATTTTAAAGTTTTTTATAGTGCTAAACTCTGCACTTAAGATCTACTCCTAATGTTTGTCTTCTATTATTTTGTATATGCTGATGTTATTCATATACGTTCATTTTTATAAAATATGCTAAAAATCTACCCCATTATCCACCTATTTATGAACGTAAAGGTATGCAGCCGATGGAACATTAACAAGGAAACAATACTGCAGATAGGAATGTAATTGGTCTGCCATTTGGTGCCGAGTAATAATTTGAATTGTTACACATCCGGAATGCTGTGCTCGTATTTCGCTACAATTCACGACTCCATAGTTTATAGCTGGATTCGAAATGTATCCGTAATTAATGGCATTATAAACCAGCGGAATGCCAAACAACAATTGGAAACCTCGATGGGAGTACACACAATGAAAAATTAAACTTAGCTACGGTACATAGCAAGTTGAACATGTTTTGTGTTGAATTATTTTGGAATTCTTATCCTTATTCCAATCATTCTATTAGTATATATATTATTCATTAAACTTTAGTATGGTCTCGAACTGTACTTGTACTGTATTGGTACTGAACGGGAAATGTAACTTTTTTTTAATTAATTTGTATAAAAAAAATTACAAACTTATTAAACTGATACAAACAAACTCATAAGAGTTGTACCGTTTACTTGGTAACACTAAGGGCAGGTAACAATAATAGTTTATTCAAATAGATGTTTGCGCGTTCTTAAATTTACATAAATAATTAATACTGTTGTTGTTGGACGACGCTGTGTAAACATCGTCTCTGTGTTAAAAATTCAGTAAAATTTTATTTAAAAAAAAAATTGTGTATTATTACGTTTGTTTTCTTTGTGTATATGTGGACTATAACTGCAAGTGTTTTCTCAATAGTACGAGACTTAATTATCACAATAATAGGCAATAAGTGTAGCTATGGTGACTTTACGATAAATTTAAAAATTATAGTATAAAAGCTCAATAAAAATGTGCAAAAAGTGACATCTAAATCTTAAAGACATTAATAAATAAGTGAAAATAAACAAAAAAACTTTTAAAAGTGACGGTTGAATAATTCAAATTGAATGGAGTGCTAAAATTGCTATCATTTATTGCAATAGTGACATCTATTGACAAGGTTATGTACTGTTATTGACTATTACAACATAGTTATACAGCTTTTACTGACTACAACATAGAGAGCGTTTAAAAGAAAAAATGGATACTAACTCTGCATCTAAAGAGAAATATTGTTCCAAATGTAATAAAATAATTAAAGGTGTGAATTATTTAAAATGTAATATATGTAATAAATTGTATGAGCCAGACTGTACCAATGTATCTTTCAAAAGATTTAACATTATGTCTAAGGAAAGAAAACAGAAATGGAGATGTATTAATTGTGCTCACGGAAAACAAAATAGCAGTATAATTATTTCACCTATGGGTACTATAAAGTTAAACAGACAAGAGCAACAAACTAACGACAAAAATACTGAGGAGCATAAATATGAAAAAAATGTGACATTAAGAACTAAAAAAAATAATTTACATAAAACATGTACGAGCTCACACATGAATACCTCGTTAACTTAATCTGATTCGGAATATGACATAAAGAGTTTGCCTGATATTTCAACCCCATTCAATTTCGAACTGGAAATCATAAAGGAAGAACTGGAAAGAACTAAAAGCTTACTCGCTAGCGCTAATTTGGAAATAGAGAATCTGTTGCTTGAGAATAGTTCACTTAAAAAAAAAAGAATATGGAACATGAAAAGACAATTTCTCAGCTAAGAGATACATGTAATAATCTTTTTTCGGGTCTCAAGAATCGGTGAGTTCGGTACAGAAAAAGAAAAATAGGAGAAATTCTTTATTAAGTACTGATTCAAGCAAAGAAAATGAGCAGGGCATATTATCGATATCCACAAAAAAAAAAAATTTTGATGGGCAAACTGATTCTCAGTTGAGTTTCCAGAAATGCTCGCTAGATGGAACTACTGAAACAAAAGAAAGTAAACAGCCGGTAAAACAACTCAAAGAAAAGAAAATTTATACTCAATCAACGCATGCTACATTAAATTTATGTACTGGGTGATGAACAAGCGACTGGACTTGCGACTAAACTACTCATGGAATGAGAAATTAGGGGTGACAATAACTACAAAATTATGTCATTTATAAAACCACAATCTCTTTGTGCTGATTCGTTGGACTACTCTAATCATATAATTAAGAACTTAAGCCATGACGACAAGATTGTGATTGTGACGGGTGCCAATGATTCTAACCCAATCAAACTATTAAACGATTTAAGTTTGGTGCTTCATAGATTAAGTAAATGTAGTAGAGTATATATTTTAGAAGTTGTAAATCCTTTTTGGTTTTAAATTAGCTAGTTTCTATGGTCGTAAAAAAAGTAGAGGTGGTGTATGTATTTTGATAAAGGAAGATATGGAGTGGAACGAAATAAAATTTCTTTCAGATTTAGCAGAATCCGAGCATTTTGAATGTTGTGGAATAGAAATTCCTTTACATAATATTTACGTAATATGCATCTATAGTACACCTAGTTCGAATGTGAATATATTCTTTTTTAAACTACAAAACTTATTGTCAAAATTAATAAATAATCATAATAAAAGAATTATTATTGTTGGAGACATTAACATCAATACCTTGGAAAATAATAAAAATACAATTGAATTAAATGACATCATTTTGAATTATAATTTATATAGACATACTAATGAACCAACACGTGGAAACAATTGTATAGATCATGTGTTTAGTAATATAATGAATGCAACGGCATGTGTTAAGAAGTTATATTTATCTGATCATGAATCGGCGCAAATATTATCTATTGATGTGCATAAACAGAAAAAAAAGTTAAAGGATACTTGGGAGTATAAAAGAAATTATAATTTATATTACATAAATAAATTTCGTGAATGTATAAAAAAGCTTACTTTTAAGGAAGTTTTTGAGGATAAGGACATCAATACTGCATACAATAAATTTATGGAACTTTTTATCTTATTTTATAACCTATGCTTTCCAATGATTAGGACAAAAAAACTAGACATGAAGTATAAAAATAACTGGATCACAAAAGGTTTCAGACTTAGTTGCTCAATGAAAAGGAAACTCAAAATTGGTTATTATAGGAAATAGACTGAAGAGAATAAACAAAAATATAAAAGATACACCAAATTATTAAAAAAGTGTATTGATGTATCTAAAAGAATAAATAATTTTAAACGAATAAATACCAGTAAGAATATTGGAAAATGTTCATGGAATATGATAAAATCGGAGGCGGGATTAAAATCAAACGACCACTATATCAACATGATAAACAAGAATAATGAATGTCTAAGATCACCACAGATAATTGCTAATGCTTTTAATGAGTATTATGAAAACCAGACAAGAACAGTTAAATTTAAGCAAGCGAAAGCAACACACCTGTATAACATAAATAGTCCGTGCAAAAGCATGTTTTTACATCCAATTACTCTAGAGGAGACAAAGGCATTAATAGTTAATTTAAAAAATTCTAAAAGTGAAGGATATGATGGTGTAAATACGAAAGTCATTAAACACTGCAAGGATGAACTATCGCCTGTACTTTCATATCTGATAAATTTATCATTCGAAGTAGGTGTTTTTCCAGAGTCTGCAAAACTATCTCTGGTCAAGCCTTTATTTAAGCAAGGCGATAGGAAAGATATGAACAATTATCGTCCAATAACTATTTTGTCAGTTTTCTCCAAAATTTTTGAAAAAGCTATGCACAGTAGGCTTAGTCTTTACTTTAATGAACATAATTTTATAAAAAAGAACAGTATGGTTTTCAGCAAAACAAATCAACCATGATGGCATGTTTTGATTTACTAAAAAGAATCACCGATGCAATAGATGATAAGGTAAATGTAACAAGTGTATTTTTCGATATGTCAAAAGCATTTGACTTTGTTTGCTATGACACCTTATTACGTAAGCTAGAAAAGTATGGGACTGACATTGCAATGGATAAAATCATACTTATCATCAAGAAAACAGTGTGTGGAAGTTATAAGCCCTAACAAAAATAATATTTTGACAAAATTTAGATCGCGACTAGTTCTTAAGTACACTGGAGTTCCTCAGGGAAGTGTTCTTGGGCCTTTTTTGTTTGTAATTTATGTAAATGATTTACCGGATTCAACTCCATTCCCATGCATTTTATTTGCGGATGACATATCTTTGATCATAAAAAATAATCATGGAAATAAACATTATTACGAAAATGACATTAAATGCGCAATAAATGATGTCATTTCATGGTTACATGATAATAATTTAAAGGTCAATATCGCCAAAACCTGTTATGTTCAATTTTATAGTAATAGTAGAAAGAAACTAGACCTTGACATAAGGTATAATAATGACAAAGTGCAAGAAAACGAACAAAAGAAATTTCTGGGATTAAAACTAGATAGTAATTGTAATTGGATGGCTCATATTGACGAAATTTGTAATAAAATTAATAGATTTGTATATTAAAACATGTAGAAAAAAAAGTACGAAAAGATTGTCGCCGCTGTGGGAATCGAACCCACGTCTTCGGCATTCGCGGCCTGACGCTCTAGCCACTGAGCTAAACGGCTGATAGCCACAGCGACGAAAATCTTAACGCCTTCCTTCTACATTGTTATTTAGCATTTGAAGCAATGCTTGGCGCATCTATTGTTATATCCTTTCCAGCATACAAACAATTTCGAATATCGTTTTACAACGATAATTCGAACGAGAGATGTCGCCATTGCTTTTTATAAATTTTAAAGTTTTTTATAGTGCTAATCTCTGCACCTAAGATTGAACATTAAAACATGTAGAAAAAGTACGAAAAGATTGTCGCCGCTGTGGCTATCAGCCGTTTAGCTCAGTGGCTAGAGCGTCAGGCCGCGAATGCCGAAGACGTGGGTTCGATTCCCACAGCGGCGACAATCTTTTCGTACTTTTTCTACATGTTTTAATGTTCAATCTTAGGTGCAGAGATTAGCACTATAAAAAACTTTAAGATTTGTATATGTTTTAAATAGGTTAAGAAGAACATCGTCACGCCAAACCGCACTCATTGCATATCATGGGTATGTTGCAACAATACTTAGATACGGATTGTTAATTTGGGGTAATAGCTCTTATTCAAAAAGAGCTTTTATAGCTCAAAAAAGTGTGTGAGAGCCTTAACTGGGTCCAAATGGTATGATTCGTGTAAGCCCTTATTTAAGGATTTGAACATACTAACTTTACCAGGCATGTACATATTTGAAGCAAGTGTTGAAGCAAAATCTAGTAGACTAGTTTTAGAACGTGCACCTAAAACTGCCTTTTATCATAATGGCTGTTACGCGATGAGTGTAAAGATTTACAATAAGCTTCCGGTAAGCATTAAAGAAGAGAAAGAAACTGGTAAATTTAAAACCAAACTCAAAGCTGGCTATTATTAAAATGTGTGTATGATATAAAACAATTTTTAAATGAATAATATCTTATTGCGTAAATCTGACTTTACTATATTATTTTAGACTTTATTTTTGTGTAATAAATGGTATACTCTTTTGACATTTTAATCTTTAATATTTGTAATGATTGACATGATGATTGTAATTTTAATTTAATTTAATTTAATTGTAATTTTTTTTTAATTTATATTTATTTAGTCTAATTTAATGTATGTATATAATGAATTATTTTTATTTAAATAATAATTTTCGCATGCCAGATGTGGTAAACATGTGGACTATGTACAAAATGCAACTATGTGTCACCTCTGAAGTACCATGTTTAAGCGAATAAATGATATTATTATTATTATTACATAAGTTTGTAAGTAAATTACCATCTAATCTGTTATTAACTAACACATGTTTTTAGTCGATGTAGAAATGTTATTATTGAAATCTATACTATAATAAAAGAGTAGAAAGAAGTAGGATTGGACCTAACCAATCAATTTGAACTAAACTAAACTAACCTTCGTTAGGTGTAATTTTTTATATATTAAGATTTTAACTGTGGTAGGGCCACGCAAAATTTTCAGCTGTTGCACGAGTCGGCAGGTCCGTCCGGGTAAGTACCACGACCTCACAGAAGAACGGCGTGAAGTTGAAGTGTTGTACTTTTTTTTTTGGGCTTGATGAGCCACTGTTGGCCTTAGGGGCCTTTATAGATCCGACGGACATGAGGTGGCCTGGCACACTGGGCGCCTAGCCTGAACCTAGGTGTATTATTATAACGCGTTATGGTGACTAAGCTCGAGGGCTCCCGAGGGAGCCTCAGCTCGGGCCGTCATGCAATTGGGGCGCTTTGGCGGACAACCCATGGATTTACTAGGCTCAAGGGTCCCCGAGAGGGGATCTCAGCTTGGGCTATCACTCAATACGCGTTTAGCATTCCGATTCGAGGGTTCCCGAGAGGGCCGGACCTCAGCTCGATCGATAGCTGTTATCTGGCTGGGGTTATACTTCTGCGTTTCGACTGTATTAAAAGGTGGCAACGTATCTGCAACCCTATGGGTGTTGCAAATGTCCATGAGTGGCGGTTATCACTTAAAATCAGGTGAATCACCTACTCGCTTGCCAACTCATGCTCAGTGCCAAAAGACAGGCACATATTTACATTTTCATATTTTCTTATTTTCGAGTGTATTAATGAGTGATATAAATTGTTAATAATACGTGCTTGTGAAGTAGAAGTGTGTGTCTCTAATAAAACTGAATTTTTGAATCATCTTTGACTGATCTACCCAAACTCAACCGGCATAATAATTAGCCAGTAAGTCTTACTAGGTAATTATTTATTATCTATGCAGACTTATCCAAAGGATTTTAATGAATCGTTAAAATTAAACGATACTGCTAAACAAAGCACAACTTTACTACGATATATGTACGAAAGGAACCAGATCATCTAATATTTATATCCGTATTTAATACAAATGCTCAGATTTCGGCACTCCTGTCGAAACCAGTCCGATCCAATCAGTATATCCAGTCTATTAATACATATTTTCATCATATCATATCATATCTCCTTTCATTCATTAAGTACTTTCGGAACCAGCCCATTGATATAATCATAATGTGTTCGCTGTACTAAAACTTCAATAATTGCCTTCAACTGTTGAAAACTTAACGCTAAGTTGTGATGGAAATGTGAATAATAACTGCTAAGTACGTATAGTTTTACAAGTTAAGAAATCTCAAAACATAACATAGTAAAGCAGTGCGGTAATTGATTAGCATTAGTGCGCTTTTTATTCTGCACCACCGGTCTTCTCCTTTGTTTCTGCAAGAAAAAAAAAAACTCAAATTTTAGCTATTAGAAGTGCAGTGCTAGTCTCATACTTATTTATACATAAGTATGAGCCTAGCAATTGAAAACACTTAAGAAACTACTTTGCAGATAGTAACGGTACAGATAGAAATGTGATTCGAATATTTTTGTCACTACTATTCCTAAATATATTCCACTACCATTCCTAAATATATTTGAATGCGTACATACCGGAATCTATTTCTTCCGGGTTATTCCACGTCTGTGTTTTAGATGTCGTAAAAAAAATGAAAAATAAGTTAGTGCAGAAATATATGCCAGACGCCAAGAAAAACACTTTGCGCCACTCTGATTGGTCAGTCTGTAAAATAAATAAATAAATTAACTACAGAAATGCAAGAGCGAATAAGAAACTTACTATGGTAGGGCAACGAAGAAGCTTCCACCGATCGGGCAGGCTGGTCCGGGGCAATACTGTAGCCTGATAGAAAACTGGTGTGAAGTGGATGGATTATAATTAAAATATGTAGAAAAAGTGAGAAAAGATTGTCGCCGCTGTGGGAATCGAACCCACGTCTTCGGCGTTCGCGGCCTGACGCTCTAGCCACTGAGCAAAACGGCTGATTGCCACACCGACGAAAATCTTAACGCATTCTTCTACATTGTTATTAGGATTATAATTTCGCGTTACGCGTGATGAAAAGGTTACTGGAGACCACTATTTAAGGTTGTCAACGCATCTGTAACCACTCAGGTGTTTACATGCCCATGGGTAGCTGTAATCGCTTAACATCGGGTGAACCAGCTGCTCGCTATGCAATTATTCACATAAAATGCGCATTTTCCTTTTATTATAATTTAGGTTGCACAGCCTGTTGTCTATATCTAATATATACATATAGCTAGAAAATTTTAAGCCAAACTATTGATTCGAGGAATTATGATCGTAATCGTAGCAATAGCCGTAATAACTAGCTATTTATTACTAAACCTAGTAAACGTACATAAAAAAAAAAACCTTTGTCTAATGAAATGTAAAAAAATATGCTTTAATACGCTATTAGTACGATAACTAATTAATTATTAACTACTTACCTCGTCCCTAATAATTATACCGCAAACCAGAGGCGCGACAATAGATACAATGCTGGCGAAGAAATTCGAAATGGCCGTAAGCGAAGAACTGAAGTTTGGCGCTAAGTCGACTAGAACCAGCTGAAAGGTAAATAAGCGTAGTCAATATAGATCCTTCTCTTTTTGGGGTTCCGTACCTTCACTAACGTCTGTCTGTACGTGTGTCACCACCGATTATCTCTGTAACGGATGGACCTAGCACGTTGAAATTTATACCAAATACTGAGGTTTATTTTCGCGAACACTTGTAAGTATCAAAATTTAGACATATTCCTGAGAAAATCGGTGGGGATTTTGTACCAATTTTATTGTGGCGGTATAATGACGGTAGGTACGGAACCCTCGGCGTACGAGTTCGACTCGCACTTGACCGGTTTTCTTATTTGAAATTACGGTACATGCAACTGTCGATGTAATGCCTGTAAGACATCAGACATTTAACTAACAACCACCTTTGCTTAAACTGCTGTTATAAATACTGCATGGGAAACGGTTGCCAGTTTATTAACTACGAGTTTAATATATTAGACTAATTTTTTAATACTTACTGTGAAACCGGCGTAGCAGCCAGCATTGATACCAACTGTTACCGTCAGCATAATCACTGCCACTATCATATTCCCTTCTGGTGTATATGATAACCCGATCAAGGCTAATGCAGGTCCCCAGAAACCTACAAAATATATCGTTTACTTCATCAAATATTTGAAATCAATTTCTCACTTTTGAGCGAGTGTACAGTATCAATTCCCTTGAATGTAATAAAAACATCTAGGTGGAATCATCAATTTAGTTTTTTTACTTCACTTATCCATCCGGCTGTCCGCTCCTGAGAGGTTAGTCTAGTTTAAATTTCATGAATTTTCAGTCATAGCCTAAGCTGTAACCTCAACAAAGATCCTTGTGTCCGTAGATAATGTAGTAGAAGGGAATAGTACCTATGGAGTTGGACAACTTCCTTGTATTAGTAATGCTGAGCCATTTCCGCCTCACTAGCAAATCGGTCATTGCTCCCACTGGAAAACTTAACAAGCACATCGCCAGATATGGGAGGGATGAAAGCACGCCATTCTGTCAACACATAAATTATGAGGTCCTTAATGATAATATAAAAAATAAATATAAGGCCATATTAACATAAAAAGAGATAAGCTTTGTTATAACTTAATCAAAATGTTGGAAGTATTAGCTATGACTATTGTTTAGGATTAATTTTTATTTTTAGTAGTATCTTCAGATGTTTGGAGATAAATAAACAAAAACTTTTGGCTCTGCGCGGACATAAAACGGCACCTTTCGGTGTCGGAGATTTTCTCATTGGACGCTTAGCTTAATTGTTAAAGTATTTGCGTGAAACTATAAGATGCAGTTTGGAATTCCATAGAAACAAAAGTTTTTGTTGATTTATGAACGAAAATCCCATATCATGATTTATCTCCATTTTGTGAAATGACATGACAGTTTATGTCTATCTTTTCTTTAACTTGACATTTATAGTAGTGCCAAAATCTTTCTAAATTTGAACATTAAATTATTTTCACAAAAATATTGTTTACTTGTGTTAAATTCACGTCCAGAACTTTTGCCATGTATGTTGGCATCTCCGTCATCAGGGTGAAGAATCCCCAGTTTTGCCCACAATGGCTCACCACAGCCGCCCAAAATGGAAGGCACGTTATGATCTTCGTCAACGGTGTCTTATATTTCTGCCAGAGGTTATTCCAGTTGATTATTTCAGTAACACCTTAGCTTTCTCACTTTCTCAGAGCTAGCAGTCGTGCACGCGTAAAGTACAGTTATTTTAGTATAATGTCACACTCTATTTGATGACTCTTTGTAAAGGCTAACCCTTAACAAAGAGGATGTATATTTTAAAGTTATTTATGTGTTCTATCTTTAAAGTTTTTGAAATCGTCATTTTATTAAATTACTTTAAATTCTATGTTTATATGTTTTTTTGGATAAAATATTTCGCTATGTTGCATACAGTTGTTTCGTAGTTGATAATCTAATTATTCTGTCTGAAGAAGATGCTGTAAGTAAAAAGCTATAGAAAACTGTACAAAATATCAAACTGATGCTATCCTCAATGAAATGTAACTCAATGAAAAACTCATGCATATGTTATATTTTAAAAATGTATTTCGATTCATCAAAAACATTTTTACTGAGTGATAAATAAGTCACATAAGAACTCTTTTTATCTTAATGATACTTTAATGACTTATTTTGTCATTTCTCCTACATGAATAATTTAGATATCAAATATTACACTTGCTAATAAGAACACGCACATCTTGACACGAGACGTGTTCTCGAATTATTCGACAATACACCAATTAATTCATGAATTAATCGTAGTAGACGCCTTGACGTTTGTACACCTTATGAATAACGGGATATTTTGATAGACGAGTTAAGAATAAAAATAGCTAACGTATACAAAAGTAACAATGTATGTTGCGAAAGCGCTATCGTGGTCCTACGCGAGACTATTCGACTATCTTATCTTAGGGCACTTGTATGTTTCCGCGTGGGTATATATATTCAGTTGTTTTTGGGACAGCCTGTATCATATATTTTCATGCCTTTTGCCTGTAACATCTATAACAAACAAGGGCTTGCAGAACCCGGGTACCTCACTCACCAGACGCAACTCGAAAGTTTAATATTTCTATCTCACGCTGGTCTTATATGAGGCCGTCGATGCCTCTGCCCATTCGTGCTAGCAGATGTTGCTGCATGGCCCTACCAAAGCCAAAATTAAAATAATAAAAGTAAAGTAACAGCCTATACATGTCCCACTGCTGGGCAAAGGCCTCCTCTATACAGAGGGTATCAGGGCATAGTCCACCACGCGGCCCCACTGCGGATTGGCGGACTTCACATATATTCGAAATATATTTTTTTTGTTATTATTTCGAAAATATGCAGGTTTCCTCACGATGTTTTCCTTCACCGCGGAGCACGTGATAAGTCAGCACTTAAAGTTAAAAACTTCATTGGTGCCGGCACCGGGGATCGAACTCAGGTTGCTCGAATATATTGAATTAAGGCGAGCGCCCGGACACTGAGCTATCGCGTCTCTAAAATTAAAATAATATTGCAATAAAATACAATATTTCAAAAGTTTGTGAATAACAGCTTATATAAATCAAATAACCTCGTATTAAGGCATCGCCCATTATGCTCATCGCGGATTAGCATCAATTAAAGCACAAATTGAAGCAATAACTGAACCATTGTTATGTTTAATCCTTATTAATATAATAAATGCGAAAGTTTGTATGTATGCATGGATGTTTGTTACTCTTTCACGCAAATACTACTGAATTGATTTTAATAAAACTTTACAATAATATAGCTTATACATCAGAATAAGACACAGGCTATAATTTATGTACATGTTTTATGTATATCTGTCATTCTGTCTTAATGTTACACCTTCAGTCTTTTCCAGGCAGACGTAGTCGCGGGAAACAGCTACTTTATTATAAATGTAAAGTTAATCTTCTTACCTTTTGCTCCCCAACGCGTCCTAAAGATTTCTGGATGTATCTCAATTCTTCTTGAGACATTCTTTTGGATTGTTCAGGCGACGCCGAACCGAAGAATAAGTAAGTAATCGTCCATAAAACTCCAAGCAGACCGTTTACGTAAAATATCGCTTTCCAACCCCACGCTGACGCTAAGAATCCCGATATTAGGAGCTGTAGTGCGACACCAAGCTGGCTTCCTTTAAGAGTTTGTTATTAATATAAATACAAATTTTGAGGGAAAAAATATGATTAATAATATGTGTTAAACTTTTTACGTTATTGGTACTTCAGTCCCGTTCGTTGTTAGTGGTACTAAGAATCAATTTTTCCGCTCAAGCAAATTGTGAATATTTTCAAAGCAAGAGTGTATATAGGCTTTTACTGAGTCAGTAATTTCTCTATCTAATGTGCGAGGTGCTTAGTACCAGTCTGATGAAATTTTAAAGATCAATCCAATGTCAATACAATATATTTATGGCCTTCCTATGAAAGGTGTTGAAGGTCTTTATGCAATAGGAGCAAATATTTATTCAATTCAGTTTTTTTTTTCTACAATTTAAGTGTCAACTTCCTCTATTAGGTACAGAAGCACCTGTGTCAGAGGAAGCCACTCTACCTTAACAAAAATGTTATAACTAAACTAATGTATCATATATATTGTTTAATAATAATTTATTGTTTAATTTACTTAGTTACTTTTCATGGCTTGAACGCTCACCGCTGTAGAGAAGTGTACTTAGGCGGCCTTTTTCTTCTAAAGGTACCCACTGGCTTACAATATGGTTTGTTGCCGGAAAAATGAACGACTGCGTCAATCCTTGGAGCACACGACAGGCGCATACGAATTGCCAGCCTCCCTGTTGCAGCAAATTATGCGATTCAATATCAAAACCTATTTGAACGTAATACCAACCTAATATGTGATCCCAGCCGTGAAATAAGCCATTCCGTCTCATCCCGTGGTTGTCATAGGAGGCAATTGAGGGATATACCTCGACTTTCTAGACCCTAAATACTCAGGCAAATAACGAACAGCGGCGTTGAGGGTACGAGGTGTCTGGAAAAACTACGAATGCCAACCCGCTTGCCAGGCTGGTTAACGATTGCAAAAAACCCTTATGAAAGGTTTAAGTTTCATCTTGGTGCGTTTATATTTCAGCGGGTCATCACCTTAATTCACATTTTTTTAATTGTCTTAAAAATTAGTACTTACGAAAATATTCTGAAATTCAGTGTGAAGAGAAGAAAATTTTTGGCACGACCATATCATTGAAATAAGTGGTCGCTTTTAAATTAGTATACTTAAGCAAACTGAGTCCTTACAAGAGTGCCATCACTGTTGAAACTGTTTTTTGAAATTTTAAGCTCTTATCTACTAAGACCCAATTCGATCCGATCAATGGAACATCACTTTTGTATTAAAAATGACACTGAGTAGTTTTATTCTTTTTTTTATGGGAGAAAGGAGGCAAATGAGCAAGCGGGTCACCTGATGATAAGCGATCACCGCCCATGGACATCTGCATCGGTTGAGTTGCAATTGCGTTGCCGGCCTTTAAACTTAAACTTTCATATTAAACAGAGAAATTAATAAAAAAAACATTTACAAGGTATGCGCCAGTGGGCAGCAATAGAGACACCAATGAATTCACGGAAACTGAGATGGTGAAGAGGCACTTGCCACCAAATCTCTTCACCAGCTCGCCAGATAGCAGCGTAAGGGTGACGTAACCCCAGAAGAATGAAGACAGAATCGTTGATTGAACACCGTAGCTCCAATCGAAGTGCTGCCGAAGGGAATTATCGTTATTATATACCATGACAGTGATATTTATCTTCCCTAACATTTTAGTGACAGTTAAGTACTGAAATTAATGGGAACAAATAATTGATATCGGTATTTATCTTAATTTGGGAATCACTTATAGTGAACACAACACATAATAAAAAACCCGTCAAGTGTGAGTCGAACTTGTACGCCGAGCGTTCCGTACGTACCCATTATCCCGCCATAAAATAATGGAAAACGGGTGGACTTAGCAAGTTGAAATTTATACCAAACTAGCGACCTGTCTAGGCTTCGAATGTAGTGTATTATATAAATATAAACCTTCCTCTTGAATCACTCTATCTAGCAAAAAAATCGCATCAAGATCCGTTGCGTAGTTTTAAAGATCTAATCATACATAGGAACAGACAGACAGCGGGACGACTTTGTTTTATACTATGTTTTGATTTATACCTTAAGGTACGGAACCCTAAAAATGGATAATTTTATATAAATATGTAATTTTTTATTTATATTTTATAGCGCTAATCTCTGGGCCTAAAATAAATCATTATTTGTACAAAAAGTATGCAGCTGTCTCAGCCTCGATGTCTTTCATGAACTTATATTTCATACGTAGTGTAATCAAATTTGCTTAAAGATGTCACTAAGACAAGTTCGTTCCAATGTTCCAGCGCTCGTAATGAAAAACCCTGTACTTTCAAAATAACAAACCGTCCACTCAAACGTCCTTAAGATTCAAAAGTATTTTAACGACTTATTTTTTTTATTAACTGTAGAAATCTTACATTCTAAAAACGAAATAACCAAGATCCACTTACACCTTCCTTGGTAACATCTGTCATATCGACGATTGCCATACTCAAATTGACCCGCATGCTGTATACGAGAATAAGTGCGAGATATATCAGAAATGATTGCAAATGACGAACTCCCAAGCCTTCTGAGACAATGGATATATGTTATTGGTACTATTTATACTATTTATAAAATATGTTTATTACTATTTATTTTTACACAATATTATTGTGACAAATTATCAAAAAGGTCTACACACTCAACTCAAGTTAATGCAAGAAAAGAAGCGAAAATTAGACAGGTCAAACTCTTCGTAGAGCTTTTTTCATTATACATGTTTAAGAAAAAAAAAAATCTTTAATTTCCATTTAAATATAATCAGAAGATAGAATTAACCGTAACTTACTTGGAAAAACATTTTCTGTATTAGCAACAACACCCATGTTTTCTCTTTCTATTAGTTCTGATTATCGAAATATGTATTCAATATCCTGACATGTACTGATGTATAATACATCTGTTGGATGTTAAAGCATAACTACATATGAGAAACAAATTTTATGAGATAATACTGTACTGAATTCGTATTGCTATTTGCCTATCGACTCACTATCTGATCTTTACGAAAGTAGTTGTCATTCGTTTATCTCATCAAGATGCAATCGGCTTTACGAATCCTAGTAAGATTAATGCAGTTTGTTTATTGAGATATGTTACGTGTTTATTGATATCAGATGAAACTTTTACACGTTTTTCTACGCTCTTACACGAATGAGCAGGCTCTTACCATACGGAACTATCACTGGATTACTGTAAACCAGCGTGAACTGGAGGTGTTATACCCTTGTATTTCTGCCGTTTTTAAAGGTTGAAAGGTACCTACCATTTTACGGTGGTAGGACCACGCAACAGTGTTCGCTGTTGCACGAATGGGCAGGTCCGTCCGGGTTAGTACCACGACCTCACAGAAGACCGACGTAAGTAGAAGTGTTGCACTTCTGTGTTTCGTCTGGTGAGTGAGGTAGCCGGGGCCCACATTATTAAGAGGTGGCAACGCATCTGCACACATAAAAAAACATAAAAAAAAACCTGCACTTCTTCAATTGTTGCACATGTCCATAAGTTACGGTAATCACTTACAAGCATATAAAATATTTGCAATTTTTGTGACACGATAAAAATGGCTGCAATAGGTGACGTAAACGAATTTCTGCCAGCAACAGAAATTTATATTTAGGTGAAACTGCATTAATATATTTTTGCAAAAGTACAAAACCAATAAAATGTATAATAAGTACCTTGGTGGTGACCTCGTGCTCTAAACTTAGTTTTTCTAATAATAATTTCATTCGAAAAAAAAAAGTAGAAGAAATAAATCATTTATTAAAATTACAAAAAAATATCATTAGAATAAATAAATAATTCGGTTTTAATGGTTAAAGATATAATAATAATATTGATACATAATTGAGAAATAATTGCTATAAACCTTATGCAAATGTACGTGGGTCACACTGAAAGTTCTTAGAATATCCCAAACGACTCAATGTAGAAAGTTGGCAATACTTTTTTGTTGTTCAAAGCAGTCTCTCTGTACGTCTTCGCCCACTGCTTATCCACGGAGAAGAACAGTGGGTCCATTCACCCTTAGCATTTCTTCGACAGCATATTCAAAGACACTGACCACATCTTCAGGGCTCGTAAAGCGAGTACCTATTTACTATATTTTTTTTTTATGGAGAAAAGGGGCAAACGAGCAGGAGGCTCACCTGATGGTAAGTGATTACCGCCGCCCATGAACACCTACAACACCCGAGGGCTCACAAATGCGTTGCCGGCCTTTTAAGAAAGAGTACGCTCTCTTTTTGAAGGTTCCCAGGTCGTAACGGTTCGGAAAGACCGCCGGCGGCAGTTGGTTCCACAGAGCGGTTATGCGAGGCAGGAAATGCCTTAAAAATCGCGCTGTTGTGGAACGTTGGACATCGAGGTGGTGTGGATGAAATTTTTGGTTCTGGCGCGATGTCCGATGGTGGAATTCAGCCGCCAGGATCAATCCAAACAATTCCTCAGAACACTCCCCGTGATAAATTCAGTAGAAGATGCAGAGTGATCCAACATCTCTACGCAGAGCCAGAGGATCAAGCCGATCGGAAAGACTTTGATCGTCGATAATCCTCGCCGCCCTACGTTGAATGCGGTCAAATGGAAGAAGCTGGTAATAGGGGGCTCCCGCCCAGAGGTGGGAACAGTACTCCATGTGGGGCCGAATTTGCGCCTTATAGAGGTTTAGGCGTTGGGCAGCCGTGAAGTACCGTCTCGCCTTGCTGAGCACACCAAGCTTCTTTGAGGCCAATTTGGCCTTACTATATCTTTACTATGTTTGAATTTTGTGAGTAATTGAAAGTTGCAGGGCACCAGGTCAGGCCTATATGGCGGACGACACATCTCGACACCTGGCGTAGTCAAATATTTAATTCGACGTAGTTATGCGAAGACGTTCCATTTCACAAAGACAATAGTTTGAGAAAAACACAATTTTAAAATTTGATGCTGGAAAGGATATAACTATGGATGCGCCAAGCATTGCTTCAAATGCTAAAAAACAATGTAGAAAAAAGACGTTAAGGTCGGTGTGGAAATCAGCCGTTTAGCTTGGTAGCTAAAGCTTCAGGCCGCGAATGCCGAAGACGTGGGTTCGATTCCCACAACGGCGACAATCTTTTCGTATTTTTTCTACAAATTTTAATTTTTAATTTTATGTGCAGCGATTAGCACTATAAAAGAAATTAAATTGATATAACGCAATTTATTGTTTTAGTGGTAAACTTTTTTGCCCTTACTAGGATTGACAAGAAACAAAGGAATAATCGTAGTGCAAGATGGTAATCATGGCTAACCTAAGATAATCATGTACTATTTTTACTATATTTACGTTAAAACGGCATGTAATAAGGAAAAAATGATATTGGAACATTTTTGTCAAAGTACTTTTTGTATGAATCCTCACTCCTTATCATTTTGCAAAAATGTTCCACAAAGTATATTTTATTCAATAAACATAAAACAAAAACATATAAATATAAAAATATATTTTTATACATAAGTATTAAATAAATATAGAATTAAAAAGATAAATATTAGTTAATAATAATTTGTTTATTCAGAAATAAAGATACACGTAGGGATAGAAATTTAGATCCTAGATGTTTTGGCACTAGTTTAAACTACGTATACATACCGGAATCTATTTCTTCCGGGTTATTCCACTCCTGTGTTTTCGATGTTGTAAAAATAATGAAAAATAAGTTAGTGCAGAAATATATGCCAGACGCCAAGAAAAACACTTTCCGCCACTCTGACTGGTCAGTCTGTAAAATAAAACCATGATTAACAGAATTGCCAGTTTTTAAAACCTTAAACCTTAAAATGTCTATGAAAATTTAAAATATATGAGAAACAACGCTATTAGTACATTAAGACATTAAATACGTACCTCGTCCTTAATAATTATACCGCAAACCAGAGGTGCGATTATAGATACAATGCCTGCGAAAAAATTTGAGTGCTCGAATCGTCGGCTACCAGGTCCTTTCTAATATTCTCGATCCTTTGGTCTTGCGAAGATGTCTCATTTTTTTATCGTATCTACCACGGGGAGTATTATGAGTTGTCCAGATTAATACCTGTAGCTGAATTTCACCACCGTACGAATTGACAAACTACCAAATAACATTGCTCCTACCTTGACCCGCCACAGTGCGTTTTCCCCGTAATTTTCTCACTCAAGTGTGGAATTATTTGTCGCCAGTAGTATTTCTAGATTGATACGGCTTAGGGACCATCATAAAGATCGTGCGGCAAAAACACTCACCACTATAGATTAGTGTACCTAGGCGGCCTTTCTCTTCTAAAGGTACCCACCGGCTTATAAGGTGGTTTGTTGATGGGAAAATGAACGCCTGTGTCAAACCTTGGAGTACACGAGAGGCGCATACGAGTTTCCAGCCTCCCTGTAAAACACATTACGCAATTGAAGATCTCTTAAAACCCCTTTGACAAAATAGCCCACTTTGTGTGGCAGATATGGCAAAAAATTGATACGCCTATGTTCAGCAGGAGCCTAAACAGGCTGAAATATTTCAACCAGGTACGTTTTGTGTTGTTCTATCATCAACTTTAATTCACTTTGTTTTAATTGTCTCGTATAATAGAGCAATAAAATAATAACGGAAATGTTCTCAAATGTGAAGAAAAGAATAAAATTGATCGATCATAAGATTGATCATAAGATCTTTAAAGTTAGTCTACTCAAGCAAACCGAGTTTATACGCAAACCCGTTTAAACACCAGCGACGTGACCTTTGAAGCTGTTGATTGACATTAATTATTTAAGTTGTAATTTACTAATAACCGCTACATCCATCAATGAAATCTCGTTTTTAGGATTCCGTACTCAAAGGGTAAGTCGGAACCCTATTACGAACACTCCGCTGTCTGTCTGACGGTCTGCCTGTCTGCCTGTCTTTCTGTCTGTTTTCTGTCTGATGGTTAGACAGTTGAAATTTTCACAGGTGATGTATTTCTGTTGTCGCATGTCTATAACAACAAATAATAAAAAGCAGAATAAAAAATATTCAAGTGGGGCTGACATGATTTTTTTTTGCCGTTTTCATAAATAATGGTTCGGAACACTTCGTGCACGAGTCCGACTCGCACTTGGCCAGTTTTTTATGTCAAATGACATTGGGTAGTTTTATTCAGCTTTATATATTTTTATTTTATCTTTTTTCATATTAATAACTAAAATTTCTTACCAGATATGCACCGGTGGGCAGCAATACAGATATCAATGAATTAATGGAAATCGAGATGGTTAGGAGGCACTTGCCACCAAATCTCTTCGCTAGCTCGCCCGACGGCAGCATAAGTGTGACGTAACCCCAGAAGAATGAAGACAGAATCGTTGATTGAACACTGTAGCTCCAATCGAAGTGCTGCCGAAGGGAAGTATCGTTACTATATTTTTTTTTTTTTTATGTGAAAGTTGCCAAAGGAGCAGACGGTTCACCTGATATTAATGTGAATACCGCCGCCCATAGACATCTGCTACACCCGAGGGTTTGCAGATGCGTTGACAACCTTTTTGGAAATTGGGCTCCGGCTACCTCACTCACCAGACGAAACGCGAAAGTATTTTTCATACTTCCACTTTACGCCGGTCTTCTGTGAGGTCGTGGTACTTACCCGGACGAGCCTGCCCATTCGTGCAACAGGCGAGGCTGCTGCGTGGCTCTACCACTGTTAAATATCATGTTTTACCGTTATATGTATATCATGTTTTAAATATATATATATATTTTATGTGAAAAGTTGCCAAGGGAGCAGACGGTTTACCTGATGTTAAGTGAATACCGCCGCCCATGGACATCTGTTATACCCAAGGGTTGCAGATGCGTTGACAACTTTTAGAAAATTGGGCTCCGGCCACCTCACTCACCAGACGAAACGCGAAAGTATTATACTTCCACTTTACGCCGGTCTTCTGTGAGGTCTTGGTACTTACCCGGACGAGCTTGCCCATTCGTGCAATACGATGCTGTTGCTTGGCCCTATCATCGTAAAATTTATTATTATTACAAATAGATGGATAATTTGGCAAAAGTATGCAGTTCTATGACAGTTATTAGTATATTTAAGCAAACTAAATCTCAAAAGCTTTGAAAAGATTATGCACCTATACCAAAAGATCCAGTCCAAGATTTTTTTAAATAACAACATAGTTGTTTAAAAATACTGATTTTTTTTTTATGTAAAAAGGTGGAAAGTAAGCATGTTTCAAACGTTCTTGAGATTATAGTATTTGGATTGATGTTTATTTTTATAACAGTAGGAATCGTTTATTGTAATAATGAATATAACAAAGATCCACTTACGTCTTCTTTGGTAACATCCGTCATATCGACGATTGCCATACTCATATTGACCCGCATGCTGAATGCGATAATAAATGCGAGATATAGCATGAATGCTTGCAAGTGACGAACCCCCAAGCCCTCTGTGACAACCAATCGTTGTTATTGGTATTTTTTCTTATACATTATTGTGACAAATTATCAACAAGCTCTCAAAACTTAATCTCAAAAAATTTTCTAGGACTGGGCGAGAACACAGTGTCCGCTCAGCTATTCTGTACTTTTTACCCCCAACCATAATTTTTAAATAAAGTAACAGCCTATACATATCCAAGAGCTGGGTAAAGGCGCCCTCTATACATAGGGTAATGACTATGCTAGTCACCACGCGGCCCCACTGCGGATTGGCGGACTTCATTTATTATCTTAGAAACATTTTTTTGTTATTATTTCGAAAATACGCAGGTTTCGTCGCGAAGTGATAAGTCAGCACTTAAAATTAGCAATTTCATTGGTGCCGGCACTGGGGATCGATCGGTCGGAAGGTTTCTGGAGTGTATTAAATTAAAGGCGAGCGCCAGAAGAATGAGTTATAAAGGCTTAGCTTTTTAACTGACTTCAGAAAAGGATGAGTTTCTCAATTCGACTGGGTTTTTTTAAGTATAATGTTCCACAATTCTGCTCATCTTAGGAGTTTTGCTGACTGCTTTAGTCGAACGATTAATAAGATTTTTCAGTTTTTACAGATGGATAATGTTTTTAGTGTATACTCCATAATTTTCCTGTATACATACAAATGAAAAAACTGACACTTACGAACGTAACATAATTACTGACATTATTTTCACTTTTTCCACAAACACTATGTAATGAATAATTTATAACGAGAAAAAGTTGATTCCTTTGACTAATAATGGTGCAAATACTTCGAAATGTCGGGAATTTAAGTTTAAAATCATTCAGACATTTAAAGCGTAAATGAACAATGCGGCACAAGCGATAACCACGATGACTTTACTGGCTTTTTACTTTACTGACGATGACTTTTCGATTAAATACTATAAAAATAATTATAATTTTAAATACTATAAAAACATTATTATAATAATCTGTTTATTCATAAATGAAAAACTTGGAACAATTTTTCCATAAAAAAGAAAAAGTAAAGTAACAGCCTATACATGTCCCACTGCTGGGCAAAGGCCTCCTCTATAGAGAGGGTATCAGGGCATAGTCCACCACGCGGCCCCACTGCGGGTTGGCGGACTTCACATATCTTCGAAATATATTTTTTTTGTTATTATTTCGAAAATATGCAGGTTTCCTCACGATGTTTTCCTTCACCGCGGAGCACGTGATAAGTCAGCACTTAAAGTTAAAAACTTGGGGATCGAACTCAGGTTGCTCGAGTATACTGAATTAAAGGCGAGCGCCCGGACACTGAGCTATCACGGCTCTACGTTATTTCCATAACGTAGAGCCGTGTATAATCCTCGTATTTTTCCATAAATGAAACTTATTTTACGGATTTATTGCGTTTATTTTTAGTTTTAATTCCCGACGTTTCGAACTCTTTACAGCGTTCAGACTGAGGTGTTAGATGTCTGATTGTCATAGTTAACCCGTAGTCGTAATTTTTCTATAGCTAATAACTTTAATGATAAATTGACATCTTAGACAGCATAGAACTACTTACTCACCAGACAAAATTCATACAACAGAAAAAGAAAACTGTAACTCAAACTTTTTGTAGAACTTTTCATTACCCTTGCTTAAGAAAAAAAAAATTAACTTTCCCATCTATATTTTAACAGAAGACAATCGACTCACTTGGACAAACATTTTCAGTATTGGCAACAACACCCATTGCCCTTTTCTAGTCGTTTGTTTTGAACATAGAATTATACGTTTCTATGTTATCGTGACATGCACTAATGTATTGATCTTTTGGATGTTTAGGCTAAACTACAGACGAGAAGCAAAATTCTTGAAATAATACTCTGCTGAAATTGCATTGCCTTTTTTCATTGCCATTTCGCTATCGTCTCGATATCTGATATTTACGAGAGTACTTGTCGTCTGTTTATCTCATCACGATGCAATCGGCTTTACGGATGCTTAGAAGATGCAATTTATTTTGGGTACGAGGTTTGGTTGTACGAATTAGCAGGCTTGGACCCTATGGAACTGTCATGGCCGCACAGAAGACCAGCGTGAAGTGGAAGTATTATACTTCTGCGTTTCTGTAGTTTTTAAACGGTGAAAATGCACCAGCACCCTTGTACTTGTCTATGGGTACTGTTAATAATTTATCAGTATAAAAATTATAAGTAATTTTGTGAAACGATAAAAATGGCCGCAATTTAGTAGGGTAGCATTAAAAGGTGACGTAATCTTTACTGCTACACACTTTATCAACTATGATTATGTTCTCTATACCCTCAGCGATTAGCTTATATTTAAGAGATACTACATTAATAGCTTTTTGCAAAAGTCATATATGATTACTAATTTTGTGCTACAAATAATAATATTTACAATATTGAACTTAATCGATGACTCCGTGGCACATTTGTCAAAGTATTGGCTTCGGCGTCGGGGTTCGTAGGTTCGATTTTCACACGGGACAACTATTTGTGTGACCAGATAGTTTGTTTCGCATCTGGGTGATTGTCTGCGTGAAATATTTTGTGTAACGTCTTTGTTTTTTTTTTTAAATGTTATCTAATAAACCTAGTCCACGCGGCATGGGTCGCTAGAACGCTAGGTGCATTGCCTCGCTGAATTGTTATGATTAACCTCTTATCGACCAGAGACACCCCTTGATTCAAGAACCAACCCGCTTGTCACCAGCCGCGGCGAAGTCTGGGACGTAAACTTTTCAATGCCCAAGAGATAATGTTCCTAATCTTATATTTTTCCAAAAAATTTTGTCTAGTTGTTTTGACTGTTGTCTTCTTATCAGGTAGTAATGTCAAAAGTAATGTAAATAGCCCAGGACTTATAGGTTGTATAGGGATAGTTATAGCTTTGTTAAAGGTCCATCCGTCAGAGGTAAGTTTACTCCCTTGAGTCTCTGCTGGATGTCAAATATGCTGTGGCGCTGGATTTCGTGCTAGCTTTGCGGCTGGCTTCACATGGTGCGAATTTCAAAGCTAGATTCTGGTAGGTTTGTTGCGTACGAAGTGGCAGTTAAGACATCACTTTCACTCATATCATCTGACACTGTATGCACATTGATTACGAGTTTCTGATAGGCCCTAATTCGAATCAAGAAGCATATTTGTCGCGGCGAATAGCACATGTTCGGTACTGACCGAACATGTGCTATTCGCCGCGACAAATTAATTATAAAAGTAATTAGAATTACTATTCTAGCATGCTTCAGCAACGAAACATGAAGTGTTAATTTTCTGTCTAGCAATAGTTGATTATACAACAAGTGAAATGACTTCGTATGCTGTGGCCATAAAATATCGTGCTTCTTGAGAACTCCGTCTACAGACAATAAATAAAAGCACAATTACTTCTTACGCGCGGTCTTCTGCAAGTCGTAAGAAGGTGAATCGCCGGTCAAGGTACCGGTTTAATCAAATAGGCATATGAATGAGCTGCTATGTTTTATTAGTGAGAGACACTGATCACAGTAGAACTTCTACTTACTGCTTTAAATAGTGAAAAGATTATAGTCTTAAATTAAACTGACACATAAAATGATTAAATGAACACGTTCTTGTTTTTACGCATTTAATTTTCCTTTTTAGCAATACAATACAAGGTAGCAAAAAGCTAGTAACAGTAAACAATCACTCCATACTGAGGGTTAGCAAAAAACATATTTTAGTTATGTATTAGTTGATGTTCTTCATTGAGCGCCAAATTTCTCCTTGTTTGTTTCTGAAAAAAAAAAGAATAAAAATAATTCACTTGATATCTGTTTTTTACTCATCGCTATATATTTGTAAGAGAATATATGTTACAGGTGAAAGAATAAATAGTACAATATATATAGATATGACACTAGCACACCGAAACTGAGACACACAAATAACGCCAATTGGTGTTATTAGATTGGAGCTCTATATACTGCTCTATCTTTCCGCATCATACGTTCTATATCATCTGTCACATTCCCTTATATATGACATATAATGTAAAGCGGAATAATTTTTAAATGCCGCGCATTATGGACATGCGTCACCTATATAAGAACATCATGAACAATATGTCATTAGATTAATAACGATTGTCGTCTAGAATAAGAGGAAGTACACATATCATTTCTAATGAAGCATTTGTTAAATGGTTGATTTTTTTTTGAAGACTTGACGAAGAGACCTTCTTTCTTTAAAAAAATGCTGCGTTTGGCATCTACATTTCTCGTATTCTATAAAATTTTACCACTAAATGTACACAACCGCTGTGGGTGTGATATATATTTTGTTAATTCAAAGCTATCAAAAATTAATATGTAAAAAAAATAAGAGTACTAATTTGGGGTACTTTTATTAAGGGTACTCTTTTAATCCATTCTATTTATGTGACTAAGCGGAAAACTAACATATATATATAGACCCATCTGTCAGTATTATGTCCATATATGCACGGGTTCTTCTGTGTAAATTTCTTTGCACTCTTCCGAAATACATTTGAGTGTTTACATACCGGGATCAATTTCTTCCGGGTCGTTCCACGGCTGTTTGTTAGATGTCGTAAAAAGAATGAAGAATAAATTGGTGCAGAAATATACGCCAGACGCCAAGAAAAACACCTTCCGCCACTCTGAAGGGTCAGACTGTAAAAGGAACGCATTATGAACAGAGTTGGAACCGTTATACTTCATTGGCGAGTTTGGGAAAAATGATGCGAGTGAAGTTTTACGATGCACTACACCTAAAAGCGACGCCAAAACTTCATGTAGTCTGTGTCGTTTTTAACCGACTTCAAAAAAGGAGGAGGTTTCTCAATTCGACCGTACATATTTTTTTATGTGTGTTCGGGGATAACTTCGTCATTTATGAACCGATTTTGATGATTCTTTTTTTGTTGGTAAGGAGACATGCCAAGGGTGTTACCATGAGAAGGAAACTCCGATCTGATGATGGCATCCCAGAGAAATTGACGGCAATCCTCAAATGTTATAGGCGTTGATAATGTTTTTTTAGATTTCCTGTTTGAAGTCGGTTTTTTTTTGTTCAAAATTATCAGCTTTTAGGTTATTGGTTACCATGGCAACCTATAACAACTTCTTGATATTTACTTTAAATTCAAAGTCATTTAATTCAACCTTTCAACCTTTAATTCAACAAAGACTACTGGCACATGGGATGAAATTTTTAGTTATTTTTCTTTCATCACGCTAATGAAGTATATAACTTTTTGCGTGCGTAAATAACTAGACATACATGTTTTTTATGGAAATTACAGTAATGCAAAAGCATTTTGTAATTTTAATGGCACATTTTCCCATTTAAAAAGTATACAAGCAGTTAGTTTCTGTATATAACCATTTATCTTGCTTAGCCGACTGCCAAAAGTCTATTTATTGGCAAGTCTATTTATGGTCTTGTGTTGTTACTTTTAAAGCTTTTAATGTACACAAAGCCGATAAATGGCATTGTAAGTAATTGCATTTTAAGAGATCTCGTTGACGTTATTAGAAATACCTACCTACTATTGATTGTCATTAAAAATATATGTATGTATATAATACGCTGTTGCTACAATCTTTATTAGGCTTCCGTACCCAAAGTCCCCAAGTCCCTATTACTAAGACTCCGCTGTCGGTCGTCCGTGTGTCTCATGAACATATGACAACAAATACTAAAAAATACAATAAAAAATATTTAAGTGGGGGCTCCCATACAACAGACATGGTCTTTGTCTGTTGTTAATGGTCCGGACCCCTTTCTTGCGTGAATCCGATTCGCACTTGGCCGTTTTATTTTGGTTAGAAGTAAATTACGTACCTCGTCCTGAATAATTAGACCGCAGACCAGCGGCGCAATAATCGATATGATGTTAGCGAAGAAATTCGAGATGGCCATCAGCGATGAGCTGAAGTTTGGCGCTAAGTCGACCAGGACCAGCTGTAATTTAAACAACACTATCATTCAGTACCGAATATAAATCATCCATTAGAATGAGCTATATTGGCTATTGAACACAGAATACTGAACGCAGTGTTTTTCCGGTGCCTGGGTTTTTTTTTAATGTGAAAAGTTGCCAAGCGAGCAGACGGTTCACCTGATGTTAAGGGTATACCGCCACCCATGGACATCTGGTACACCCGAGGGTTGCGTTGACAACCTTTTGAAAATTGGGCTCCGGCCACCGCACTCGTAGCCCAACCACCGTGAATTATATATGTATAATAATTATGTATTTCTTTACTAAAGAAAAGTATGTACAAGTATGTTTATCAGTTTTCTAGTACAAGTACCCTAGAACAAGGTGAGTGCGGTGGACGATTTTGTTTTAAACCGAAAGCTCATATGCATGAGTAAAAACCAAGGTAAATAAAGGTGTGGCAAGTGAGCTGGCGGTTCACATGATGTTAAGTGATAACCACCAAGGGACATTTGCAACACCTGTAGGGTTGTTAGCTAGAACATCAGTATTACACATACATCATTGATCTGATAAAATTCGTTGTCAAATAATTTTTTGCCATATTAATTATGTTACAATATTTTGTCAATACATAATAAGTATGTAGACAGCATGGACCGTGTGCCGGTGGAATCATTTAAACATTATGGTGCCGAAAACAATAAGACCAATCACAGAGCGCGTGGAATCGCGATTGGTTTTCAAATTTTATCACTTTAAAATTGTTTATAATAAAGAAAAATAAAAAAAAAAACATTTTAACGTTTAACGCATAGACCATGAAGATTGTATATAATAAGTTTTAAAATGTGTAAAAAAAATATTTCTTTTACAAATACCCGATTACGGTACATTCCATTGTCGGTGCAGTGCCTTTAACACACTGTTTGGAGCCTTATCAAACAGCAATATGTAATATGCATACAACGTCAACATACTTAAATAGTTAAAAAAATGTACATATATATGTACATTTTTTAACTATGCTACTATATTACTATATAAGAAACTCTACGGTCATACGACCGCAGAGTTTCTTGCCGGTTGTTCTCTTGCAGGTCTAGTTTAGTGAACCGGTGTACGTTTGACGTTCAATAGGAGCTTAAAATAAGCCTATGTTGAATAAAGAAATTTCGACTTGACTTGACGTCTATGTTGTACGTATCACAAACCCAAGCGAAGTATAAACAATTTCTGTTAATATTCCTTCTTGGTTAAGTGTTCTTAAGTTCTGATTGTACTATTAATTCTATTTTCTTTTCAATACGTACCAAATAACCGGTGTATTGACCAGCGTTTATACCAACAGTGACCGTCAGCATAGCCACTGCCGCTACCATATTCCCTTCGGGTGTATATGACAACCCGATCAACGCTACTGCTGGGCCCCACAGACCTACAAAATATATCGTTTACTTCGTCAAATGTTTTGATGACTCCGTAGCGCAATTGCCAAGGTATGGCTACGGCGGGGGTCGTGGGTTCGATTCCCGAACGAGACAACTATTTGTGCAACCCACAGATAGTTGTTTCGAATCTGGGTGTTTGTCCATGTAGAATTTATATTTGTAAAACGTCCTTACAACACAGGTTCGTATGTTATCCTAAAGTGAGGGCAGTGTTTTTTAAATAAATCATTAAATGTTTGAAACCAGAGTCACATGTTTAGGGGGGTTGTATGGCAGTCAGTCAACCATTTCTTGTCATATGTATTAAATTTTTTATCTCTTTCTTTAATGACATAACATTTGTTTGGTATCGTATATATATATATATATATATCTGTTTGGTCAGCAAGCATGTGGGAGGCTTTCCTATGTTATGTTTTCTGGTTAAAATATTTCTTACCCATCGGTTATCAGTTCTTCGAACGATATGGTCTGCCTATTGCTACGTAAAATTGTAAATGAGGAGCATGTTGGTCACTCTAGTAGTTGCTTTCAAATGAAATACTCGTATTTCCAAGTTCGTCGAAGAACCAGCGTGACCCATACAGCTCTTCGTATTTGCAAGTTATACCGGCAATGGGCAGGCCACGTCACTCGAAGAACTGATTATAATGATGTTAAGGACATCAACATTTCCAGGTTTGATGAAATAATGCTACCATCTTTATAACTCTCCAGTTTGAAGGTTACGGTAGCAAATTTTTCTTATGTGATACCTTATTTATAAATGCATAAAATAAGTTACTATTTAATAACCCTAGACCTATGTATACGTACATAACATTTTGTACTAAAACCAGCCAAAGTTGTACTACGAGGACAAGTTAACTGACAAACAAGCTTCTATTTTGAAAATTGGTGTATTTTTATAGAAATGTCATACACTTATAAAACTGTAGCATCATATCATAAACGTCAATTTATGCATGTATTCAGTATCAAACAAGCTCTCGGGGGGACAAAACCGGCTTAAGAATTTCTTCCTTATCGCCTGTTATCAAAATTCGGTGGGCTCAGTTGCTATCATTGTATTTTATCTATCTAAATAAATTCTTACATATTTTATGCGCTCAATAACATACTTTTAGTGCTCTTTTAAACGAGTGCCATTTTTAATGTGTTCCAAATATTTGTTAACACCATCCCAAGTTGACAATTTCTAAAATATTATTCAACCACGGTCAAAGGTTTCGGGTACATTTTTTACTACATTATGTAATAAAATGACAACAAATATTATTATTTACCCAACACAAAAGATTACATTTGTACCCATAAAATATTTGGTTTTAAATAATATCCACCACATCCAGGAAGATAAACTTTCTGTACACAATTTTATTCTTACCAATAGAGTTTGACAATTTTCTTGTATTAGTTACGCTGAGCCATTTCCGCCTCACTAGGAAGTCTGTCATTGCTCCCATTGGAAAACTTAACAAGTACATCGCCAGATACGGGAGGGATGAAAGCACGCCGTTCTGTTAGGACATAAATTTATCAAGTTGTTAATCAGTGTGTAACAAATAAACGTAAGTCCATTTTGTGAAATATCTTTGTCCAAATTAGGCAATTGCGCAAGGTTGAACTGACTAAAGTTAAGGTACAACAACCACCCCGAGTAGGAGACGAAAAGACAGTTTATACTGTTAAGGTAAAAAATCATTCGTTTTCCTTATGTTTAGTTTTCTTTAAACTACCATATTCGTGATAGAGCCGAGACTTTTTACATTAAAATAATTATAACATATTTTTTTTAGAAAGATGTTTACTTCTTTTAAATTCACATCCAGAACTTTTGCCATGTAGGTTGGCATCTCCGTCATCAGAGTGAAGAATCCCCAGTTTTGTCCACAATGGCCCACCACCGCCGCCCAAAATGGGAGGCACGTTATGATCTTCATCAATGGTGTCTTATATTTCTGCGAGAAGAAATGAAAGTGGAATCAAAAAACGTTGGTATAATGTCAAAAAAAATTAATCGCCGTAGCGCTACCAGATATAAACTATGTCTTTCGAGTTAACCCAGACGCTCTTGTCACTAAGGTCAAGTCTATCGCATAACAAATGCTTAGTTATTGACGGATGCTTAAATGCTTACTGATCATCATACCTTTTGCTCCCCAACTCGTCCTAAAGATTCCTGAATGTATCTCAACTCTTCTTGTGATATCCTTTTGGATTGTTCAGGTGACGCCGAACCGAATATTAAGTAAGCTATCGTCCACAAAGAGCCAAGTATGCCATTCGCGTAGAATATCGCCTTCCAACCCCACGCTGATGCCAAGAATCCTGAGGTTATAAGTTGTAGTGCGACACCAAGTTGGCTACCTGCAAGACAATGCCCTAAGTATTATTACAAATTTTAGAGGAGGATAAAAATGTAATTTGTTATATACCTATTTTTAATTGATTCATATTTAGGTACAGTTCCTCATACCGTCCTGTACCCTCTGTACCTGTTCGTTCATAATTTCGAATTCTTCTTTCGTGCAATTCGCTAGCATCCATGTTTCTGTTCGATTATAAAGTGATGTGATTTATATTTCACCGAAGGTATTGGTTGGTCAATGTGAAAAAGATCTATTGTTTTTTTTTTTTTTGTGAGACGAAACTGCTTTTATAATTTAGTAAAAAAAAACCCACCAGCATAGATCAGTGTACTTAGGCGACCCTTTTCTTCTAAAGGTACCCACTGGCTAACAAGATGGTGTGTGGACGGGAAAACGAACGACTGCGTCATCCCTTGGAGCACACGGCAGGCGCACACGAATTGCCATCCTCCCTGTAATAATGATATTCAAGATCAATTAGAACCTATTTGTACTTAATGGTGTCCTTGTTTGAACTGTGTTCATATTATGTCAATAGGTCATTTGATCCGACAAACCTAATTAACCTGATTGTAACCTGTCTCGTATACTACAGAAATAAAGATAACTGATTAAGGATATGTTTTTAAATATGAGTTCATGAGAGATGTTTGTCGTCCGTATCGTTTACTAACTTCAAAAAGAGGAGATTATTTAATTCGGTTGTGTGTTTCTTTATGTTTGTTTTCTCACAACCCCGTCTATTAGAAACCGATCTTAAAAAATATTTTTTTCCATTGAGTTGATTTAGCTCCCAGGTGGTGTCGTATTAATTTAATTATTATTGGGAGTTGGACTCCGGAGACACTTTAAGGAACTTCTCATATATTAGAAAATGTATTGTGAGTATGATATTTGAATCTGTTTTGTTTTTTTCGATTGAAATGTTTTTTTAAGTTAGTATACTTAAAAAAATTGAGTCAAAACCAGTAGTAGTAGTCAATTTGTATCTCCATGACTCACAAGGGACACTGAGTAGTCTTGCTGTCATAGTTACATATTTGTTTAATGTTAAACACAAAAAAAATTAAGTGAAAAATAATTATCACTTACAAGATACGCGCCAGTGGGCAACAGTAGAGATAGTAATGAATTCACGGAAACTGAGACGATGAAGAGGCATTTGCCACCGAATTTTTTCACTAGTTCACCGGATGGCAGCATAAGGATGACGTAGCCCCAGAAGAAAGAAGACAGAATCATTGACTGAACACTGTAGCTCCAATCGAAGTGCTGCCGAATGGTAGTTATTATAAATTACTAGCTGACTCGGCTAACGATGTTTTGCCGTATAAATTATTTCTAGAGTAATCGGAACACGTTCAAAAATCGTTTGACAGGTTGACAGGTACAGTTTATATGGGGAAATAAAATTGTCGCCATTTTGATTTTCCATGCAATTTTTCCCTGGACTGCCACGAATATTTCAAAACCAAAATTAGACAACCGGTTCAGCCGTTCTCGAGTTTTAGCGAGACTAACGAACAGCAATCCATATTCTAATATATAAAATTCTGGTGTCACGGTGTTTGTAATTATAGTCCTCCGAAACGGCTCCACCGATTTTCGTGAATCTTAGCGTGAAAATCGGCCAGGGTGGAGAATCGGACAACATCTATTTTTCATCCCCCTAAATGTTAAGGATGGTCCACCCCAAATTTTATTTTTTAATAAAAATTTATTGTTTTTATTTTTTTATGATACAACATACAAAAATACACACAACCCTAAATTTTCACTCCTCTATGCAGACGTAGTCGCGGGCAGCAGCCAGTTTTTATATATAAGATTACAGTAAGTAATGTTTATCTTTCTAATGATTTTTGGCGTCAATTACATACTTCGTTTGAAGAGAATGAAGGAATGAAATTGACAAAATATGATAAATTTATTACTTTTCATTTGGGAATATACTATCAAGACAGTTATTGTTATTATCGTTACATTGTCAACCGACTTCAAAAAGGGAGGAGGTTCTTAATTGCTTAGTTATTGGCTTCGGCGGCGGGGGTAGTGAGTTCGATTCCCACACGGGACAAGTATTTGTGTGACCCATAAATAATTGTTCCCAATCTGAGTGTTTGTTTCCCAAGGAGGGTTAATGTAAGGCAGGCGGCTGGTTGTAAAAAACATAGCCAAAACCGCTTAAAACATGATTCATATTATTCGCCAATCCCACCTAGGTGGGACAGGGGCAGGATGGTGATGATTCTCTGTTGAAATTTATCTACTAGTCCCGTTTTAATTGCACCCTTTCCGACTAATTTGTACAATTCCACTAGCTGAAGTTTTATCTCGGCAATAAATAATTTGCAGTAATAAATCTATCTACATGACCCGGCCGTACCCATCGTGATATAATAGTTGACACTGATTCATTGAATATAAAACATGAATGATATGTAACATAATATCATCGTTTTCATAGTGTTGCTGCAATTGATGCACCGATAAAATAATTGTGGCATTTTCTGCATCATCGTCACAGTTTAATGACATATTTGATGGTTGAGCAACTATTGAAGTAATTTGATACTCATGCCAGAAAGTGCTTAAGTCTTTTTTATATCCTCAATGTATTTAATAATAAACTGTTTATATACTAATTTTCGTATTCGGAAAATCAGTAATTACGAGGTAGTGCCACGCGTGTAGAATTTTGGAACATCATCTTCATTTTAAAACTTACAGTACAAAGTTTTCAAACTATTTAATAAAGCTCATACATGTTTTTATATATTTATATTATAGGTAGTGTCGCGTTTTATCTGGTTTTCAAATAAATCCCAATTTTGCCAATAAACATGTATAAATGGCCATGGAAAGGACACTTCCAGAAACTCAGAAATTTGCGTACGTATCAGACGCGAATAAATCGTAAAATAGTACTATTTTAAATCCGTATTATTCACGTAAACCTAAAAATTTATTTACCTGTGCCACATACGTTTTGTGCACCTAGACCAACCTCAGGTTTTTTTTTTTTATTTAAACCTAATGGGTATTAATTATAATAAATTTTTAACGAATCTGCAGTTTCTGTATGACTGCATTGTTATTAACCACATTTAACATTGTAATTACGGAACAAAAGAAATGAACTTACGTCTTCCTTGGTAGCATCTGTCATATCGACGATTGCCATACTTATATTGACCCGCATACTGTATACGAGTATGAGTGCGAGAAATAGCAGGAAAGATTGCATATGACGAACTCCCAAGCCCTCTGCGACAAAGAAAAAACTAACTGTAAGTGTACTATTGGGTATTTTTATTATTTTATTTCATCAAACAACATTCTTATGGTGAAATTTTTGTATAACGTGAGAAGGTGGCAAGAATACTGTTGAGAAGTATGGCACTTCAACTTCACGCCTGTAAGGTCGTAGTACTTACCCAGACATCTGCCCATTCGTGCAACAGCCGAAGCTGTTGCATGGCCCTACCACAATTCTGATTATCTCCAAGCTCAGACCCTAATTAGTAATTTATAATCTAGCGTTAGAGGACGATCCAATGTACACTCAAATGTTTGTGAGTTCTCACTATAGTTTTCACCATGTAATATTAAACAATCTTACTTCTTTTAGGACCATTATTGAAAGCCTGTGTCTAGCTATGAGTCTAAGTGATTTTTTCGCTGATTTTGCAGTGTTTTACTCACAACTGTTGTGTTTCGAAAGAAAACACTGCCACAAATAAATAAATTAAAATACGCACCAAATTTTGTGACTGCATTTTCTCTTTCTCCAGAACCATTTAATTTAGTTTCTAATAAAGGTGAGTTTTCGTTCAAATTTGTTTTAGACATTAATAATGGCACGAAACCTTCACAAAATGAAAGAAAATAACTAAGACATGCACCTCTGTCACTTCATTTACATCAAATAATGACTATCATTTATAAATAGTCAATTTTATCGTAAATAAACAACTCTTCACAATCGATTACCACAACAACAACTTGTCAAATGTTACTTTGTTTGTTATTTATATACATTTTCGAATCTTCTAAACTTTTAACCATATACACGACATAGTATATTAAGTTAAACGTTTTTAATGCCACTTAAAATATCTAAACATGGATAATCTTTGTTTGCAAAGTTCCAAGTAAAATTGATTTTGTAAAGTAATTTCTAAATGAAACTACTTAAATAGATTTATCGCGGTTATTCTTAATGTTAATTTAAATGAAAAATAATAGTCATACAGTCATACAGTCATACAGTCAGACATTTAGTCGTCGAAGTCTCTTCCGTGACCAAACATAAATTAAAAATAATGTAGCGTTTATTAAAAATAATCCCTCAAAAATTGTTTCATTTATGAATTTGTAGTCGCGTAAATACAATAAATTTTCAAGGAAGTAATTAAACTTAAGCCTATTATCGCTTACTCACAATACAAAATGCAAAAGAGAACGTACTCCAAGTTTGATGGATAAAACTTTAACACTCTGGTTCTGATTTCGTGAGGCCTTGGCACACCTGGATGCGATGGCCAATTCTTGTATCAGCAGAAGCGGATTAGCTCAGTCTTTTTTCTTTTGTTATTTAAAAACATTGCCCTTACTTTAGGATAATATTATCCTGTGTTATAATGACGGTTTACACACATAAATATCACGCGGACAAACAGCCAGATGCGAAACAACTAACTGTGGGTCACACAAATAGTCGTCCCGTGTGGGGATCGAACTCACGACCACCGACGCTGAAGCCAATACCTTGGCAACCGCGCTACGAGGTCATTAACTTTATCTAGATGTGTGTTAAGAACTTCATTAAGAGTCCCTTATATGATTTTTTAAACCACTTACGATTAATTGCAACTTACTTGGGCGAACGTTTTCTGCATCGGAAAGAACGCCCATTTTCTCTTTATGTTAGTTTATTTTATGTATTGATATTTTCATCCCACTATTATCGTGATATGCACTAGTGTATTCATCTCCTTGATTCTTACATATAACTGCAGACGAAAAGCGAAGGTTGCGAACGAAGTGCCCTACAGACTTTGCGTCATCGTTGACTATCATCTCACTATCTGATCTTTACGAAAGTACTTGTCACACGTTTATCTCATCAACATGTAATCGGGCTTACGAATCCTAAAACAATCGATGAGGTTTGTTTACAAACTAAATTTTATAGTCATTGCTTTGCGAGCGGATAAAAGGGCAGCAATAGCCGGCTAGTGTAGCATTCATTGGTGTTATAAGCGTTCATGTGTAAATAAGTCTCCGGCTTTCAACAGAAAAACATTTTGTTTATGTCTATTAACTCTGAATTGAGATTATTTTCACAATAAAGGCGAATTGAAAACAAAAAAGTAACGTATATAATATGGGGACGCTCGAAAAATATGTAAGGTAGTATAGAGTAAGTATACAGCGTGTCGTTACCATCGCGACAATAAATGAACACACATATAGGGGATAACTTTTTAAAGTTGTATTAAACATTTAAATTCTTTAAACATCAATATTTAGAAAGTTATAAAATTTTCCAAAACAAAGAATTTTAGAACACCCTTACCTATAAAAGCGTAACGTAAAGTTCATTTGTAAAGGTCACAAAGCATATGAATGGGTTGAATGAATTTAAAAGAGACAAAACACACTGTTAGAAGGAGAGGCTTGTAATACGATGCTGTGGCGCGAGTTGTATAGGATGTTACAATTTTTTTTACTTAATTAGTTTATTTTAATATTTTTTTATGATTATTGGCAAGTAGCGTTAGACGTGTGTTCATTTATTGTCGCGATGGTAACGACACGCTGTATATAATAAAGTTTTAATAAATTTGTATTATATTTTTTTACACTAAGTATTCTTTCGTTGTTACATAAAATAAAATGCAGAGTTCTCTCTTTTCCCTTGTCAAAAATCTTAAAACATTAAAATAAATTTATGTAAGAACCGGCAAAGACAAAATTAAAATAAAACCTCCGTATTTATGTATTAACTTTATTGTACTTAGGTATTTATTTTACTGGCTCCGTTATTTCAGGTACAAACATAATAAACTTCCGAACCCAGACTGCAATATTATTTAGCTTGCCTATTTCATTTCTGCAACAAAAGCGAAATATAAGAACAAGGCAGGATTATTTTTTCCTTTTACTTGTCACATGAAAAAACTCAATAACCTACCGATATCATTTTCTTTCTTATGATCATTCCACGCCTGCCTCGTTGAAGTCATAAATATTAAAAAGAAAAGATTGGTGAAGAAATACACGCCAGAGGCGAGAAAGAATACTTTTCTCCACTCCGCTGGATCTGTCTGAAAGGAAACATCGTGTTATTTTTTTATTTGAAAACAAAAAAGTATCCAAAGAGATATTCCAAATCTAAATTTTACCGCTAAATGTGACTGTTGTCATTTAGTGTACTACTAAGTATTGACAGGACTTTAGTATGTCAACGGGATAGTTTTTCAAACCCCGCCAGTGATGTTCTATTAAACTACTTTTAATGGTTTTTATAAGTTGATCTCGAGTTCGGGGATACAGCCGTAACCAAAAGAATAATAGTTGGTAACTACTGTAGATAACTTGTAAGTAAAAAAAAACATTTTTTTATTAAATCATGGCATTATTAAAAAAAATAGATCTGTCCCAATCTACCTTAAAAATTGGTTAACCAATAATAATTGAGCCCCTAAACAGCTAATGGTATTGCAACTTTGGTCTTTAAAAATAGTATTAACAAACTTAAAAAAAACGCACTATTAAAACTTATATTTTTAACCGTAATCTTACCGTACGTTAAACAGAAACGATGTCAAGTTAGCCTAAAAATAATTGACTCAGATTACGTAGACTGATAGACTTATGCACATTTATAGCAGCTATGAGCCCATTTAAATAACTGGACGTTGCATACCTCTTCTTGAACGATAAAACCACACACTAGAGGAGCGATTATCGATATGATATTTGCATAGAAGTTAGAGATCCCCATCATTGAGCCACTGAAGTTTGGAGCCAAGTCAATAATGACTAACTGTAACGAGAAATTAAGATTTCATGATTTAAATTACCATCGAAAAGAGATTGTCCCCATTTTTATAATATCCAAGAACAAATTTTAAGCGGCAACCTATATAATAATATTACGAGAAACTAAAAGGTTTTTGTTACTTGAACTACATGAACACAAATGACCATGTGCTCTAAAAGTACAAGGTAATCAATCGCGTCGGGTTTTTTTTAAAACATTGCCCTCACTTTAGGATAACATTATCCTGTTTTAAGGACGTTTTACAAACATTTTTTTGTTTACAAAAGTTTTACATTTCACGTGGACCAACACCCAGATGCTAAACAACTATCTGTGGGTCACTCGAATATTTGTCCCGTTTGAGAACCGAACCCACGACCCCAGACGCCGAAGCCAATACCTTTGCAACTGCGCCGCGGAGTCATCAAGTCTTCATTCATCATCAAGTTTTCATTTGTCTAAATTGATATTAACTGATAAATTCACTACAACTTACCATGTAGCCAGTGTATTGACCAGCATTTATACCGACGCTTAGCGTCAGCATTGCGACAGCCAAAAATATATTTCCTTTGGGTGTGTACGAAAGCCCTATCAGAGCGATAGCAGGGCCCCATAATCCTTTAAAAAAATTGTATTTTAACTGTTGTAGTTTTATTTATTTCCAACTTTTACCTCAAAAAAATAGGAGAAATACAAATCCGCCTGCGGCTTTTGTCTAATTAAGTTGGCTACGGTTGTAATGGATTGCGCTGTGGAACAATATCTTTTGCGGGAAAGGGCATGTAAGGGCATATAATGCACCAATGGTTTGTTTGCATATGTTTTAAAAGAATTCAGAAGAAAATTGTTGAAAATAAAAATTTCGTAATTCTGCAACAACAAAGCTTTTGCCATTATTTTCTTTACTTATATACAAAAGTACACAAAATGGATATTTATAAAGACAAACAGAAAACAAATAGACTTAATGTTAACACTTATTAGGTATAAGTACATTTATTGCTATAGATTCAGGGTTTCCTCTTAAATGCCTTTTTTCCAAGTATATAAATATACCATTATGTTAACTTTCTCTTTGGTAATCGCTATTATTTGTTTGAAAAGCTCATTTATTACAATCATCATTATGTACCAAATTAATAAAAGCATGTGATATTAAGGCATCCACCCTGACAAAGACGTTAATAGCCGTTAAATTTCGTGGACCGTTGAAATCTCTATCAAAATTTGTAGAAAAAGTGAGATTTTTAGTCGCTATTAGAATCAAACCCACGTCTTTCGGGTTTACGCCCAGACTTTTACCACTAAGCTAATTGCGCATTTTAAAAACTCTTCCACATGTCGTCAGTTAAGCCATCCGATATACACTAAATTGTCTTCTAGTTTATAATCGGTCTGACCAGTTCTATTTCAATAAAAGTTAATTTATCTTAAATAAAAAGCATATTTTGTTACAATTTAGTGTATTTCGTTTGAAATGTAAACGGTGTTGAAAATAAAGTCCTTTCAGCCGTTGCGTAGTAAACAGCAATCACAGGTTAAGTGAATTTAAACATAAGCATCATCATCATCATCCCCGTCATTATTATTATTTCAGCTTGTTGGAGTCCACTGCCGAACATAGGCCTCCCCCACAGACTGCAACTAAGCACGATCCTGAGCCACCTGCAATCATCGACTTCCCGCAAACTTGAAGATTAAACATTTTTAAGCAAAACCTGAACTAACCGATTGTATTGAAAAGTCTCCTTGTATTACTTGTGCTTAGCCATCCTTTACCTATTATCACATCAGTCATGGCGCCCATCGGAAAGCTGAGTAAGTACATTGCCAAATATGGCAATGATGACAATACCCCATTCTGTAAACCATGAAAATTATGATTGAAAGAAAACATAAATTTTCCAATTTTCTGCTTAATCTTTATTTTGCAGTGACTTTATATTATGTTGATATGAAAATGCATCTACTATAAATGACTACGTACATAATTTCAGTAACGGAATTCACCGAGTTTATAGGTTCCTCGGTCGTATGACGTATGAATGTGTGAAAAGTGTGCTTGATTTTGAATCTGGTCAGGCGATTATTCGGTACGGCTGAGTCGCGTAACACGAACATATTCTCTTTAGTACCCCTTACTTTTTTAAAAAAACTTTGTACGCAAAGTACCTCGTACCGATGTACTAAAATATTAGAAAACACTTTTGGAGTAGGTCTTTTAATTAATCATCGTCACCCCATATCGGGGTCCAAGTTCTACCTAACGAATTCCGGTACGCAGCAACACCTGCCGATAGATTCTCGATGTCTTCGTGACTAACCTGTTGGCAAACCCTCATCAGAACACAGGGGAGCTGTACGCCGACGTCTATATTTTCTGTTATTTTTAAAAACATTAAAATTTTGTATTTTTTGTGTTAACGGTTGTTTCTCTTTCAAGTTCCCCCGTCACAAATGTATACAAGTATTTTCATTATTGTTTCTACTGAATTATTTCTTCCAATTTGAAGTGCCTTTACTTTAATTAGTTCCTGTTGGGAAGTCATTCAGATCTGCCCTTCATCAAAATACTTCGCTTAACGCTTTATCTCCAATTTGTCTACTACTCGTCAAAAAAAAAATTAACCTTGATGTCCTTGTATTATGTTTGTACTTACATCTTTCAAATTTACTTTCAACACTTTCGCCATGTATGTTGGCATTTCGGTCATGAGTGTAAAGAAGCCCCAGTTCTGGCCGCAGTGAGCAGCTACCGCCGCCCAAAGGGGCAAGCATGTGACTATCTTTGACCAGGGCGCGGCATGGTGCTGAAAGATTTGATTAAAACTGGTTTAATCCCGCGGCACACTATTGAAATTCACGACAGAAGTGTCTTAAGAAATGTGGGACTTTAAAAAGTAGTTGGCATATAACATTTTAAGGCCATTTGCAAATTATTTATGATGAGAAATATCTAGAGAACCGGTTCTGAGTCCTCCAACTGGACCAGAAATGAAGAATATACTTTGTTACTCCCTTAAGTCCTTGCACACTTTTCCCCTTACACACAACTTTAAGTTGTACATAGGTTAATGGTACTTTACTCAACCAGAAGTGAAGTTATTTACTCCATTTTTAAGGGTTTTCTCACCTCTTGATTGTCGACCCGTCCCAATGATTTCTGAATGTACTTAAGCTCATCTTTCGAGATAATCTTTGATTGCTCAGGTGATGCAGATCCAAAAGTAAGATAAGCGATCGTCCAGATGAATCCTAGTGCTGCATTGGTGTAGAATATCGATTGCCAACCCCAAGATGACGCAATAAAGCCTGATATAATCAGTTGAAAGGCGATTCCAAGCTGTCCACCTGGTTGTAATGAGAATATTTTAGTAATGTTAACAAATAAAATACAAGCATTAGCATTTTCAAAGCCCAACGGAGAAAAAACTAATTTAACTATTGCCTTATATCTTTAAATCTTTTTATAAAGTACAGACCTTTGGTAACATTATGATTATAACCATACCGGCATAGATAATTGTGCTAAGAAGTCCATTCTCCTCTAAGGGAATCCATTGACTAACAAGATGATGCATGGTAGGGTACACAAAACCCTGGGTGAGACCCTGAAGAACTCTGCATGCGCAAACCATCTGCCAGCCACCCTGAATCAAAGATAAATATTATTGACTATTCATATCCATCAAAATACAAGTTTTTAAAATATATTTTGATTCTTCTTTAGTTTCCAATACTCATACATATTTAGCAGCAGACGGGATTAGAAGAGAAAGCAGGGAATTTCCGAAAACGGCTGTGGTCATCAAAATTTTCCCACCGATGCGTCTCGCCAATACTCCGGCTGGTATTTGGAGTATCACATAGCCCCAAAAGAACGAGGACAATATCATCGACTGCTTGCTGTGCGACCATTCGAAATACTGAAACGCAAAAGCTCATAATATTTAAATAATAAAAAAAAAATATTTATTAAATAATAATTATTTCTGACAATACACAAAACTAAATACATTGTCTATAGTTTGTTAGTATTTGTAAATAACATCTAGATTAGTATTATTAGTAAACATTAACAAATTGCGAGTTATTATTTTGCCAGACCTATAGCAACTGCCACCCAGTGTTGCTGGAACGGGCAGTCAGGTCAGTCAGCAATCATTTTCAGAATGCTGTTGCCACTAGTACGAAGGCGCTGCAGCAAAGCTAAATTAAATTTATTAAATTCAGATATACTGGGACCGCAAAAGTAACGGGATACTAAAAACATTGTGACAGTTCCTTACAGATCTAAAATATATTCGTAATACTGTACAATCTTATGATAGTGCTAACCTGCACTTAAGATGAAACATTAAAATTTGTACAAATAGTGAGTGTATGTTTTGTATCAAGTATATATGTTTATAGATATATTTATGTATATATATTACGAGGCTGCCACTCGAGAACCTTTCTTCCCCAACGGTTATCGGTTCTACGAGCTATATGGCCGGCCCATCGCCACTTCAGCTTGCTGATCCTCTGAGCTATATCGGTTATCTTAGTTCTACTGCGGATGTCTTCGTTACGAACTCTATCAGCCTCGTACTGGCCATCGCAGTGTAGGACGACCCCCCACTAGATGGAGTGACGACTTGTGCAAATGTGCGGGAAGTCGATGGATGCAGGTGGCTCAGGATCGTACTTCATGGCAGCCTGTGGGGGAGGCCTATGTTCAGCAGTGGACTCAAACAGGCTGAAATGATGATGATGATGATGATATATATTAATGTATATATTTATGTATCGTATGTTGTAGAAATATCTCTGTGCACTGAACACATTTCCAGCTATCATCAATCACATATTTTTCTCATCAGGTTAGCTGGCAGAGAACTCATGCATTGAATTAAGCTTACCTAATGTACATTATTTACATTTTTTTTGTATCCTGTGTTTTGTGTACAATAAATACATTAAAAAATGGGAAAATTTTTTCGTCACTCTGGCAATCGAACCCACGTCTTCGCGATACGCGCCCAGACGCTTTTACCACTAAGCTTAACGGCTGATTGCCTCACCGGCGAAAATTTCAACGTCTTTTATCTACATTATATTTTCGCATTTCAAGCAATGCTTGGCGCATCCATTTTTATATCCATTAAAGCATACAAACAATTTCAAATATCGCTTTACAACGATAATTCGAACGAGAGATGTCGCTATTGCCAATAGAAATTAATTTTTTTGTAGTACTAATCTCTACAGTTTAGAAATTATCGATGTTTTCGTATTTATGAATAAGGATTATTTTCTTGGTTGAAGTTGAAGGAATCAAGAAGAAATAAAAATGCAAAAAGTCTCAAATGGCGCAAATGTAAAACGACGATGATTTCATATAGGAGTTAACTTTCCCATGTCCGTAGGTTGAAAATAGATATGAAATTAATGTTAGTTGTACGGTTATCGGGCAATTGGTGTCAAAATCTCTCTAAAGCGTAATAAAATATCAAATTTTAGAAGATATATCATATTCAGTTGGAAATAAATTCATTTAAAAACAAATTGTTATTTACTACGATTAAATATCACACTATAAAAGTTATAAACTTAAACGGAAAACGTATAAATAACGGTTTTTGATTGTTTCAACGACATCAAATATAGCGAAACGTGTTAAAGGTCATGGTCAGAACATATTAGTATGCACCAATAAACCTTTAGCCTCGGTTATATCTGACAAATATTTTCTAACAAAGTTAGGTTTTTATCTCAGATGACTCAGTGGCGCATAGACTAATTAATCAATTGCCGTGGGTGTTCGATTCCAAAGCGAAACAAGTATTTTTGTTCGCGTGTTTTTTCCCAAAGAGTTTACGTCTATCGTAAAAACCTAATCGATGCCGTCAACAACATGATTCACTTGCTGTACCTGACCTACCTTGGTGGGATTGGAAGGAGAAAGAAATGGAAGTTATATTTTAATTTGTTTACGTCATACCACGTTAAAAATTAAGCTTGATCGCAATTTCAAAATAAAATAAAGCTTTCAATCTTTGGGTGGCTACGTCTGTATTCAATTAATTGCAAATAGACGCAAATATTGTACCTAACGAGGTGCAATATTTCTTGATTTATATGTATATGATTTTGAGTTATACATAACTTTTTATCTTTAAATATTATTTCCTAGAAAATCAGATTGTAATAAAGCCTAAACGTCATAGCGGATTCAGGTCACTGTAAGTTTTTAAACAATGGATGTTCACCAAGTAGAATATAATTTAAAAAAAAACTAAAAAAACCCGACTGCGTTTCTGTGTAATTTTTTATTTTAATTAACCCAGTGCCACTCTCACAGTAAATACGAATCTAATGACACCTAAACTAAATTTCATCAAGCCGTTCAGGATGCAGAGCGTGCCAAACAATTATACATACATACTTTCGAAAAACATAACTCCCCGTCTGGCGCAAATGACAAATACAAATGAATGATGAAATCAAGAGTTTTATTTCAAATTAAATTCAATCGCTTTCAAGATGCTCTTTATACGCTATTAGGATATAGATAAAAATTCTTCCATTTTTATTTAAAATTGGCAAACGACAGCTGTTTCACCTGATGTTATGTGAAAACCGCCGCCCATGGACTTTAACATTGATCTAATGCGATTCAGATTCGCTACCAAGGGGACTCGCGCACGAAGCGTTCCGTACCATTATCTATACCTAAAGAAAAAATTAGGTCTGTTGTATGGGAGCCCCAGTTAAACATTTTTACTCCGTTTTTTAGTATTTACTGTAATAGCGGCAGCAGAAATACATCGTCTGTGAACATTTCAACTGTCTAACTATCACGATTCATGAGATACAGCCTGGTGACTGATAGACAGACAGACAGTGAAGACTTAGTAAAGGGGTTCCTTTATCCCCCTATCCTTTGGATACGGAACCCTAAAAAGTGGATCCCCGTGACAATCGTGGAAATCCCCGGTCGAGCCTGCCATTCATGCACATCCGATATTGCTTCGTGACCCTTCCACAGACAATATATATGTTTTAATTAATTTAACATAAATTAAACAAGTTTCTTGTGTTGACTAAATATTGTGGGAGGCAATTTCATCTCCAGTTGTTCTCCAGTTTTAGTTCAATTTAATCAGTAACCAGCGAAAAAACTGGACTATTTTGATATCAACACATTTAGACTATAATCATAAACACATCATCATCGTGTTGAACTAATTATACGATATACAAGCCGGTCAAGTCTGCATAAGAATAAAAATATATCGTCATTATATCACAATTCTGTGACCCCTTGCTTGTCTTAAAGATAACGCAACATTTATTTAAATGCAAACAATAATGTCAATAGACGTTTTTAATGATAATACGAATTCTCAAGATCATATAATATTACACCGCTCGGTGGGGAGATAAGTTAATCGGTTCTTTGGCCCAAATAAATTGCTTCTTTTTCGTACTGTTGTTGCGCTAACAGTGAAGAATTGGAATAAAAAGAACATGATTTGTGCGTCAATATTTCCACTTTGACGATGTTTGAAACTAATTATGTAGTGGAACGGTCAAATTTTATTTAAATAGGTGGCACGATGTATCTAATTTTAGTAAATACCTATTATGTTCAAAGAGTTCTCACACTATTACCAGCTATTAATTATACGTGAGCATTTTTTTATGTGAGAAGTTTGCAATCAAGTTGGCGGTTCACCTGATGCTAAGCGATAATCGCCGCCTATTGATATTTGCAACACCCGTGGTGTTGCAGATGCGTTGCCACCTTTTAATAAAGTGGGCCCCGGCTTCCTCACGAACCAGACGAAACGTAGAAGAATAACACTTCCAATTGATGCTGGTCTTCTATGAGGTGGTAGTATTTACCCGCACGATCCTGCTCATTCGTGCAACAGCGAAGGCTGTTGTATGGCTCTACCACAGTTAAAAAGCAACCAAAAAAACGTATAAAATAATTTAATGCTATAAAGGATCAGTTCCCGATTCAATCCGAATCTAAAACCCGATTTCTATATATAAGCAGTCACAGAAAAAGTCGGCATTATTTTATTAAGTTATGGAACCTTCGTGTATTTATTAAAGACATAATTGATGACACATACGTTATTCCGCCAGCTTTTGATTTTAACAAACCTGCGCACGTAAATGCTACACTTTTTGTAAATATATAAAATGTTAATAATTCAAATCAGTTCATCAGTTAGATATTTTAAGAGCCGGATGTCCCGCTATCGACCGAATGGCTCATGGAAAATATAGTCACATCAAAGTATGTTAACAAACAATTTTTTTTCTGATAAGTGCCAACTAACAAGTTCATCAAGTAAAATAATAACGATGTGATAACAACCCATGGATTGGCGAACGGACGAAGCGAAAACACAAATATTATAACTGGTCTACTTAATTGTGATTTTACTGCTCCGCTGCGTGCTACTACATTTCTGGAAATAGCTCTAGGTCATTACCTCCTCATGCTTTTCGTTCGTCATGTCCACTATAGCCATGCTGATGTTGACGCGCATGCAGAATGCGAACAACATAGCGAGGAACAACAGGAACGTCTGTGCGTGTCTGACGCCCAGGCCATCTGAGGAATTGACAAAACATTTACCAAGGAGGACTCCGTAGTGCGGTACCCAAGGTATCGGCTTCGGCGTAGAGACCGTGGGTTCGATTCCCACACGAGACAAGTGTTTGTGCGAACCACAGATAGTTGTTTCGCATCTGGGATTTGTCCGCGTGAAATTTATGTTTATAAAACGTCATTAGACCACGGGATACTGTTATCCTAAGGTAAGGGCAACATTAAAAAAAATAGGAAAAGGACATCATCTTTATTCGACACCTTTGTGGGGTCGGCATAACACATGAATCGGATCTTTAATGGTATTGGCTAGGGTTTTTACGACTGACTGGCGTCAACACTCTTTGGAATAAAAACCCAGATGCGGAACAGCTACCTCTGGGTCACACAAATACGTTGTCCTTGTGGGAATCGTAGTGAGCATCGAAGGCAATAGCTAAAAAACTTCGCCACGATGTCATTTCCAAACGATACCGGGTAATTTAAACAAGTCACTGGATATATAAAAAACTAGCGACCTGCCTCTGCTTCGCACAGGTGCAAAGTATTATACATATAAACCTTCCTCTTGAATCACTCTGTCTAAGAAAAAAAAAAACGCATTAAGATCCGTTGCGTAGATCTAAGCACACATAGGGACAGACAGACAGCGGGACGACTTTGTTTTATACTATGTAGTGATACTATTCACGGATCCGTAGTTTCTATTATCTAATGTCATTTCAAAAGATATAATTATCTAATTTTAAATTTATATACAATTTTGCCACGCTCGACATCACAGATGGTTGCTAACAAGGTCACCAAAAATATACGCATCGGCGAGATTTGATTAACACACATTAAGCAAAAACAATATTTTTTTACGAAATCGTCATTGGCAAAAATAGATATTACTGTAAAGGTTTACTTCGATTAGATTATCTTTCTCTATAAAACCAGGAATTAATTATTATTAGACGATTTATACCATGTACCTCATCAATAGACGATATAATTGCAAATCGTATTAGTTCTTTATTTTTTCTGTTTTTTAACTTATTTTCTAAACTATAATAATAGAATTAGATTAAAACTAAAATCCTTAATAATTTATTATGAAACCAATAAGGCAAAAATGGTTTGACTTATAAAAATATTAACTTATTTAAATAAAAGTGACACGCAAACGAGAACGTAATAAAAATTGATAACCTGTGTGAATAAAAAAGCAAAAAAAAAATAAAAATCACTTTTTGTACATGTATTCTGTATGTGACGTAGGCGTGATTTCTTGGTACTTTAAAGAACTCCCCTTTTATTTTATCCTTTTTATGTATGATTAAAACAAATCAAATATTCACAACTTACTTGGTCTAAGGTTTACATTTTTGTCCACTCCCATTTCGGGGTTTTCAGTATATTTTCAAAACTATCGTTGTATCCGCCGTTGTCATATCACTGGTTTAAGATCTGCACTGTTACAAGGCACGTTCAATAATGACGGCCGATGCCTGTTAATTGATTTCAAAGTATAATTATCTTGTAGTAACTTTTCTTCGGTAGAGTAAACAATTTATACACTAACCAAAAATTTATTTCTTTAATAATCTGCTATAATATGGGAGGCAAATCGGTGTACTGGAATTTTTTATGCTTTCGTTTTTAAAGAGATACTCAAAATCAAATTTATTCAACATACGAGTACTAATTGTCATAATACTACTACATACGGAATCCGTTGAAAAATGTTTCTCTACTTTGTTTGTTAATATATTTTTCGTGACAGAGTTATAACATTACATAGAGTATATAGTTTTTACTATCCATTAAAATATTTGAAAACAAGATATTTTATCATTCAGAGTTTTTTCTAGTTGAGATTCTCTCGACAGATAGATTTCAACTTTTTTATTAGTTTGGAAAATTGATTCTTCTCAATACTAGACTGCGTAGAATAAGTAAATCTTTAATGAGATAATGTATTGTTTTATAACAAAATGAAGCAAACGTCGGTTACTAAATAAAAAAACGTGTAAAGAAACTTTTGCGTGTTAAAGTTTAGTATAAGATCAGTGATTTTTTAAACGATAACACACTCTCGAAATTAATTGATCGCTCAAGGCTCTTTCAAGTGGACTTTAGTATATTGTAAACATGTTTTTGTTTTTTTTTTAAATAATGGTTAAAAAAAATGTCCTGCTAAGTTTAATTCGCCGGTTCTTCTCAGGTCAGTGGCATTTTTTCCGAACCGGTTGAAAATCAATAAGTAAGTGTAATGCTTCTGTATTGAATAAAGATATTTATTTGAATTTTGATTTGTTCGGGCCACTCAGCAGCCTCTGCTGTTGCGAGTCACCACGACCTCACAGAAGGCCGGCGTGAAGTAGGAGCATTATAAACTAGACTCCGTAGCTTAGTAGCTTATAAACTAAACTCCGTAGCTTAGTCGCCAAGGCTTGCTTCGGCGTCGGGTGTCGAGGGTTCGATTCGACACGGGGCAACTATTCGTGTGACCCACTGATAGCGCGTTTTAGCGAAATTTCGGCAGCGCGTTTCGCATCTGGGTGTTTTCCCACGTGAAGTTTGTATAACGTCCTCACAACACAGGATAATGTTATCCGAAAGTGAGAGAAATGTTTAAAAAAAAAACGAGTTTTTTATGATGAGTGATTTAAAATCGACGTAAAAGGTTGTCAGCGCATCTGCAAGACTTCGGGTGTTGTAGATTTCCATGGGTCGTCTGCTCGCTTGAAAACTTTTCATATAAAAAAAAAAAACTTAATATGGTTTTTGATACAGTAGGGATCTCCACAAGACACTCGAAATGTTTGGCTGTCCATCAAAACACCTCATCCTGGTTACATCTTTCCATGAAGACTCGAAAAGATCACCTTTGATGGAAAATTATCGATACATTTGACAAACGCAAGGATTTGTGAAAGGGTTTCGTATTGGCTCTCTGTCAAATACCCTGTTCTGTATTTTCTTTTCGCTACTTTTAGAAGCTGCCTTTTACGACAACAAACATTTACATACGATTTACACACGAGGACTAACGGGAAAATTTACAACTAATCCCTATTGAGATCATAGCGAAATCGAGATGACCTTTACGATAATGACGCGGCTACTGTTGTGACGTCCACAAGTGAGCTTCAATCCATGATACATTCTTATATATGTGACCTGTTCTTCCTGTCCATCATCATAATCATTATCATCTGAGGCATTACAGCCGCGAGTTGGCTTTAGCCTGTTCAAGCAAATCTCTCCAGTCCGAGCTATTTATGGTTTTATTTCTCCCGCCCATAACTCTCAAGATCTTTGTGTCCTGTTCGGCGTCATATAACCATCTGAGCTTGGGCCTGCCTCTACTCCTGCGGCCCTTCGGCCAGCCATCCAGAAGGCAATTGGCTATTCTTGCTTCGTTCATTCGCACCACGTGCCCTGCCTATTATAGGCGTCCGATTTTTATGAACCTGATGAAGTTTGGCTCATCATACATTTGGTACAGCTCATGGTTATAACTCGTTCGTCATCTCTCATCTTCCATCAGCTCCAAAGATGCGTACCCTCTACCTCCTTTTACCCTCAAAAACCAACAAAAAAAATAAATTGTCGTCCTTTTTGCTCTTTCCTCTTTTCCTCTCAGTACCCAACATTCTGAACCATCTTCCTGTCCATCAGTGCCAAGAAAACTAGCATACTTGGCCATGGATGCCCAATAAAACCGGTAATACACTAAGCTGGAGCGCCGACTCAACGCATTCCACATGCGTTGCGTTGGTCACGTCACGGGAAAAACAGGTTTACAAACGAGGAGGTCGTTACGAGACTGCAGCTACCCGGCGTCACCGCCCTGCTTAAACAGACGTCTGTGATGGTTGGTGCATTTTTATCGTATAGATCAGACTTCCCAAATGCTTTTCACAGTAGGACATGCTAAGAAAGAGGGAGAGTAGGGGATGAGACAAATGTGGAACAGCCGCTGCTCCCTTTCAAAGACAGCGTCAAGAGTGACTTCGCTACATTGAGAATCGAGCATGGGACAAGTTTACAAAAGATAGGGACTAGTGGAGGGAATGAATGAATTAAGAAAAGCATTCCAGTCAATTATAGTGCTTGGTTGGACAAAATAGAAAGCAAAAGCAGGTCGCTTGAACGTCAACCGTGCTCTCGTTACGAGCGATCTTGTTGGTCCAGAATTACGCTATTTATTCACCTAAGAAATCTTCCAGACACTATATAAGTTATCGGTCATGGGCGTAAAGGTCTAAAGGAGAACGACTAACCTGAATAAAAAGTATGTTGAGCCAACAATTGATGTAAATATGTTGTTATAAGTTAGTTAAGTTGAAATAGCTTGGCTAACCCTTCCATGGGCAAAATGATTCATATTAATTATTAGTTAGGCTGGGTTAAGTGGAGTTCAAAACATTGTAAACATTTTTCTTTGTCATAAAAACAGACATAATGGTAAAAAATGTCCCGCCGACTTTTTGCGTTGGTTCTCCTCTGGTCAGTTGTTTTCTTTTCCGAACCGGTGGTAGTGTTTTGACAATAAATAAGCAAGTGTATTTTTTGAATTTGTAATTTGTTTTTTTTTCTCTATCGTAATCTTAACTAGTGTTATTTGGTCAAATTGCACATTTCACGTAGATATTTACATACATGTTCATTTATTTGAAATATATTCAGAATAATTATCTCTGAAGCACACTTAAACATCTCGAGAGGCGAAATCCTACACACAGCCAGCAACGTGGAAGCCAGAGGCTAAAGAACTGCAACAGCTGAGTAATTAAATAATATTTACTTAATAGCTCAAACTGTTTATAGCATAGAATTGCATTGTTTTAAAAATTACAGAATGCATATATTATCCTATACTTTAAAGACGATTATCCAATACATATTGTACAAGTTATTGTTCGTTTACAATTTATGTCTTCCTAGAATGAGTTAAGTGCTAATTTCACTAAAATTTTATAATTGATTTCTATTTCATCAATCTCTTATAACTACGAAAATGCAACGCAAAAATGGAAGTTTGAACAATAATTAAAATAAATAATGGAATCTTTGTGATAAGATTAGTGTGAACCACATTAGCGTGAAGTGATAACATTAACTTGTTAATTAAAGGTTATCGAATGTCATGTGTCATCAAATCATGAACATGCAGTTATGCGTTTAGATTATTTTCAAACAAACCTTATGCCGTTGTAATAAAAGCTTACAGTACAGTAAAAAGCTTTTATTACAACGGCATTTATTATTACGAGTCTATATTTTCCATTGTGCACTTTGCTCGCAAATATTTTAAACGCAATAAAGGAATTATTTTAAACAGAAACTTGACACGCTTCTCACCTTGTCATTTTATTCAAGGAAAAGTCTATAATATTCAGTGATTACCTCCGCCCATATATATTACCAGCACCACTAGATTTGCATGCGATTACCTCTCACTAGTCAAAAAATATCGTAACGCCTTATTAATTCGTCGAGACGGTACACTCATTTAAAATTAAGCAATTTTCGTTAGTTTTTTTTACTAGTAAAACTACTACATAACATTTGCTGGAACAAATAAATAAAATTGATTAAGGAATCTATCGGTAATAATAAACTCAAAAGCGGAAACATTTAATTAACATGTCATGGAATATATATATATATATATATATATATATATATATATATATAGGGCTGATAAACATTTAGAATTTTAAATCCGGATTTTAGTGATTTCAAAAAATACTTATGTTTTCTGTCACTCAATTGGTATTACTGTCGATGATAATGTAAGGCGCTAATTTTATTTAACAAAATGTGTTAAAAAATCAATCCAGTGATTTCTGTGGCCACGCAAAAGTCTTGGCTGGTGCACGAATAGACAGGTCCATCCGGTGTGAAGTGGAAGTGATATACTCTTGCGTTTCGTCTGGTCTATGAGGTAACTGAAGCCCACTTAATCAAAAGGTGGCAATGTATCTGCAACCGGTGTTGCAGATGAGGTGAATAATGCAGATGAACCGTCAGCTCGCTTGCAACCTTCCCACAATTTTCACTCATTAGAGACATAAAAATAAAATATACAGTCTGAAATAAATAAACTGATTAGTCAATATTTTTAGGTTCTGATTTTTGATTAGCAGTTTAGTGTGTTATCTTTCAGTGCGAAACATTTTAAAGATAACAATTCAAAACATTACATATAAAGTTTGAATGTATTAAACATTTTTTTTAGTTTGAAAATGTTTTCTCGTTATTAACCACCTTAGTACGAAGGCCAAGATTCGAAGTTCTAAACAATACAGTTGCTTCTTTAATTTTTCCGTTACAATACGTGAAACTAGAACTTTGTACCCGTTTTCACAAAAATTGCGCGGATGGAGGAGTATGATATTTCCCACAGTTATAGGGGAGTGCTGAATCCATTTTTTAAATATGAAAAAAAAATTAACTAATTAAAAAAAAAAACATTACACACACTACGATGTACAATTGATTATGGTCGAATTTCGACCGCTGGGTTACTAGTTCAGCTACTAAAACTGGGTTTAAATTAATATTTAAAATTTAATGTTATTATTTTATTTTTGTGTTTTATCTTGCGTATTTTCTTTAAAATATAGAACTGTTCTGACAATAACTTATTTAAAATCAGAAGCCACATAAATATATTTCTTTTAAATTTTATTTAGCTTTTTTAACGACTGTACAAAATCGACATTACTAGTTTTTCTTGATGCCACTGTTTTCTTAGGATCGGTCGAATATGCACCGAGTTAACTATTTCCGAAGCTCTTGCCCTACATAGGTGGTTTTTGATAAATATAATAAATAATAAATAAATAAATGTTCAAGCTTCTCGGTTCGTTCCATTGTTGCTTGTCGCTGCTTCCAAATATCATGTAAAACACATTCGCCACCGTACACCGCGGCCTGGCCGACAGGTAGAATACGTATCGCCATTCCACTAAGTCCGTCTGAAAGAAATAAATTCTTGCAGTTCGCCTGATGTTAAGGGATAACCGCCGCCCATGGACATCTGCAACACCCCGGTTGCAGATGAAGAAGCAGAAGAAGAAGAAACGTTTATTCACGGCCTAAAAACAAATGAATACATACAAAACTTAAAAATAATAATGTAACTACACAGAAACTTAAAATAAATGTAAACATAAAAATAAGCAAACAAAATAACAACAGTAAGTGACGGTCTGTGTAGCAGCATAAGACCGTTAAACGGACGGCACTCGGTAAAAGTCGAGATACAGTAACTAGTTCTGATCCCGACACCGGTTTTCAGTCCGGCCCGCACTTCGAGGCAACTCGGACGGCTGCGACAGTGAACTTGCAAAAAGATGCGGTGCCGCCTTTAAATAAAGTGCGCCCCAGCAACCTCGCTCACCAGACGAAACGTAGAAGTGTAACACTTCTGCTTCACGCCGGCCTCCTATGAGGTCATGGTGGTAGGGCCACGCAGCAGCCTCGGCTGTTGCACGAATGGGCAGGCCCGTCCGGGTAAGTACCACGACCTCACAGAAGACCAGCGTAAAGTGAAAGTATGACAAATACTTTCGCGTTTCGTCTGGTGAGTGAGGTAGCCGGAGCCCAATTTTCAAAAGGTTGTCAACGCATCTGTAACCCTCGAGTGTGGCAGATGTCCATGGGCGGCGGTATTCACTTAACATCAGGTGAACCGTCTGCTCGTTTGACAACTTTTCGCATAAAAAAAAAAAAAAAAAAAAAAAAAAAATGGTACTTCCCCGGACGGACCTGATCGTTCGTGCAACAGCGAACGGTTGCGTGGCCCTACCATAGTTATAGGTCACAATTTGTTGTTCTTGATTTACTGTGGTTAGACAACGCAATTCTGTCAACGAATTTCCAAACCATCGCGTGCGGTAAGTGTCATTGGATGGTGATATTCACTGAACATCAGAAGGACCGTCTGCTCGCTTGACAAATTCACTACACAGTATAAAACAAAGTCGTCCCGCTGTTTGGATCTTGATGCGGATTTTTTTAATAGATAGAATGATTCATCAGGAAGGTCTATATGTATAATACATTGCATCCGTGCGAAGCCGAGACGGGTTGCAAGTTTCACATAAAAAAAAGTAATTATAAGTAGATGAAAGTTAGTATGGTTAGTACGACATAATGTTATATCTATATCCCAAAGCTTACGCACCGAAGTCAACAAACAAAATTAATTAACTAGCCTTCTGTGCACATTCGGTCAGATATCTTTTTCATATGGTCAGTTCGTCTATCATTCTCAGTATTCATTAAGACCATTGCTTCTACGTTAGAACTTGTACAGACGTGAATAACCATTAAATATCTTATTATACCTCATCCTTCAGTATGACACCAATCACCAGGGGAGCGACGATTGCCATAACGGTTGAGAATGTACTCGATATGCCCATCAGTGTACCAGCAAAAATTGGAGCCATGTCCAACGAGCCCAGCTAAAAAATAGGAAACAAAATAATCTCAACAGTAAGTAAAAATAAATACAATATATATTTATAAATATTTTTGTATGCATTTAATATTTCTTACCATAATGTTTGTATAGATATTATATAATATATATATACTTTAAATTTAACTAATGACAGTTACAATTCTTTCTCTCACTAACTTTCCGGTTGGCTGGTATAAAATGCCATATTATGGCACTAAGCCCGCCGTTTGTACCAGCTTGTACAAAAGTGTTTAATTAATAAATAATTAGTGGGTGTGGTTCCACCACGGGACAAGTATTTTTGTGTTTTAAGGGACCAGCACATAATTGTTCCGGATCTGGGTTTTTGTTTCCCATGGAGGGGTTGACGTCAGTCAAGCTGGTCGTAAAAATTATAGCCAACACCACTTACTACATGATTCACATATTGTGCCGACCCCACCTAGGTGGAAAGCAGCAGGAGGATGAAGATATTATGAATTGACGCGGGTCTTTTATGACGCCATTCCTTTGTTGGGCGGGAAAATTCAAATAGCGAGATTCGTTGTTTGAGTTACAGCGAGATTGTTTGAATGACAGCGAGATTGTTCGATTTAGATTAGTTGCTCCGTCACAGTAGAATATAGTAATAATAAATAACAAGGTGTAACATGAACATGCATAAAGTAAAGTAACACCCTTTAAATGTCCCACTGCTTGGCAAAGTCCTCCTCTGTAAAGAGGGTATCAGGGCAAAGTCCACGCGACCCCACTACGGATTGGCAGACTACATATTTTCAAATATATTTTTTTGGTTATTATTTCGAAAATATGCAGGTTTCCTCCCTATGTTTTCCTTCACCGCTGAGCACGCGCAATAATTTCACATTGGCGCCGGCACCGGGGATCGAAATCAGGTTGTTCGAGTAAATTTAGGTTAATCATTAAAGGTGAACGCCCCGACACTGAGCTATTACCGCTCTTGAACGTGTATAATGAAAATGAAAATGAAAACTTGTTAATAAATATCACTCGCCATGTATCCGCTGTAAAAAGTTTCGTTTATTCCAAGTGCCAGAGTGAGTAGCGTCACAGCCAAGGTCACGTTTCCCGCAGATACGTGGGCTAATGCAATAAACACTGCAGCAGGACCAAAATATCCTGTAAAGATACAAACGCACAATTATAAAGACACAGAAAAGCGTTTTATGTATTGTTTTCTCCCCTTAATTTTACAAGTAAATAATGAGTGTTTCTTATAAGCATCTGAGATAGATTAAGACGCAAGGAAGATATATAAGTAGCTCATGAGACTCTTGTAAATTTTATTAAATTAAAACATATCTGGTGCGGGGCTAAAGCGACCGTCGGCTGATAAGCAATGGTCAAACTAAATAGGGAAAGCTAAATAGTTAGCTGTGATTCTTATTTTCACTTGGCTCCAAATAAAGGAATTTGCTTACATTTTATTTAAAGGCGTTGCGGCTGTCTGGCTTAACGTCATGTATATATACAGGGTTACAGGAAACGTCGAACCAGATAAATAAACACGTTAATAATAAGGCCCTTGGTCGTTAGCTGATAGTTTTGGCCCTAAAAATATGGTCTATAATAATAATAATAATATAATATCTGCATAGACACAACCTAGTAGCCAGAATCCTACACCAGGAGCTCGCTCTGAAATACGGCCTCGTGGAATGGAAACTGCCGTACTATAAGTACTCTCCGGAGGCCGTGCTCGAAAATGACTGCGCCAGGCTCTATTGGGACCGGTCCATCATCACGGACAGGACGATTGTCGCGAACAAAACTGATATCGTGTTGATGGACCGGGCACAGTCGCGGGTATTTTTGGTCGACATTACCATTCCATATGACGAGAACCTCGTGAAAGCCGAAACAGATAAGAAGACGAAGTATCTGGACCTGGCTCACGAGGTGACCGACATGTGGGGTGGTGTGCCGACCGAAATTATCCCGATAGTCGTGTTTGCCAATGGGTTGATCCCAGTCAGCCTCTCCGGACATCTGAGGCGACTGGGACTCCGGGACGGAGCGCTCCAAGCTCTAATGTAGAAAGCGGTGCTCCTCGATACCGCCCGCATCGTCCGCCGGTTTCTCTCCCTTTCACCCTAACCCTCGGCCGTTTGGTCTCCCCTGCCGAGGGCTTCAGTCTGGTTGGGTCCTATTTATATATGTATTATATACAATATTTTTATCTATATGTTTATTTTTATCCATAATATTTATTTTATATATGCAATATATATCTAGTTATATATGCTGAGACCCCCACGAATGCCCGCGTCAGCGAGATATTCTAAAACATTGTATTACATTGTAAAAATCATCTTTTGACTTAGCGTAACGGATGTTGATAACATTCCTGAGGGTCTAGTTACCAGATAGGATAGTATTTCATTAGTATAGAAACAATAGCATTGTAAATCAGTCTTAAGCCAACTCTGGTAGCGAGCATACGAACTTTTGTTAGTACCAATATAGGTCTAATTAAAATAAAGTCTTATTTTTAAAAGGCCTTCCGGCTCCCACAACAGAACTGTGTTGCGGCAGAGCAGTATCACCGTTCCGTATTGTCCAACTTAAGTAAGACGTGATTAACATAAAGAAGTTGTGGTTTGACAGGTCAATGTCGTATGGTTACTGTTATTAAGTGCAAAAAAATAAAAAAGAATGACAGTCTATAGGGCCATAAAAAAAATCTGAGCTCCCAATATCCATATTTTGCTGATTTTTTGTTAAAGGAATTGCAATTTATAAAATAAATGAATATATCCATAAACAACTGCAAACAGTGTAAAGCGGCTGCCGGCTATTCCACAATCTTTTGAATATAAAAGTATTCGCTAAGTGCTTCCAAATTCAAGGCAACGTATTCATTAAACGGTTTTATTTAGCTCGACCCGTACGGAATTTGTTTGTTTATTTATTTGGGTCAAAATTAGAAATTGAAATTTAAGCACCTTGCCGTTGTCAGATTGATCTGAAATTTGGTACACACATTTGTTTTAGATGACAATACAATATTAACAAAAAAAAATAAAATAAAACCGTTTAACTTAAAAGTTTTTTAAAGTAATTATTTTTAATAAATGATTACGTTGCAAAGAAGTTAATTGTCTAAGTAATCGACTAAAAGTTAAGCAGCTAAAAAATTTCTACAGTTTTTTTTCTTTCCAAAAATGTACAATGGCTATATAAGCTTGGCCGCTTTATAAGTTGTCACGTTTAGAAGTTTTAAGGCCCATTTACACGATGCCATTTTCTTGAACATACAAGAGCAATAATTGAATGCAATAAATTGCGCGCAATAATTGTTTAGACCATTTGTTGTTTAGACCATGCAACTCATGTATTGCTTCAATTTAATTGTATACAACAGGCAAGAAACTTGCACCGTGTAAATGGGCCTTTAAGGCCTTTTACCATTTGGGCCCATTTACACGGTGCAAGTTTCTTGCCTGTTGTATACAATTAAATTGAAGCAATAAATGACTTGCATGGTCTAAACAACACATAACATTCTTGACTGTTGAACAAGACTTGCTTCAAGTTTTTTTTCAAAGCTTTCCTTGGTGTAAACAGCATACACAATAATTTCTTAAGCAATTCTTGTATTCAATTACATTCATTCTTCCTTTGCAAATATGAGTGCGAGTGAGGGTGTTTAATCGTTGCTGGTCTTTTGAGGCAAGAAATATTGAGAAAAGGTCGTATAAAAAGTTGGACAAAAAATGAATAATAATAAAATCTCTATAATCTAAATATATAAAATCGGCATAATCTAACTCAAACACTTATTATTGGCCCATTTTTTTAAAATAAACAGCCCTTTTCAAAACGTTCAACACTTGAATGAAATATTTGTCAACGCAAATACGTGCAATACTTGAAGCAACACACCAATAAAGGCCCATTTACACGATGCCATTTTCTTGTACATGCAAGAGCAATAATTGAATGCAATAAATTGCGCGCAATAATTGGTTAGACCATTTGTTGTTTAGACCATGCAACTTATTTATTGCTTCAATTTAATTGTATACAACAGGCAAGAAACTGGCACCGTGTAAATGGGCCTTTAATTGTACACGCACATACAAGCATGTGTTTAGACAAGTCAAAACTTGAAAGCAATAATCGCCTGAACATAATTGCATTGGTGTAAACAAAAGACATTTGCAATTATTTCTTGTCAAGACTTGCATTCAATAATCGCATTCATTTTTTTTTACTATATCTGCGTGTAAACTGTTGCTTACAATTCTTGATGGTCAATATTGCGAGCAATTTATTGCATTCAATTATTGCTCTTGTATGTAGGTACAAGAAAATGGCATCGTGTAAATGGGCCTTTAATTTATATTTGGTTGCAAATTTTCTGTTAGCTTCTAATTTCTCAATTGAAATCTCATTCATTTTCTTTAGCGGGAACAATTCATTCCTTTGAAGCTTGGAAAATATGCAATCAGAACAACTTTTAATATATCGCCACCCTCGTGGTAGAATTGGTCCCAATGCAGATTGAACAACTCACTGCTTTTTTTTTACTGCTTTTATTATTTCTGTGTTGTCTGGTGAGTGTGGTAGCAGGGGCCCACTTAATTAAAAGGTGACAACGCATCTGCAACAAAAGTTGCATGGTCCTACTACTACTAAAATAGGTAAGATAAAGATAAGAGCCGTGATAACTCAGTGTCCGGGCGCCCGCCTTTAATCCAATATACTCAGCGACCTGAGTTCGATCCCCGGTGCCGGCACCAAAGAAATTGTTAATTTCAAGGGCTGAATTATCACGTGCTCAGCGGTGAAAAAAAACATCGTGAGGAAACTAAAATAATATATCTACAATACTACATTGTAGAAACAGATTAAATAGCAATGATGTGCCCAATTACTATAATTGTTTAATTATAAGTAGGCGCTTAAATAATTATATGCATTTGATGGTAGGTTCAAATTATTTGTGCCACAAAAGAAATAAACGTTGATCAAGTGTGGACGCTCTGTTATTATAACTGTTCCTGATTACTTATAGTGATACATACTAGAAACCTGCATATTTCCGAAATAATAACAAAAGAAATATTTCGAACATATGCGAAGTCCACCAATCCGCAGTGGGGTCTCGTGGTGGACTATGGTCTGATACCCACTTTGCTGTGGAGGCCTTTGCCTTTCAGTGGGAAATTTGTCTTCTTACTTGGTGTCCACCAACATGACCCAGTGAGTTTTGTATGTAATCCTTTTCGTAGGCCTTTATAATTTTTGACTCTTCGGGGGATTTAGAGCCCAGCAGCGAGTAGACTACTGTCCAGACGGCTCCAAATGCTCCGTTAACGTAAAATATTGCAGACCAACCCCAATAGTCGGCCACGGTACCGCCCGTCATCAACTGAAGTGCGGTTCCAAATTGCGCCCCTGTCATAAGTACATTTAAATAAATATTTATATGTCGTAACTTAATTGCATCTTTAAAGTTCACACCTAGAAAGCGAAATAAAATAAAATAACGTGGAGTCCCTCCGCGCGGAAGAAGTGAAACTTGGAATGCCACGCATTCACTATCGTTCTTTCTATTCCCCCTTCCCAGGAGCGTTGAACGTTTAACGCAACAGTGCTTTCACACCCCCTCCGCGTTAAACGTTTAACGAAACCGTGTTGGAAGTCGCATTAGAAGTTTCACTTCAAAATTATTGTACATTTTATTTTGTCACAGTGTTCCTCTTAACGGGACTATATTAATGTACTTAAGAGTCTATGAGGACTGATTTTTTAACAAACAAATGGATAATTCGCGTAATCTTTGTATTTAACTGTGGCAGAGCCACGCAACTTCGGCTGTTGCGCCAATGGGCAGGTCCGTCCGGGTAAGTACCACGACCTCACATAAGACCAGCGTGAAGAATAAATATTATACGTCTGTAATTTGTCTGGTGAGTGAGGTAGCCAGGGTCAACTTTATTAAAAAGTGTCAACGAAAACCTATGGGTGTTGCAATTAAAGTCGATGGGCTGAGGTTATATATAGAAAAAAAAATCTTTAGACCAATATATGCCTAAACTGAATTGCATTTTTAAAAGGTAATAAAATAACACAAAATTAAACCTTTTAACGGGTCGGAGTAAGTTAATATAGTTAAGATGTTTTAATATAGAAATGCCTAATTCGCGTAATCTGTTCATTTAACTATGCGTTGATAACATCAAAAAAACATGTAAACGTAAGTAGTGGTTTTTAATATCAGCACACTATTGACAAAGGAATTAAAATTAGTTCAAGTTAGCAGGTTCGAATCTAGCAGCGCCGAAAGTGTTTGTTCATTTACCTACAAAAATCTACAATTTAAAGTTTTATATTAGAGCACTAAAATATCTCAAAGAATTACCAATTCTGTTATAGCAAGTCAGACCCTTTTATTATAGCAACACGTACACGAAGGATCCGGCTCCTCTCTTCTAGGGGAGCCCATTTGGCAAGCAGATTATGCGCCACAGGCATTAGGAATCCTTGAAACAATCCCTGTATTAGTCGACAAGTGCATACCATTTACCGCCCTTAGAGAATTAAAAGGATTCATTAGGATACAAACATTACACGGTACTTACAGTAAAATTTATTTTATACGTTAAGCTGAGCTTGGACTTGAATTAAGGGAACAAGGTAACGTAACGTTTTGAAGAGAAACGGATAACCGAAGCACTTCATGAAATAAAACTGGGGAAATGTATAATCAGCAGGATAGAAGAAAATGTCAGGGGTGTACTCAATGATTAGCTCCACAAAGATATTAAATTGTTTATTATTTTTTAATAGTGCAAAATTTGAATAATTTATTTTATAAACTATTTATAGATTGCTTAAGAAATAGAATAAGCTTAAGTTTAGAATAGAATAAGTTATTATTATTGGATAAAATAGTGGTAATGGCTGGTGCTGGTAAAATTCATTAAAATTCCTGTAATTCAAATAGCTTGGTATAGACAAACACTATTATATTAGTGTGTACTTTAATAATATTAAAATATAATAAGCCTATGGCAGTTACACCGACACAAAACAGGATTAAATTCTTTCCTCCGAACCTATTCGCCAGTTCACCTGCAGGCACTTCAAGTGCAAGATATCCCCAGAAGAATGACGAGAGTACCACTCCTTGTTTCTGGATGCTCCATTCGAAGGACTGTGAGCAGAAAGCAGATATACAATTGGTTTACAATATTAATCAAGCCGTAACAGCAATACAGATTTTGCCACGGATAAAACAGCAAACTACTGACTAGAAGAAACTTAAAACTAGTACATTCTAGAGATAAAAGCAACATAGTAAATTTCATTTTGCATTCAATTGCTGATTGAATTGATGGTGCCAGTTTATAAAATAGCATTCTATCTTCCAAGTCTGGGTATTCTCTTTCTATTTGATTTTTTATCGTTGTAAAACATCCACCTACACATGAATTGTCTCAAACAAAGGGAATCGATTCATATTAAGACTTTATATCCTGCATAGAAAACCTATCCACAAAATGTGGATATGCTTCGACAGTATCAGGAAAAAGTTTTTGGACTATATTTTATAAGAGTTCTAACGTTTTACCTTAATCCGTCCGGGAATGCAGTCGAAATCCAAGTGACCGTTGCTCCATGCGACCAAGTTTCCCTTCGCTCGAGTAGATAGCGTCACATCCGGTATACAGTGTTGCCAGCGCCAACAGTTTCGACAGTATCAGAAAAAAGTTTCTCTATTAACTAGTTATGTTAGCATGAAAATAATTTTTACTGCGATAAAATTGAAAAAATAATACATAATTTAAAAACTGAATAAGTACATAATATGGAGAGACATTTTTCCTTGCCTTTCCTTGTTATTAATAAGCCACTGATACATAAACTTACATTTGTTTGAGCTGGGTCGGTCATAACAACTATAGCTATGCTCATATTCACGGTCATGGCAAAGCACAGGATGAACGCGAAGAACAGCATCAATGCCTGCATGTGCCGGGAACCAAGACAACATTGTGAAAGATACAATTCCATATTTGTAATAACGAAACACAGAATCGACTTCAAATATCTCGCTCTGTATTCATTTTACAATTGATTTTTAGGAGTTCCTCAAGTATATCCGGAGCCCAAGATCAAATACCAACGATAATTTCCTCAATTTTCTAAAGGTTGTCAATGCATCTGTAACCCTCGTGTGTAGCAGATGTCCATAGGCGGTAGTATTCACTTAACATCAACCGTCTGCTCGCTTGGCAACTTTTAAAATAAAAAAAATGGAATATGAGACTTTGTAAATGGACGATTGTAAATTTTTGTAGATAAATTAACAAAAACATTCGCCGCTGCTGCATTCGACTCTGCGTCTTCTGGTTTCGCGCAAAAACATATACAATTTAAAAATTTAATTTTTAACAATTGTTGCGGAGAAAAAAATACAAACGGTAGCTAGTCTTATCGTCGTGGCTAGTGACAAGAGGGCTGGTTCTTTTCTCACTCAAAAGTTAAGCAAAACTATTCAGCGAGGAAATGCAGCTAGAGTTCTTGGCAACATGCCGCGTGGACTAGGTTTATTAGATAATTAAATTAATTTTAAATTAGTACATATTGGATATAATTTTATATCTCTAATTATACAAAATAGTGGACGCTGAGTGGTCAAAATTCGACCACTTAATAATTTAAATTATAAATTGGAATAATATAAATCTATTCTCGAATACAATAAACAATAAACAAAAGAGTTTATATGCGTATGAGTGACAAATACATGGTAGTGTGTGTAATGTTTTCTATATTGATTTAACGTAAGTATTTTTTATGCATAATTCAAAAAACATATCAGCGTTCTGAACTCTTTCTCTATATACATTATAATTGTGTTACTCCTCCGTCCACGCAATTTTCGTAAAAGGCGGTACAAAGTCTTTGCTTCACGTATTAATATACATAAGTGATGTAAAGTGATATAAAAACCTTAACAGGAACTTAGTACATTGACTAAATTAAAAATTTAATTGGGAAACTGATTATCGTGGTATTCGCATCTAAGTAGTTTCTGAAATATCTGGCAGAGGATAAAATATATAAATAATCATTTATTTAACCAGCAATAACATATTTACAAGGTAGGTATTGAATCACTTTTTAAATTTCTCAATATTTAAATATTTCTACAGGAGCCCAGTGTTTCTGAAAAAGGTTCGGATATTTATTTACTTATTCTCCATTACTTTGTATGTCACTGCAAATATAAAAGGGGGATATGGTCAATTAAAAACTAATATATAAAATTCTCGTGTCACGGTGTTAGTAATTGAAATCCTCCGAAATGACTCGACCGATTTTCGTGAAATTTGGTGTGCATATCGGCCAGGGTGGAGAATCGGACAACATCTATTTTTCATCCCCCTAAATGTTAAGGGTGGTTTACCCTAAACAGTTTTTTCTACCCTACAAATTCCCTAGAAATAATTTATATGGCAGAACAACGTTTGCCGGGACTGCTAGTTAGATATAAAATCGATATAATATACTGCGGAAGGGTGAGGTGAAAGCTTGTGCCGTTGCACGAATGTGCAAGCTCGTCCGGGAAAGTACTATGGCCTCACAAAAAAACGGCGTGAAATGGGAGTTATTATACTTTCGCTAGGAAATGTTGTCAAAGCTCGTAGAGAAGTAAAATAAAAAAATTCCGAGCAGGGTTACTCACGGTTATTAACACAAGAGATCTTTTGAGATACAAAATATGTTCGTTGTTCGAAAGAAGAATATCTCACAATAAAAAATATTAAAGTCCTTACTCTGTTCACGTTTCAAATCAATGCCACGCTGCATATCTACAACACTGACTAAGTTTCATATACTAAATTAGAATTGAAAAAAGCTAAACTAAATATTGACAATGTGGCGTCTAAAGCGATCCATTTACTGTCTTGAATTTCTTAACTTAGTCTTAATGTCAATGTCAATCACGTAATGATAAACCCGTTTGACCGATAGTGAACGGCTGACATTATCTAAAGAGAAACATTTTTCTACACATTTTAATTTCGCAGGACGTGTTGTTCTAACCCAGCTTATTTAGATTTCCTCTTTCTCGGCAGATATAATTTGGAAACATTCCCAAGATTCAATTCTAAGAAATTAATGTATCATTCAATTAAAAAAACAGATCGTTAATTGAAATCGAACTTTAAATAAAGTATGTCGTTGGATGGAAATATCTGATTGAAACTATCTATACTATACACTATACTACATCTCCATGAGTATTGTATCTGTGTGCTTTCGTGCTTATCCTTTAAGTTTTAATAATGTGAAAAATTTGATTGAAGAGTATCATTTCACTAAAGTTAGTGTTTACTGAACACATAATATAATATCCGTCAAAATCCATTAAGACACTTTGGTTTTGAAATATTTGTATCTACATTCAAATGTGACTAAAACCCGTTGGTTTTGTTAGCACGATGTCGAGTTCAAATTATCATATTTAAATTAATTAGTATGGAGCTAAGGTAGGTGTGTGTTATAATTAAAGGCCTAATTAAATTAATCTTTTTTAATAAAGAATAAAAACATAATAGTATTATCTAAAAACAATCCACAGGCAGAATTGTCTCCGACAACTTTTGACTCATTTTAACCGAGGGAAAAAATAGAAATGATTGCTAGTGTTAATCGCTGTTAAATACTTGGTAGAAGTGTTTGCTTTTGAATGTTAAATTCGACAGGCTACGTCACCCAAGAATGATATACCACGCGACTACCAAAAATTTCCAACTCTACAGACACACAGCTAAAACATACAACATAAAATTTCTTTTAGAGCATACCATGGCAGACAGAATTATTTATAAATTATTATTTATAAAACAAAATTCTTTGTGAGCTATTCGACAAAGTTTATAAAACCATGTTTAACGTTAGAGGTCCTAAGTTTAGAGAGTCACACGATACGTGACATGATAAATAATATCTGTGACAGCGCATCTGTGGCTGTAAGCCGTGGAGGATGGATGGACTTGCATCGTGCACGTTTCTAGAAAAAAATTGTAGAAAAAAATTGAAATCAACACGTGCACCGATCACTCTAATGAGCTAGTCACAAAGTCCCCCGTATTTTTACGTGGTAAAAATCCTTTATGGATGCCTTGCCGCTGATTTAGTAGAGTGGCAGGGCTTTGTGGGAATCCCCTCGGACCGAGTTCCCAGTAGATTCGCGGAAGTGTGCGAAAGCGTCCCCCCGTTTGTGGGAGTCCTGGACAGAAGGTGGTTCCCACTAAAAACCCCATGGTGCATCTGCCGGCTGGAGCAAGAAAACGCAAACTTCCGCAACCTCGGCGCGACTATGGCCCTCTATGTTAATATGTTAGTCGCTGCAATTAATACAGCCCCATGTTTAGTGGCAGACTCCCACATGTCTTTTGATCAGGATTGCACTATCAGGCGGGAAGGTTGCGTGCGTAGGTCTTACCGTGGTAGGGCCACGCAACAGTCTTCGTAATTGCACGAATGGGCAGGTCCGTCCAGGTAAGTACCACGACTTCAACAGAAGACCTTCGTGAAGTGGTAGTTTTACACTTTTGCGTTTCGTCTAAAAGGTGAGGTAGACGGGGCCCACAGTTTTAAAAGGCAACGCATCTGCAAACTTACGAGTTTGTCAGATTACTATGGGTGGCGGTTATCACATACAGTCAGGGGAATCGCCAGCTCGCTTGCCATCTTCCAACATAAAATAACAGATTTGCGCAACAGCACTTTGTTCTCTTTTTTCAAGGTATCGGCCCATATGGAGGCTCCGTACCAAGCTATGGACCGCCCGACACTGACGTATAGGCGTCGGCAACAGTCATATGAGGTCACTTATGTTTGCAAGTAGTCTGCCAAGAGCTGTCTCTATTTTAAGTGTGACCACGACAAATTTAGGTAAAGTTATTATCTGGAATACAATTTTGTGTTTTAACTTGGGTACTTTTATTATTTCTCAAAGTGTACTGACAGTGATTTATTTCAAAACAGAAGCCACAGTAACACACAGCGGTGATATCAAATGTCTACATCATTTGTTGTTATCATTGTTTTCTGAGGAGACATCGAATATTCAGTGATTAATTTCTATTGAATTTATTCTCGAAGCTCTAACCGCACTCGGGTGCTTTTTGATTGTTTAATTCTCTCGGTTCATTCCAATGTTGCCTTTCGCTGCTCCCAAAAATAACGTAAAAAACATTCGTCACCACGTACACTGCGGCCGATAGATAAAATAAGTATCGCCATTCCAATATGTCCGTCTGAAAAGTAAATTCTTGTTACGAAAATATCAATTTCCTTTTTTTTTAATATATTATGTCTGTTTTTGAAATAGTTTTATGTATAGATAAATAAATAAATATTTTTAGGACACATTTTTACACAACATTTTCTAGTCCCAAACTAAGCAACGCTTTGGGTACTAGAAAACTGATAAACATACTTAAACATATTTTTCTTTTGTAAATAAATACATATATAAACACCCAGACACTAGAAAAACACTATGTTCATCACACAATATTTTTCCAGTAGTGGGGATCGAACCCACAACCTCTGGCGCAGGAGGCAGGTACACTACCCACTACGCCGTTCGGGTCGTCAAGATGAAAGTTACATGAGTTTTATTTCTCTCGATATAGTTGAATAATATCTACGAAAAACGTAGATATTATTATTATAACGTTACCTATAAGATGACAGAATCGGACACTTGATCATGTATTAGGTCAGATGTCTTTTTATGTGGCTGGTCTATCTATCGTTTACCAATTAGTAATTACTAAGCTTATTGCTTATATCCAGTAAACCAGACGGATAACAATCCAATGCATCATAGCATACCTCATCCTTCAGGATGACACCATTCATAAGAGGAGCGAGAATTGCCATAACGCTTGCAACTGTGTTTGATATTCCCATCAGTGTACCGGCAAAATTTGGAGCCATGTCTAACGAGCCCAGCTAAAAAGTAGAAAGCAAAATAATCTTAAGAGTTAGTTGTTAGTTGTTATTGAATAATAATAGTTCACTATATCCCTACTACTCTATTAATCAAGTAAACACTAATAAATGGGTTGCCAGCATTAGAAAAATTGTTAAAAGAAGTTTTATTTTTCCATGACGATATGATGACATTTACGACCGTTGTCAAACTAGAAACCTATGACCATAGCTGTATAATTTCCGAATATATATAAGAAGAAAAGAGTTATCTTGTGAGGTTTTGGCTGATGTTGTGAATTATAAAATGTTATGAATATCCTTATGTTAAATAAGGATAAAAATTTAAATATGATGTCATAAACGTAATGTATTTAAGAGAAAACATACTCGGTAAAAGTATTGATGAAAACACATATTACGTTATAATCGTTTCGTTTGATCCGACACCTCACCTCTTCTGAAAATAAACCGACGATGATACGTCTTTCATTGTACAGTATACTTATTATTCGGTAACCCAGTCCAAATGCCATTCGTTAGAAGGCAGAACTTACGAATAAATAAATATAAAGAAACATATGAAAACGGCGCAATAGCGCCTATGAACACTCGACTGCAACGGCAACAATGGTACAGTACGCAGTGGTACCACGACCTCACAGAAGAGCGGCGTGAAGTGGTAGTTTTACACTTTTGCGTTTCGTCTGATGAGTGAGGCAACCCCACTTCAATATTAGGTGGCAACGCGGGCGGTGGTTATGACTCAACATTTAGTGAACCGCCAGTTCGCTTGCCACGTTCTCACATAAAAAATAAACTCCGCAACTTCTGAGTACTTCGGTTACCTCAGTCACGAGACGTGAGGTCACTAAGAGGAGTGGTGCACTATTATTATTACTTCACTAATACCATGGGTCGATACTGATCTTTCTTGAGAGCGCGCCACTTCCCGGGAAGAGCGGGCACATTTGTACATAAAAAGTTTGTTTGTACTGCAATTATGTTTTCATTCTGTGTTAGAATGTAATAATAATAAAAACTAAAGACTCGTCGTACAAAAGGTTACATACATATATGAACTGTGGTAGGGCCACTAAGCAGTCTTTGATGTTGCACGAATGGGCAGGCTCGTCCGGGGAAGTACCACGACCTCACAGAAGACCGGCGTGAAGTGGCAATGTTATACTTGTGCGTTTCGCCTGGTGAGTAATGTAGCTGGGACCCAATTTTGTGTAAGATGGCAACGTATTTAAATCGTCCATGGGTGGCGGATATGGCTTAACATTAGATGAGCCACCTTGCCATCTTCTTGCATAAAAAAAATCTTTGCTATTTTACGGGTGAAGGTAATACAAAAGTTGTTAAACAGCGTGTTAATAAATATCACTCGCTATGTATCCGCTGTAAAAAGCTGCGTTTATTCCAAGTGCCAGAGTGAGTAGCGTGATAGCTAAGGTCACGTTTCCCGCCGATACATGGGCTAATGCAATAAGCACTGCAGCGGGACCGAAATATCCTGTAAAGACACAAACACATAGTTAGAATAACACGGTCCAATACAATATTTTTACTGCAGGGAAAAAATATAAGCTCTAACTGTGTAATTAAGTCATATTTTTTTAGGCAAAGAATTATCTAAATTGGATTTAGAATTAATTGGACCACAATGCCTGAGTGTTGTCACTTAAATGAAATAATTGATTTGATGACTTACATATATTTTTTAATTATGTGATCGAAATTCAGATTTAGTTTTGTGTGGCATCAAAAGTGTCGCATGGCACTTTTTGAATGTTAAATTAAGAAGATAGTTATGTATATGGCCTAAATGTGATGTTGTAATTTTGTTTTCATCATTTGTATCAATTGAGTATTAAACATAAACATGTATAAAACTATATTTTGGTCTGTAAAAATTGTTGAAAATGAAAACAAAACATAAGTTTGATTTTACAATCATCTTGGAATAAATCGTCTCCAACTTACCGATTGTATTAAAACACTTTCTTGATGTAGTTATTCGAAGCCATTTTCGGTTAATTATTTCATCCGACAGAAAACCAAAAGGAAAACTTAACAGGTATAGAGTTAAGTACGGTAATGCAGACAGCAGTCCATTCTGTGAAAAAGTACACAATGTGATAATTATATCATGTTTTATGCTTTTTTTATGTGAAAAGATGAGCTCGCAAGCGAGCTGACGGTTCACCTGATGTTAAGTGACGACGGCCGCTAATGGAAAGTTGCAACACCCGTCGGTTTGCTGATGAGTTGCCAGCTTTTAGTAAAGTGGGTCCCGGCTGGGTAGCCGTCATTCACTGTCACGCAGTGAGGTCACTCACCAGATGAAACGCAGAAGTGTAGCACGTCTACTTCACACCGGTCTTCTGTGAGGTCGTGGTACCAACCTGGACGGACCTGCCCATTCATGCAACAGCGAACACGTATGGTAGAACAACAATAATGAAGAAACAACTGTAACAGTTGAAACTACATTTATTATCGTCATTGTTTTAGCCTATTTTAGTCAACTGCCTAGTCCTTAGTCCTAACGTAGATAGAACGACTTACTGCTTTTATATTCATTCCGAAAACCTTATGCATGTACGTCGGTATTCCTGTGAGCAGGGCCCAGTAGCCCCACTTGAAGCCGCAGTGAGCGACAACCACTGACAGGAACGGAAGGGATGTTGCTATTGACTTCCACGGTGTTTTCCGTTTCTGAAAGTTTTAAGTTAAGAATTCTTTGGCGTTGTTGCTAAACTATTGGCTTCGGCAGTGGATGTTGTAGATTTGATTCCCAAACGGGAGAAGGACCTATTTGACCTACAGATAAATGTTCCAGATATGGGTTTTTATTCCCAAGAAGAGGTTAGGTCATGCAAGTGGCTGGTCAGAAAACCGTTTTCCAGTACGGACATTGGCATGTTGTCCCAATCCGACTTAAGAGAGGGCAGGCAAAAGAAAAAGAAGAATAACTATACTTGACTTGATGACTAAAGTTACTCGCTAAGATTCGTCTTTTTTGGACAATATCATCATTTACAATATTATGAATTATTATAGCGCTATCGCCATCTCACAAGTTTTGAGGTACCAATTGACTACTATCCAATGGGAATTATTCAATTATTAATTGACTATGTATATTTATACCCATAGTTTTTAAACTACGAAAGTCGTCAAGCGAGCAGGTGGTTCATGTTGGTGGCACCTGCCACACAAAACAGGAACATAACTGCTATTCACCTGAATATCAGTCATGTTCCTGTTTCGCCGTTTAAGGAATGTCTCTTGTTATACGTCATCTACAACATCACTGAGCTTGCAGATGTGTTGAAAATACTTAAAAGGAAGTAGCCTCGGTTACCTACCTCGCCTCCTCTTTCGAGCCTGCGTATTCTTGCAATAGCAGAAGTTGTGGCGTGGCCCTATCACAGTAAACTATACAATGGATGATGGGATTACTCTATCAAAGGTATAAAATAAATTTTGTTGTGAATTGGAAGTCAACGAGTGCCTGAGCAGATAAAAAGTAATCGTACCTCTGATATTATTACAAGAGGAAAAAAAAGGAAAGTTGCAGCCTATGTGAATGTACTAAAAGGCAAAGGCCTCCTTTGTATAGAGGGTTTTAGTAGATTGAGTTTAAACATTACTATATTATATAATAACTTTTTTTCTTCTTACTTGGTGTCCACCAACATGACCCAGTGAGCTTTGTATGTAATCCCTTTCATGGCCATTTATAATTTTTGACTCCTCAGGTGAGTTTGAGCCCAATAACGAGTAAACTACTGTCCAGACGGCTCCAAATGCTCCGTTAACGTAAAATATTGCAGACCAACCCCAATAGTCGGCCACGATGCCACCCGTCATCAACTGAAGTGCTGTTCCAAATTGGGCTCCTGTTAACATCACAGTTACATAAACATTTAAAATTACGTAATTACAATATATGCCTAAACTTTTACATTTTGAAAATTCTTATATAATTAAGATGAAATAAGAATATATTTTTTTTATACCCAACGCAGTGTTCCTTTGGACGGGTATAAAAATAACAGCCTATACATGTCCCACTGCTGGGCAAAGGCCTCCTCTATATAGAGGGTATCAGGGCATAGTCCACCACGCGGCCCCACTGCGGATTGGCGGACTTCACATATCTTCGAAATATTTTTTTGTTATTATTTCGAAAATATGCAGGTTTCCTCACGATGTTTTCCTTCACCGCGGAGCACGTGATAAGACAGCACTAAAAGTTAAAAACTTCATTGGTGCCGGCACCGGGGATCGAACTCAGGTTGCTCGAGTATATTGAATTAAAGGCGAACGCAAGGTTTAATGTTATAAATGTGAAATTGTGTTTCTATTTCTTTAACATCAAAACGAAGATTTCTCACACAAAAAAGACGTAATAATTGTCAATGGCCAGGAAGACGCACTTTTTGGGAGACACGTAGTTCTGCGTCTAATAGATAATGATAATCACAGAATGAAGCTGACGAAATGAATGGAAGAAATTATACAGTGTCAATCACCAGTCAAAATTGGTGACCTTTATGCACCTCCTAATTTCATAATATATACTCTCCGATCTCAAGAGTTGTGGGAGAAATATAAAGATTATATGGCGTAAGATAATGACTGCATTAATAAAAGAAATAAAAGACGTGGAAAATTAACCGCAGGTGTCTTGCTTTTTCATGATTCTAGTGATACTTACTGTTCCCCAATTTTAAGTTAGCATTTTTCGACTATGAAAAGTTGCAGTTGGCAATTTTTTTTTTTTTTTTTTATTGTTGTTTTTTTTTACATTGCCCTCACTTTAGGATAACATTATCCTGTGTTGTAAGGACGTTTTACAAACATAAATTGCACGAGGACAAACACCCAGATGCGAAACAACTATCTGTGGGTCGCACAAATAGTTGTCCCGTGTGGGAATCGAACCCACGACCCCCGACGCCGAAGCCAATACCTTGGCAACGGCGCCACGGAGTCATCTGTTAACATCTTTTGTTAACATCTTTCTCAGTTTGTTAAGGTTTTTTTACTGTAACATATTGATATTAAAGCTATTATGTATGGTTATGAAGTGCTCGGTTCTGTGTGAAATACATAATACTTTCATCCCACTCTAACGCCTATGCTTGCTTTCTAGCATTATAATAAATCAGTGGCTCAATAATTTAACCCTAATCATCCGTAAACATTTTAATGTATTCATCATACCAGCGTACACGAAGGCCCCCATCCGGCTCTTCTCCTCTAGGGGAGCCCATTTGGCAAGGAGATTATGCGCCGCCGGCATTAGGAATCCTTGAAACAATCCCTGTATTACTCGACAAGTGCAAACCATTTGCCATCCGCCCTATAAGAGAATTAAAAATATTATTAAGGAAATAAACTCCCACGTTATTGAAAGTTAGTTTTGTTTTGTATATTAGCTAAATTTGAGTTTCTGACTTAAGTTTCAATTCTGGTGACAAGGTGACGCAACGTTTTGAAGAGAAACTTTACATAAAAAGAAGATAGATGGAATATAATCTTTTCATGTATTATGGAAAAAGAAATAAAAAAATATACAATCAGAAGGATAGAAGAAAAACGTCAAGGATTTACTCAGTGATTGTCAAAACAAATGGTGATCATTTCCATGAACGCTTAATTTTAATTACTATTGTTGTGATTGTTTTATAAATTGAACAAGGTGCCATTTTGGTATAAGTGTCCTAAGGAAACGATTGGCGTATAATTTACCTTCTAGTTAAAAATTAATTCCAGCAACTCAAGCTGTGTGATGTAAAAAAAACACACACACACAAATACAAAAAATATCTAGTTGTTCGTGCATTAATAAAAATATTAGGGGAATCGCGTCTTAAGCATGGTTTCTATTAACATGACACTGATGTATAATTGGAGTAGAAATTTATTTTAAAGATCATCGTGCTTTTTCTCTAAATTTTGATTTCACTGTTAACTGAATCGTGCCTGGAAAGTGTTATAAATCAATTGAAAAAACTCACGTAGTATGCGGACATCGGTAAGCATAATGAAGCTATGGCATTGATGCTAACACATAACATAGTTAAATTCTTTCCTCCGAACCTATTGGCCAGTTCACCTGCGGGCACTTGAAGAAAAAGATATCCCCAGAAGAATGACGAGAGTATCACTCCTTGTTTCTGGATATTCCAATCAAAGGACTGAAAGTAGGAACAGATTTAAATTGTGTAATATTAATAATACTAATCGATGAAAATAATATCGACATAGCTAACATAACAGATGCAAAAAAATACTACTGGTAAACAGGTTTATGAAAAATTTAAGCTACTGCATCTTACTGATATCTCGAAATAATATAGGTAGATTTTATGTTCTACTAAATGATAAATAAACCTGTCTATAAAATTGCATTCTATGCTACAAGTCAGGATTTATTCTTGAATTTTTGCTTATGAAACCTCCATCTATACAAGAATTGTTTGGATGTAAAGGTGTTTCAAATTAAGAATATTTATTTCGTCCACAAATCGTTTATGGGAAATGTAACCTCTACGGGGAAGCAAACAAGTTTCATCAGAATTCTACCGATTAAGAATTTTACCCTTTAAACCAAACTGGCGCTCCACAGAAGATGACTACTATTCGTGCATAGAGGCGGCGAACTTTCGCTTTTGGGCTCCCAATATGGAGACCTAGTGAATATCACACACTATCCTTTCGATTTATATGTAGACTAGCATCACTCGCCACGCATTGGTACGTTATGTGAAGAAAAAAGTGTTTAAAATAGGTTTTTGCTCAATGAAAGGAAATCAATTCAAGAACCTTCCTGAGTGTACGTAAAACAAAAATTTCATCACAATCGGATGTATGATTAACCGGACATAAATGTACATTTTTATTTAAAAGAAAAATAAGATGAACAAAAAGAAGTTTACATAAAACGCATTAACGACGCATCCACAAAAAAGTGGATATCCACCGTCTAGGTAGGAAAAAGATTCTGTATTAACTTACGTCATTGAGTGAATAGTGATAAAATTAAAAAAAAAATACACAAGAGGAAACTGACAGCACTGATAAAAAAAAATTAAAAAAAAAAAGAACTGCGGAGAGAGATTTTGCTGGCACCTTTCCTTGTGTTTAATGGATCAATATGTAAACTTACATCGGTTTGTGCTGGGTCGGTCATAACAACTATAGCGATGCTCATATTCACAGTCATGGCAAAGCACAGGACGAATGCGAAGAACAGCAAAAACGCCTGCACGTGCCGGAAACCAAGACAACATTCTGAAACGTTTAACGCTATGAAACAAAAGTTATGCTTTTTTTTCATTCTCTATTCACGATTTTCTGCCACATTAGCTGTTATTAACTGTAACACGCAATTGTAACACATATTTTTTTCGAAATGGCTATGCACAATTTTTCCATAAAATGTGTTTAATGGAAAACATTAATTATCTTGTGCCCTTAAGTGGGGGATTTGAATAGTATATGATAACTTTAAGGAAAAAGAAAATCGTGAAGCAATCATTTATATTTTAGAACGGAATGTAGTAGTGAAATTATGTTCTTTTTACTTCGTTGCTCAGAGTTATTAAAAAGACAAGAGATATATTACACACGGTGTTACATACGGTTGCTTCTCGAAATGGATTATCTCACGATAAATTATTATATGGAAGTACTTACTTGGTTCATGTTTTTTATCGAACCCACACTCCATAGCAATGTTAACATAAATTATAATGAATCGGATTAATCAAAAACTAAACTAATACTAACAATGCGACATCCAAAGCGATCTGTTTATCTTTTATTTTACTTTTACTTTCCACACAGGCGTAATGTGTAATGTCAGTGTCAATCGTATCACTGATAAGCTCGGAGGATTCGTTTGCCTGATAGTGTTTGGCTGACGCTATCTTAGGAGGAACATTTTTCCACAGTCTTTAGGGTTCTGTATCCAAAGGGTAAGCCCAAAGGGTAAAGGGTATTAGGTAATAAATATAATATAAAATAAATAATAAAATAAGGTAGTAACCCTATTACAAAATACCGGTACTAAAACTCCACTGTCTGTCTGTCCGTCTGTCACCAGGCCGTATCTCATCAACTGTGACAGTTAGGCAGTTAAAATTTTCACAGACGAACTTCTGTTGCCGCTATAACAACAAGTACTAAAAAACAGAATAAAATGTTTAAGTGGGGCGCCCATACATTACATTATTTTTTTTTTACCGTGTTTCTAGATAAGGGTACGGAACCCTTTTTGCGTGAGTCGGTTTTTTAATTTCTCTGGTATATTATTTTTACCATGTGATTAAGACTTCCATTCATCTTAATCCCTTGGTAGATACTCGTATAAGTTGGTATCATTCTCAACACTCAATTCTCACAAATGATATTCGTAAAGAAAAAAATAGTTTTTTTTTGTTTTTACTTTAAATTAAGTAGTATTTTTAAGCCAATGTCTTATTCACGTAGTAATTAAAATTTTTATATACAGTATTATTTATGGAACATAATATTACTGATTTTGAAAACTTCATAACTAGATTCAAATAGAAAATCTATACACCATACCACTAGTGAACATAATATTATTGATTTTGAAAACCTCAGATCATTCAAACCATAGTTGTTCGTTTAAGCCCTTTCTTAAGTACTACAAGTTAATTAACCTTTTTTATAATTTTATTTTGCAGCAACGCACATGTAGTCATCCCCGTGAATCATTTTTAAAATAAATTTAGTTCTTTACAAAACTACGACTCCGACGACGACGTTGGAAATAGTTTGACAAGAAATTCCAGTAAGATGTTATGGCTTCTGGGAGCAGTTTATAGTCTGGGAGTGGGTATTATACCGACTACCGAACTGATAGTCGTTGGGGGGGGATCTAAGCGGTTACGTAGGACAGCTGAGACGTATGAACGTGTTCTTGGTGGTTTTGGGTATGGTCGTCCCAATGCAGAGGGCGATAACATCCTAATACAGGTTGTATTGCGTGTGATCTGGCCGTCTTGAATACATTCTTCCAAAAGAATTACCAGCATCTTATCACGAATAAGAGTGGATCCCACTCAACTCAAATCGACTATCTGCTGACCAGACGATGTCATATTGGCAAGGTGACTAAGTGTAAAGTCATTCCTGGTCCTGACGGCCCAACATCGTCTCCTTTTCATGGACTTTTTCTTTACCACGAAAAAGAAAGTAGACGAGAAACGCAAACCAAGAATTAAGTGGTGGTTGCTGAATGGACCGATGCAGAAAGACCTTCTGGCAGAGGTTGAAAGTTATAAGCTCTTGACTGACGTGGGAACTGCCCAGGAGGCTTGGGATTGAGCCCAGTTTTTTTATGTGAAAAGTTGCAAGCGAGAGACGGTTCACCTGATGTTAAATGAATACCGCCGCCCATGGATATATGCTACACCCGAGAGTTCCAGATGCGTGGACAACCTTTTGAAAATTAGGCTCCGGACACCTCACTCACCAGACGAAACGCGAAAGTATTATACTTCCACTTTACGTCGGTCTTCTGTGAGGTGGTGGTACATACACGGGCGTGCCTGCCCATTCTGCAACAGCCGAGGCTGCTGCGTGGCCCTACCACTGTAAAGATGGCAATTACCGCGGCCGGACGGCGAATTCTCGGCGTTTCTAAGGGAGGTCGCGTCATGGACATGGAGACGAGGTGGTGGAATGAAAAGGTGCAGGGGGTAGTTCAGGAAAAGAAGACTGCGTTTAGGGAGTGGCAACAAACCAACTCTCCTGAAGACAGAGCGCAGTACATAGCAGCCAAACGTGACAGCAAAGAGCTGTAGGTAGAGCCCGCAGCGAAAGCCTATCTCCAATGTACCATAAGCTCGACACTGCGGAGGGGCTAAAGCTCATATGCAAATTGGAACGTGCCCGGGATAAAGCGACGCAAGACATCACCTAATGTCTCTGTGTCAGGGATTCCCAAGGCATGCTGCTGTGCAACCCTGCCTCTGTGAAGCATAGATTAGGAAGCTACTTCCTGGGCTTACTGAACAATCACCACCCTCACAGTCTTCCATCCAATCTGCCCCCAAACCTCTGACTTATTTCCCCGATATCAGTTGACGAAGCTCGGGACTGTCTCCGCTGCATGAATAACCGGAAAGCGGTGGGGCCTGACGACATACAGATCGAAGCATAGAAATCGTTGGGTTCCCTTTGTGTAGACGTGCTTACTGATCTCTTCAACCGTATCTTGAACACTGGAAAGATAAAGAATAAGTGGCGTTTCAGTTTTATTTACAAACCCCTATTTACAAAGGGAGGAGCAGTGTTCAGGATTGCGGTAGTTATAGGGGGATCAAAATCATGTGCCACACCCTGAAGCTTTTCAACCGCATCATCGATCTCAAGCTTCGCCGAGAGTGTTCTGTCTCTAATTGTCAATATGGGTTTCAACCAGGTTCAGACACTGTGCTCTGTGACATTTTTGCTCTCAGAACTTTGATGGGGGCATACAGGGAGAAAAGGAGAGCTCTGTATCTAGCATTCCTGGATTTGCAGAAGGCCTTTGACTGTGTGCCTCGTCAGTGTATCTGGTGGGCATTGCGATCTAAAGTTGTCCCTGAGGCCTACATTGATATTATCAGAGACATGTACCACGATTCCGCGTCCATGGTTAGGACCGTTGTTGGCGATAACAAACCCTTCCCGATCACTGTAGGGGTACATCAGGGCTTAGCTCTTAGTCCGTTCTTCTTCTTTCTTCATCTCGACTCACATACAAGACCCGCCTCCATGGCTGATGATGTATGCCGATGATATAGCGCTCGTTGACAAGAGCCGCCTGGAACTGGAGCGAAAAGTAAATCTCTGGAAGGGTACGCTTGAGAACGGCAGGCTTAAAATTAATGTGACAAAGACCGAGTACATGGCTTGCGGGAGTTCGGAATCTAGCACAATCCAAATAGGTTTTGAACCAGCCTTTAAGTCGGAATCGTCCAGGTACCTCTGTTTTGCACGAGTCTGGAAGCATCGACCATGATGTCCAAGCTCAGATACGCGCTGCTTGGGCTAAGTGGCGAGAGGTCACAGGTGTGGTCTGCGACCGCAGGATATCGCCCAAGCTTAAGTGACACGTGTACAAGAGCATCATCCGACCTGTACTTCTGTACGGTAGCTGGCTAGCTCTATGTCGGCACACTCAAGAGCTTCACGTCACGGAGATGAAGATGATAAGATAGATGTGTGGTGTCACGCGTGCTGACCGCATACGTAACACATTCATTCGAGGCAGTACAAGAGCAGTGCTTGAGATGGTATGGCCATGTCGCACGCCAGTCGGAAAAATACGTCGGAAGGATATGCCTTGATTGTCCCGGGAGCTAGACCTCGTGGCCGCTCAAGGAAGCGATGGCTGGACGTTGTGAAGCAGGATATGAGAGCCAATGGATTGACCCATGAGGATGTCGAAGATCGGGCAAAGTGGAGGAGATTAATCAGGAAAGCAGACCCTGGCAATTGCTGGGATAAATGATAGGCAGAAGAAGAATCAGAAGTATTAAGAAATAATCATAAAATTATATTATTATAAGATTCAATCCAGAAGTAGAATTTTGGCTGATAATTGATACGATCCTCTATTTTCGCACTATGTGTTTAGTGTTTATATTTGTCTATTTGAAAGAAAAAAGGGAAAAAGCAGTGTGTCTCAGCACTACTATTTAATTAGCTTGTATGAGTAATTTGCTCTAAAAATAAAACATGTGTACAATGTTCAGACTGCTTGTTTTTATATTTTCTGTTGTGCTGGAACAAACGTTAAGAGAAATTCCAGTAAAATTTAATTTCGGCAATTTAAATTTAAGAGGCAGACATATTTTATTGACAGGGATAAAAAACTGTAGAGATTTCATAGTTTATTTGTAAACGACGCATTCTTAAGATTATTAGAATTAACATTTTTTTCTGATTCCCTTCCCATTCCTGAATAAGCGATGACTGGAATTCTTAAGAAGAATGAAGAATTCTGGTCATACCTCGTGACGCTCCGTGTTGGAGTCAGAATGGATTGGAATGAAATTACGAGTAAATCTCAGGAACGACTGAGATTTACTTGTAAATTCATCAAAGTAAATTCAATAGACTTGATCTCTTGGGGGGTAAATCCTTCGTGATTTAAATTCCTAGTGGATGTTAAACGAGACAATTTATGGATTTTATCGCGTTTATTAAAATTCACAACGTTTCGAACCCTTTGCAGCGTAATTTTTCACGGGACAGACTGAGTTGTTTAACTTCCTTATGACAGGGTTATTATTAATCATTATATTATTAATTTTATTCTAACGTACGCAAAGGGAAGTAGTAAGAGATAGATTCCATCAGAAGTATTTGTAATGGAACATCACCAGCAGCTTGTCTGACTTTTATTTAATTTTATGTAAGGCAATAAGTGCCATAGTGATAATATTAGTGCTGCAATTGAGACGGGCGTGAAGTGGAAATGTTACTGTGTTAGCGTGAAAAAGAAATATAATATATTTTTAGTAAACACCTATGTATACTTTTAATGTATACAAAATCCGTATTACACATCTAAGTTACTGCTCAAGGAAAACAAAGTAAAACGCCGAGTTCAGCTCTTAGAGTACACAATAACAATTTGTCTCAATAAATATCACAAACAGCCTCCACAAACAATTCCCAAGTTTAATTCCACAACAAATGTTCTTCCCC